ATAATAAATAATAAAAAAGGAATAGAGCAATAATAAATATTTTTAATAATAATAATAATAATAATAATAATAATAATAATAATAATAATAATAATAGTAAATATTAATTAATGATTAGTCAATTAATTTGCAACAATAATAATCAATAATTATCTACTCATTTTTTTATTATTAATTATAATTTTTTTATTATAATTAATTATGTTTTATTATGTACTTATTTATTATTATTTATAAATTATTAATTATTAATTTTTCATATTTAATATATTATTTATGAAGCCTCATATTATTAATTACTTTTATTAATTTATTATTAATAATTAAATTCAATTGAAACTATTTTTTATTAATTATTTTTTGTCTCTAATTTCGGTATTATTTTGTTATTATTTATTTATTCTCCACTATTTATTTATCGTTTTTTTGTTATTTAATATTTTTTAAAATTTGGTTACTAATTTTTCTTATTTTCTTTTTGCACATTTTTTTTATTTATCTTCTACATTTATTTTATTACTGATTTCATTATTTGTTTGCTTATTAATTTTATTGACTATTTACTCAGTTATTTTATTATTTATTTACTTAGTTATTTTATTGTTTATTTACTTAGTTATTTTATTGTTTATTTACTTAGTTATTTTATTGTTTATTTACTTAGTTATTTTATTGTTTACTTACTTAGTTATTTTATTGTTTATTTACTTAGTTATTTTATTCTTTATTTACTTAGTTAATTAATTATTTATTTACTTAGTTAATTAATTATTTATTTAGCTAGTTATTTTATTGTTTGTTTACTTAAGCTAATTAATTATTTACTTAGTTTTTCAATTAATTATTTAACTGAAATTTGATGAAAAATTCTGAGACTGAAAAAATCCGCGGTCGCGAAGAATCGAACCCCGACCGTTGCCTGTCACGAGTCCAGCGCTTTTGCCACGGAGCCATCTCACGTGGCTAATTCAAATGATACTATTATCAATAGTACTGCTTATATTATATAATATTTCTATATTAAATTTTTCTTTTCGAAAAAAATAATTTTTGGCCATTAATTTCTAGTAAAAAAAAACATTTTTTTGTTCTCAAGAAAATTCTCAAAATAATGATTTTTTTTCAGCTACACAAATAAATTCTTCCTTCCGGAAATAAAATGCGTAATTTTTTTTTCTGTTGTTAATTTTCGAAATAAATATCTTTCAACCAAGTTGAAAAGAAGTTAATAAAAAAAACTTTTTGAAAAAAAAAATATATTTTTTGAAGTGAATAAAAAAAAGAAATTAAAAAAATGTGAAAAAAACATTTTTTGAAGTAAATGAAAAAAAAATTTGATAAAAAGAGCTCGTTCCATAAATTTCCTAAATAAAAATAAATAAATAAAAAATAATTGAAAGTAAAACTTTTTTAGAGTAAATAAAAAAAGTAATTCAAAAAAGTAAAAAAAAGCATTTTTTTCAAAAATATAAATAAAAAAAGTAATAATAAAAAATTTTTTTTGGAAAATATAAATAAAAAAAATTTGTAAAAATGTATTCCTTTAAAACAGAAATATTCTACAGAATTTTTTTTACGATTATTTCTACTTTGAAAAAAATAATAAAAGTAAAAAAAATATTCAAAAAGAACAATATAACTTGAAAGTAGTTTTTTTTTTGCTTTTTTTGAAATTTTTCACTTTTAAGAGAGATGGAAGAAGATAAAAATGAAAAGTTTTCCAAACGAATGAGAAAAGGCGGTTTAAAGAGGGTGTAGGGTGGGGAGGGGGGAAGTGAATTGAATTTTGATGAAGAAAAACAAGAATTTTTTAGAAAATTGTCTTGTATCTTTTATCTGAGTTTCAAGATTTACGAGCAAAAAAAGGGAAAAAAGAGAAAAAATTTAGAAAAAAGGGAAAAACGGTTTTTAAAAAAGGAAAAAAGGTACGAAAAGGAAAATAGAAGAAAAAGGGGAAAAAGGTAGGAAAAGGAAAACAAAAAATGGAAAAAAAGGGAAAATCGCAATTAGAGGGAAAAAAAAATTTTTTTCCTTTAAAATTTTTTTAAAGTGAAAAAGAAAAAAAAAGGGAAAAAATGTAAAAAAAGGGAAATGATAAGAAAAAGGGGAAAAAAGTAAAAAAAAGGGAAAAAATGTTTTAAAAAAAGGGGGAAAAAGGAAAACAAAAAAAAATGGAAAAAGGGGAAAAATGGTAATTAAAGGGAAAAAAGGAGAACAAATTTTTAAAAAGTGAAAAAGGAAAAAGGGGAAAAAAGTAAAAAAAAGGGAAACTAGGGAAAAAAGGAAAATTGGGAAAAAATTGAGAAAAAAGGTGAAATGATAAGAAAAAAGTAAAAAAAAGGGAAAAGAAGGGAAAAAAGGGGAAAATGGTAATTAAAGGGAAAAAGGGAAAAGAAATTTTTAAAAAAGGAAAAAAGGGGAAAAAATTTAAAAAGAGGGAAAAAGGGGGAAAAATGGAGAAACAATTAAAAAAAGTTATAGATAAGTTAAAAAAGTTAAAAAAAAATGGAAAAAGGAGAAAAAATGTTCTCATGAAATGATTCGTTTTATTTAAAATGAATATTATTTATAAAAAAAAATATATAGATAGATGGCAATTTATAGGATGGTATAAGAAGCGGTGAAATGAGTTTACAGAGCGTAGAGCATCGTTTGTGAATATCTTGTTTTATATCGGGTCATATACTCATAAAATCCGTGTGTGGAACATTTCAATGAAATCACCCTCTCAATCCAAATGTATTTTGTGCGCTTTAAAGCAGGTCAAACTTCATTACATTATTTTGAGTTCTTTTTTTAAAAAAAAAAAAATATTTTCTTGTTTTGTCCCGAAAAAACAAAAAAAAAAAATTTTTATTCAAATACTTTTGTTATTCTCGAGGGAGAATTGCGGAGAAAAAGTTTTATTTTTCAAAGGTGTTGCAACAAAATAGTCGAGGAAAATTATTTCTCTTTTTTTTTTCATTTTAAGTTTTTTCAATTTCTTTTTTTTAATATTTTTTATTATCTATGTTCTTCCAATCTTTTTAATTTTTTTTAAATCCTCTTCTTCATTTGAAAATTTTTTTAATTCACCACATTTTATTCAATAACAGGTTTTTTAAATTTTCTTATTTCAGTTATTAATAGTTTTTTTTCAAATTTTCCTAATTTTTATTGACTAAAAATTTTTTATTAAATTTAAATTATTTATTAATTTATTTATTAACAATATTGTTAATTTTGTAATTTTATTTATTGAGAATATTTTTATTTTTCTGAATTTTATTTATTTAAAAAATATTTTTAAGTTTCTTTATTTTCTTCTTCTTTTTATTTATTTGTTTTTTTTAAATTTTATTTTTTAAGAATTTTGTTAATTTTTAAAATTTTTTTGATTTGTTCACGAATTTTTAAATTTTACTGAAAATTTTTTTAATTAACAATTTTTTTAAATTTTCTAAATTTTATTTAGTCGAAATATTTTTAAATATTCTTGAATTTTATTAATTAACAAATTTGTTAATTTTCCGAATTTTTTTTTTTATTAAAAATATTTTCAATTTTCCTTATTTTTCTCTTTACATTTGTTCTAAATTTTTAAATTTTCTTTAATTTCTTCTTTTTTTCTTTATTTATTAACAATTTTATTAATTTATTTATGAACAATTTTCGTTAATTTTCTATAAATTCTTTTTGTAACATTTTTGTTAATTTTCTAAATTTTTCCAGTAAAAATTTTGTTAATTTTCTAAATTTTACTTTTTTACAATATTTTTATTTGTCACAATTTTATTTATTAACAATTTTGTTAAATTTTCTAAATTTTATTTACTTCGAAAATATATTTAACCGTCTGAGTTTTATTAAATTGTCAAATTTAAATTTCTTATATTTTCTTCTGTTTATTTATTAATTAAAAAATTTTTTACTTGTCTTTAGATTGTTTTTTATCATTTTATTTATTAAGAATTTTTTTTTAATAATTTTTCATATTTTATTTAATTTAAATTATTTAATTTTTATTATTCTATTTAATTTATTTGTTTATTCCGATTTTCTGAATTTCTCCCTAATTTTTCCGAGCGAAAAGTTTTCCCTCTTTTTTTACTACTAAAATTCCTTTTTCTTTTCTCATTTCTAGGAAATGATTTTTATAAAACTTTAGAATTTTTTCACTTTTTTCAGAAGGAATTTTTTTTTCTACTTTTTAAATTTTTGAAATTTTCACAGCAAAAAAATTTTTCTTTTTTTCTCTATTAAATTTCCTACATTTTTTCATTATTATCTATAAAGAAAAATTTTCTCTCTTTAAAAATTCGTTTTATTGACGTGAAAAGAATTCTTTTTCTATTTTTTATAATTCTTTTAATTTTAATTTTTGCAACGAAAATAAAGTAAAAAATAAATAAATAAATAAATAGAAAAAAGTAAAAATAAATAGAAATAAAAATAAAAATAAAAATTTAATAAATTGAAAAATAAATGTACCTAAATAAAATAAATAGAAATAAAGTAAAAAAGAAAAATTATTAAATTGAATAGAAAATAAATTGAGAAATAGAAAGAAATAGAAAGAAATAGAATAAAAATTGAAAAACATACAAAAATAGAAAGAAATAAAATAAATAGAAAAGAAATTGAAAAATAGAAAGAAATAAAATAAAAATAGAGAAAAAAATAAAAAAAGAGAGAAAAATAAAAATAGAAAAAAATAGAAAAATAAAAAGAATTAAAATAAATAGACAAGAAATTGAAAAATAGAAAGAAATAAAATAAAAATAGAAAAGTAAAAAGAAACAAAATAAATAGAAAAAATGGAAAAATAAAAAAAATAAAATAAATAGGAAAAAAAATATAAAAACAAAAAAAATTAAAATGCAACTTTATTAAAATTTGCTAAAAGATTTATTTACTAAAATTAGTAAATAATTCCAGTGTCTTAATAAATAAATACCTAAAAATAAAATAAATAGAAAAATAAACAAATAAATATTATTGTTTGGAAAATAATTACTCACCTAACAGAAAATCCATCGTTTCAGGAAATAAAAATCTTTTGATTCCAATGTTTTCCGCTCGTCTTGTTGATAGAGAAAAAATTTGGTAAACATTTTTTTTTCAATTTATAGTTTTCAATATAATATTTAAGAAGCAAAAAAAAGAAAGTTGAAAAAGAATGATGCTATCGACTACTGTGTGGTTAGAATAAAACGCGCACACACGACAAACATCGTCGAAGAGGGTTGTTCGCGACTTAAACATGAAACACCGGGCTTGTACTTTTTGTATATAGTCAATGCCACGTGCTGTCATTGTTAACGCCGACGCGTCGCGACCCCCTCTTAACGCGCGGGCGCGTTTTCCACATAATTTCTAATGCATATTAATTAGAAAATAATAGGAAAAAAAAGTTACTATTTTTATATTATTTTTTCTGTTTTTTAATAAAAAAAAAAAAAAAAAAATAGTGAAAAAAATATTAAAGAATAATAAAGAATAATTGAAAAATATTTTACTGGTGGAAATAATTTATTTATTTGTAAATTGTATTTAAAAGGAGTAAAAAAAATAGTGCGTATAGAAAAAAAATAGACACAGTCAATTAGCTCAGTGGTAACGCCACTGGTCTCGCAGCAGCAAAGCTGGGGTTCGATTCTTCCCGTCTGCGGATTTTTTTCGTCGAAGAAATTTATTTATTCATTCACAACGTTCAAAATAAATACAAAAAGGGAAAAAGAATATTGAAAAAAGAGTCAAAAAGAAAGTAGTAAAAAATGTTAAAGAAAAAGAATAGTGAAAAAAGGTAAAAATAATTTTAAAAAGTAGTTAAGAAAGAAGATAAAAAATAATAAAGAAAATAGTAAGAAGAAAGGTAAAGAATAATAAATAAAAATAGTAAGAAAAAAGGTAAAAAATAATTTAAAAATAGTAAGAAAAAAGATAAAAAATAGTAAAGAAAATAGTAAGAAAAAAGGTAAAGAATAATAAAGAAAAATAGTAAGAAAAAAGGTAAAAAGTAAAAAAGAAAAATAGTTTAAAAAAAAGGTAAAAAGTAATAAAGAAAAATAGTAAGAAAAAAGGTAAAAAAATAGTAAGATTAAAGGTAAAAAATAATAAAGAAAAAAAGAAAATAGAAGGGGAAAAAAAGAAAAAAATTGAATTTTATTCTCCCTTGAAAATTTTCGTTTCAACAAAAAAAAAAAAAAAAAAAAACAATATTGAAAATAAAAATTGATTTGTTGCAGATTTTGAATAATGGATTCGGCAAGGAAAAAACCATTTACCCTGACACGTGACAATGGAAAACTGAGTTTGGGTCAGAGAATATTTTACGAAGAAAATGGATTTATTTTATTCCCCCGACTGATGCCAATGGATGTCTTGAAAAAATGCGATCAAAGGTACTTTTCGTCAATTCAAAAATTATAATCAAATTCTTTAAAAAAAATTCAATTGTTTTCTCTCAAAAAAATATTGGAAATTCAATTATTTTTAATATCTGGTATTTTCATAAAATTTTCGCAAAACAATTCAATTATTTAAAAAAAATGATAAAATTAATTCAAAATTCAATTATTTTCATAAATAATAAAATTACCACAGGAATTCAATTAATTTAGAATTGCATTTTCCGAAAAATTTCGAAAAAATCAAATATTTAACCAAATTTTTATACAATTCTTCACAATAATTCAATTACTTTTTATTAAGAATAACAATTTTCATGGAAATTCAATTATTTAGAAAAAATTGTGATGAACTTCTAAACAAGAATTCAATTATTTTCAAAGATAATAAAACTCATCGAAGAATTTTAATTATTTTTAATTAAACATTAATAATTAATAATGTTTTAAATTAATTAATTGAAAAATTCAATTATTTTGACAAATAAAGTATTCCAGAAGAATTCAATTATTTATAATGAAATTTTCATAATATTCATTATATTTCGAAAAAATTAATTATTTCAAACAATGTTTAGAAAATTCTTCTGAAGAATTCAATTATTTTCTAAAATATAATAAAACTTTTCACAAAAATTCAATTAATTTCTAGTAAAAAGAAAATTTATCGAGGAAATTCAATTATTTTGTAAAATAAAAAAATGTTTCGTAGAAATTAAATTATTTACTAGAAAAAGAAAATTTCTCGAAAGTATTCAATTAAAAAATTTTTTCGTAGAAATTCAATTATTTTCTAAAATAAGAAAATTTCTCGAAAAAATTGAATTATTTTCTATAATAAGAAAATTTTTTGAATGAATTCAATTATTTTCTAAAATAAGAAAATTTATCGAAAACATTCAATTGTTTTTTAAAATAAGAAAATATTTCCGAGAAATTCAATTATTTCATAAAATAATAAAATTTCATGAAAGAATTCAATTATTTTCTAAAAAAAAGAAAATTTTACAAACGAATTTAATTATATTTTAGAAAAAACAAAAATTCTCGAAAGAATTCAATTATTTCCTGAAGTAAGAAAATTTTTACTTGAAATTCAATTATTTTCAAAAATAACAAAATTTTTCACAGAAATTCAATTCTTTTTAAACATTTTAATAAAATTTTTCGCAAAAATTCAATTTCTTTCTAAAAAAAGAAAATTTTTCGTTGATATTCAATTATTTACAAGAAAAAGAAAAATTTCTCGAGAGAATTCAATTATTTCTTAAATTCAAAAGATTTTTCGTAGAAATTTAATTATTTTCTAAAATAATAAAATTTTTCAAAAGAATTAATTTATCTTCTAAAATAATAAAATTTCATGAAAGAATTCAATTATTTTATAGAAAAAGAAAATTTTACGAACAAATTTAATTATTTTCTAAAAAAAAAAAAATTTTATCAAGAGAATTCAATTATTTTCTAACATAAGAAAATTTTGCGCTGAAATTTAAATATTTTCAAAAATAACAAAATTTTTCATGGAAATTCAATTCTTTTTAACCATTTTAATAAAATTTTCAGCAAGAATTCAATAATTTTCATAAATAAGAAAATTCTTTTCAGAAATTCAATTATTTTCAAAAATTGAAATAACATTCTTCGAAAGAATTCAATTATTTTTATAAATAATAAAATTCTTCGGAGCAATTCAATTATTTTTAAATATTTGATTGAATTAAAAAATTGTTAAAAAAATTCAATTATTTAAAAGAATTTTAATGTAATTCTTCGAAACAATTTAATTATTTTCAAAAATTATTCTTCAATTCTTAGAAAAAAATTCAATAATTTTTTTAATACAATTTTAGTTACATTCCTTAAATGAATTTAATTATTTTGAAATTTTCCATAAATAATTCTTTAAAACAATTAAATTATTTCGAAAAATTGCAATTAAAATTTTTGAGAATTGAATTATTTTGAAAATTTGCCACTAATTTTAAATAAAATTTTCAAAAAATTAAAATTCAATTATTTAAAGAAATTTTAAAACAATTATTCCAAACAATTCAATTTATTTTTAAAAAAAACTAAAAATTTATCTAAATAATTTAGTTATTTTCTAAAGTAAGAAAATTTCACAAAAGAATTGAATTATTTTCATAAATAATAAAAATCATCGAAGGATTTACATTATTTTTAATACAATTTAACAGAAATTACTCAAAAAATGTAATTATTCTTAAAAATTTAATTTCAATTCCTCGAAAAAATGAATTATTTAAAAAAATATTTTTTTTAAATTCTTTGGAAGAATTTTTTTGAAATAATTCAATTATTCTTTTAGATTTAAATTAAATTTTTGCCATGAATTAAATTATTTACATAAATAATTCTTCGAAAGAATTCAATTATTAAAGATAAATAAAAAAATTATTCCTGAAAATTCAATTATTTTGAGGCGTTTTAATAAAATTCTTTGCAAAATACAATTATTTTCATAAATAACAATATTCATCACGAGAATTCAATTATTTTCAAAAGTAATAAATTTCTTCTTGGAAATTCAATTATTTTTGAAAATAAGAAAATTTCTCGAAAAAATTCAATTATTTTTTAGTAAAAAAAAAATTCGTTGAATGAATTCAATTATTTTCTACAATAAGAAAACTTTCACAGAAATTCAATTCTTTTTAAACATTTTAATAAAATTTTTTGCAATAATTCAATTATAAATATTTATTATTTTTGTGTTATAAATAATAAAATTCTTCTCAGGAATTCGATTATTTTTGAAAATTTTAATAAAATTCTTTGCAACTATTCAATTATTTTCATAGATAACAATATTCATGACAAGAATTCAATTATTTTCAAAAGTATTAAATTTCTTTTTTGAAATTCAATTATTTTTAAAAATTCTAATAAAATTCGTTCGCAAGAATTCAATTATTTTCGTAAATAATAAAATGCTTTTAAGGAATTCAATTATTTTCAAAAAAATTAAATAAAATACCACACAGACATTCAATATTATTTTCATAAAATTTTCAAACAGAATTCAATTATTTAAAAAAATTTTTTGTAAAAATCTCCGTAAGAATTCAATTCTTTTTATGAATAATAGAAATTTCTTAAGAATTCAATTTATCAATTTAGAATTATTTGAAAAATAAAATGTCAGGAAAATAAAATATAAAATGAATTTTTGGCAGTTTTTTTTTGTTTTTTTTTTATCGTCAAGTTTAATTTTTCGATAGTTATTTTTTTTACTACTTTTTTTGAAAGCTACTTTTTGACACTTTTTTTTAAAATTAATTATCGAGTGCAAAGTCTAATAATTAAATAATAAAATAATTGAAAAAAAATAATCGAAAATAAATAATAAATTTAATTTTTAATTAATTTTATTACTACAATATTATTATAGTGTCAATTTAATATATTTATAATATAATGTAATTATTTTCCTATTATTCAGATTCGAAGAAATTGCTTCGGGAAAAATTCCAAAGGGAACAATGATTGTAATGAAAGACGTGAAGGATCGTAAATCAGTGAATAAAATTCAAGACTTTGTATTCGATGATGTCCTGAAGGAATATATTGAGCATAAAGATATATTGGATGTTGTTGAGTCATTCACTGGACCAAATATTATGGCAATGCATACGATGCTAATTGCAAAACCACCGGACGTTGGTTTCGGTAGTTCGAGGTAATTATTTCTCCCTTCATTTTATTGCATTATATTTTCACCCCGAAAATTCTTTTTTATATCAAGAAGAAAAAAACATTAATTTTCCAAAAAAGAAAAAAAAATGCTTCTTGAAAACATTAATAAATTGTATAATAATGATTATAATATTAATATTAATTATCGAAACTCTAATAATGTAGAAACTAATTTTCATTATTTTTCAATTATTTAATTATTTTTCTATAAAAAATAAGATTTTACTTTATAATCAGAATTTTTGTACGAAATTTTCTGTTTTTTACTAAAATTTTGAATTAAATTTAAAAAACGAAAATTCAATTATTTTCAAAAATTTAAATAAAATTCTTCGAAAGAATTCAATTATTTTTATAAATAATAAAATTCTTCGGAGCAATTAAATTATTTTTTAATAGATTTCAATTATTTTTAAAAATTTGAATAAAAATCGTTCAAAAAATTTAATTATTTAAAAAAATTGAAATAAAATTCTTCGAAACAATTCAATTATTTTTATAAATAATAAAATTCTTCGGAGCAATTAAATTATTTTTTAATAGATTTCAATTATTTTTAAAAATTTGAATAAAAATCGTTCAAAAAATTTAATTATTTAAAAAAATTGAAATAAAATTCTTCGAAACAATTCAATTATTTTTATAAATAATAAAATTCTTCGGCGCAATTCAATTATTTTTTTAATAGATTTCAATTATTTTTAAAAATTTGAATAAAAATCGTTCAAAAAATTTAATTATTTAAAAAAATTGAAATAAAATTCTTCGAAACAATTCAATTATTTTTATAAATCATAAAATTCTTCGCAACAGTTCAATTATTTTTTAACGAATTTCAAATATTTTTAAAATTTTGAATGAAATTCGTTTAAAAAATTGAATTATTTTAAGAAATTTAATACAATTCTTCGAAAGAATTCAATTATTTTCAAAAATAATAATAATTCTTTAAAAAATTGAATCATTTTCAAAAATTTTAATAAAAATCGTTTAAAAAAATTCAGTTATTTCCAAGAATTAAAATAAAATTCTTCGAAACAATTCAATTATTTTTAATAGATTTCAATTATTTGTAAAAATTGAATTAAAAATCGTTAAGAAAATTCAATTATATTCAAAAATTGAAATAAAATAAAATAAAATTTCAATAAAATTCTTCGAAACAATTAAATTATTTTTATAAATAATAAAATTCTTCGGAGCAATTCAATTATTTTTTTAATGGATTTCAATTATTTTTTAAAATTTAAGTAAAAATCATTTAAAAAATTCAATTATTTTTAGAAATTTTAATACAATTCTTCCAAAAAATTCAACTATTTTCAAAAATAATAAAATTTCTTTAAAGAATATTGAATTATCTTCTAAAATAAAATTTTTTGCCGAAATTCAGTTCCTATATTCAATACAATTTAATATTAGTACAAAGTTTTCTGTTTTTTACTACAATTTTCATTAAATTTTTCAAATAAAATTAAATTATTTTAAGAAATTTTAAAACAATTCAATTATTTTCAAGAATAATGAAAGTTCTCTAGAAGATTCAATTATTTACTAAAAAAATAATAAAATTTGTCAAAAGAATTCAATTATTTTCTAGAAAAAGAAAATTTGTCAAAAGAATTCAATTATTTTCTAGAAAAAGAAAATTTCTCAAAAGAATTTAATTATTTTCTAAAAATAAGAAATTTTTTTTCCCGTAATTCAGTTTCTATATTCAATACAATTTAAATGAAATTTCTCGAGAGAATTCAATTAATATTTTTCTAATACAATTTTAATAAATTCCTCTAAAAATTTTAATTATTTAAAAAAAATTATTCTTTAATTCTTCTTAAAAAATTCAATTATTTTTAAAACAATTTTAGTTACATTCTTAGAATAAATTTAATTTTTTTTTAAATTTCCATAGAATTCTTTGATATAGAATTAAGAAATTTTAATTTCGGAAAATTGAAATACAAATTTTTGAAAATTTAATTATTTTGAAAATTTTTTGGAAATTTTAAAACAATTTTTCGAAACAATTCAATTATTTTCTAAAATAATAAAATTTTTCAGAGAATTTCAATTATTTTTTTTAAAATAATAAAATTTTATGAAAGAATTCAATTATTTTCTAGAAAAAGAAAATTTTACGAAAGAATTCAATTATTTTCTAAAATCAGAAAATTTTTCGTAGAAATTCAATTATTTTTCAAAGTAAGACAATTTTTCGTAGAAATTCAATTATTTTCTAAAATAATAAAATTTCTCTAAAGAATTTAATTATTTTCTATAATTCTATAATAAGATTTTTAAAAAAAAATTCAATTACTTTCTAAAATAATAAACTTTTTCTTATAATTTCAATTATTTTCGAAAATAAGAATGTTTCTAAAAAAAAATTCAATTATTTTCTAAAAAAAGAAAATTTATCAAAAGAATTTTATTATTTAAAAAAAAATACATTTTTCGTAGAAATTCAATTATTTTCTAAAATAAGACAATTTTTAGAAGAAATTATTTTCTAGAAAATGAAAATTTCTGGAAAATATTTTCTAAAATAAAGAAATTTTTCCTAGAAACTCAATTATTTTCTAAAATAAGAAAATTTCTCGAAAGAATTCAATTATTTTTAATACAATTTTAATAAATGAGTCTGAAAAATTGATTTGTTTTAAACGATTCTTCTTAAAAAATTCAATTATTTTCAATACAATTTTAGTTACATTGCTGGAATAAATTTAATTATTTTAAAAATTTCAATTTTTTTGTAAAAAACAATTTAATAATTTCGAAAATTTGCAGTTAAAATTTTTGAGAATTGAATTATTTTTGAAAATTTGCCATTAAAATTCTTGAAAATTGAATTATTTTGAATATTTACCATGAAAATTCTTGGAAAATTGAATTATTTCCTAAAACCTTACAAATTAAATTTATTCAAAATTGAATTACTTTAAAAATTCTTGGCAGAAATTTGCAAAAAAATTATGTTCCAATTTTTTTTAGAAATAAACGAAAAAATATTGCTATGAACATTTTTTTTACAAAATTTTATGTTTCCTTTGAAAGAAAAGAAATAGAATTTTTTCATAATTTCTATTGGTTAGTGACAATAGAGAAAAAAATAAAAAAAAAATAAAATAAAAAATAATAAAAATAAAAAAATAGTAAAAAAAAATAAAAATAATAAAATAAAAATAATAATAATAAAATAAATAATAATAATAATAATAATAATAATAATAATAATAAAAAATAGGAAAAAAAATAATATAGAAACTTATTGATTTGATATTGTTAAATTACTTTTTGTATAAATAGTAAAAATAAATAAATAATAACTTGTGAATCGTTATTTTTAGACATCCACCGCATCAAGACTTGTACTATTTTCCATTCCGTTCGGAAGACAAAATTGTAGCTGCATGGACGGCAATTGAAGAGTGTAATATTGAAAATGGTTGTCTTTATGTTTTGCCTGGTTCTCATAAAAAATATCCATTGCTCCCTCACGTTTATCCTCCTGGATCTGTGAATAAACTTTATCACGGCATTCAGGTTATTTGCTTTTAAAAAACACATTTAAAACAAAATACACAAAAAAAAATAATAGAAAAAAAGAAAAAATAACAAAATTAGAAAATTACAACTTTTAATTCAATTTTTATTTTTATTCGCTTTTAACTGTCAAAATATTATCGGTTTTTAAATTAAAAGAAAAATTCTATTCTTCTGGAGTGAAGAAAATAATAAATTAAATAATAATAATAATAATAATAATAAATTCAATATTAAAAGATTATCAATATTATATTATATTAATAATTAATTATTATATTATTAATTATTATTAATTAACATTTTGTTATTTTTAATATTATTTATCAGTAAATTAATTAAAAATGATGCTAATTTTAATTAGCATCAATTTTGTTAATTAAAAATTAATTAAAAATAATGCTAATTTGAATTATCATCAATTTTGTTAATTAAAATTAATTTAATTGAAAATTAATTGAAATTATCAATTCCACAGGATTTAAAGGAACCGTTAAATTGGGTTTACCTGAAAATGGACCCTGGAGACACGGTTTTCTTTCATCCAAAATTAATTCACGGATCCGGTGTTAATAAATCGAAGGGAACAAGAAAAGCAATTTCAGCTCATTATGCAGCCAGTGACTGTCACTATATTGAGGTATTTAAACAATTATTTCCTTTATACTATTTTTTTTCATTTATTTCATCTTTTTTTTTTGTTTTGTAATTTAATCTGAAAAATTTCTTTGTAAAAGAGGAAAAAATTTTTGAAAAAAAGGAAAAAAATGTTGGGAAAAAATAAAAAGAAGTTAGAAAAGTACAAAAGAAATAGAATAAAGATTAGAAATTAGAAAATAGAAAAATTAATTGGAAAAGTATGGAAAAAGTAGAAAAGATTAAAAAAAATAGGAAAAGTACAGAAAAAAATAGAAAGAAAACAAAAAAATTTTTTTTTAAAAGTACAGAAAAAATGGAGAAAAATCTACAAAAAAAAGTAGAGAATATAGAAAAAATTGAAAAATTCTGAAAATATAAGGCGAAAATACAAAAAAAAATAGGAATAATAGAAAAAATGAATTGGAAAAGTAGCAAAAAAATATAAAATATACGAAAACCAATTTTTAAAATAGAGAAAAAATAATTTTTGAAAAGTACAGAAAAAATAGAGAAAAATCTACAAAAAAAAAGAGAAAATAGAAAAAATTGAAAAATACTGAAAATTTAGGGCGAAAATAGAAAAAAATAGGAATAATAGAAAAAATAAATTGGAAAAGTACCAAAAAAATAGGAAAGAAATAAAAAAAAATTGACAGAAAGAGAAAAAATAATTTTTGAAAAAGTACAGAAAATATGGAAAAAAAAAATTAAAAAATTTGAAAAATAGAAAAAATTAGGGGAATTTAAAGAATTTTTTAAATTTCAAGAAATTTAAATAATATTAAAAATTAATTATTAAAATGGGCCAAAAAAGGGTTTAAAAAATAAAAAATAAGTACAAAAATAAAGAAAAATAAAATAAATTGAGAAATAATTCAAAAAAGTTTAAGGAAAAATAGAAAAATACTGAAAAAATAGGAATATCATTAAAAATATAAATAAATAATTAAAAAAGACAGAAAAAGGATTTAAGAAATAAAAAATTAGTAAAATAATAAAGAAAAATACAATAAATAGAGAAAATACAAAATGCTTAAGAAAAATTAGGGAAATTATTAAGAATATAAATCAATAATTAAAAAAGGCCAAAAAAGGGTTTCAAAAATAAAAAATAAGTACAAGAATGAAGAAAAATAAAACAAATAGAGAAAATCCAAAATAGGTCAGGAAAAAATAAAAAAAAAAATACTGAAAAAATAGGGAAAATACAAAAAATAGAAAGGATATGAAAAGTATGGGCAAATAGGGAAATAAAATAGATAAAATAAAATAAAATAAAAAAATAGGCAAAACAGAAAAATTAAAAAAAATTAGGGGAATTACAAAAAAATTAAAATATTATTAAAAATTAATTATTGAAAAAGGCCAAAAACAAGGGTTTAAAAAATAAAAAATAAATACAAGAATAAAGAAAAATAAAATAAATGGAGAAAATCCCAAAAAGCGTAGGAAAAAATAAAAAAAATAGGGAAAACAGGAAGAAATAGAAAAAATACAAGAGTTGTTGACACTATGGACTCGATAAAATTTCAGGTAGATGGAACAGTGCAGCAAAGTATAAAAGAGGAAGTCCTCGAAGTGGCGAAACGTAAATATCCAGGAGTTGAAATTAATTTCGCAGACGTGTGGCGTATTAAGTCAGGTATAGTTCGTGGAATACGTTCCTCACTCTAAAAACTAACTTCAAAAAAATAAATAAATAAATAAATACTCTTACAAAACTGCCGAAAAAAGAAAACAAAAAAAAAAAAAAAAAGTTTGAAACATATTTCAAATATGCAAAACATTTTGTAAATAATCGAACAAAAATTCGAACAAAAAAACATTTGTGCAATAAAGAGTAATATATTTCCTTTAAAAAAATAAGAGAATAATGAAAAAGTATAATTTTCTACATTAAAAAATCCTTTAAAACAGAAAAATGCATCTGGAGAAAAAAAAAAATTTTTAAATCACTTATTAATTAATTAGCTACTTAAAAAATGTATTATTTTTAACATTATTTATAAAATTCGTCGAAAAAATTCAATTATTTTCAAAAATTTAAATGTATTTCTTAGAAAAAAATTCAATTATTTTGAAAAATTTAAATAAATTTCTAAGAAAAAATTCAAATATTTTGAAAAATTTAAATACGTATTTCTTAGAAAAAGTTCAATTATTTAAAAAAATCGATTTTTTATTATTCGTCGCTAGAATTAAATTATTTGTTTAATAAAAGTTATAAATAATTTTGTTTCATTAATTTTTCTGATTTTTGAATCTTCGAAGCATTAAATTATAATTTTCAATAAAATTTCACAAAAGAATTCGATTTTTTTTCTTAATTCGTTATAAAATTTTTTAAAAGAATTCAATTATTTTTAATACAATTTTAATAAATGACTCTAAAAAAATGTATTTATTTTAAACAATTCTTCTTTAAAAAAATCAATTATTTTTAATACAATTTCAGTTATATTTCAGGAATAAATTAAATTATTTTAAAAATTTCAATAAAATTCTTTGGAAAAACAATTTAATAATTTCGAAAAAGTTGCAATTAAAATTTTTGATAATTGAATTATTTTTGAAAATTTGCCATTAAAATTCTTGAAAATTGAATTATTTTGAATATTTACAATGAAAATTCTTGGAAAATTGAATTATTTGGAAAATTTGCAACTAAATTTTTTTAATATCGAAAATTTTTCTTAGAAATTCAATTATTTTCGAAAATTGAAATAAAATTCTTTGAAACAATTCAATTAATTTCAAAAATAATAAAATTCTATAAATCAATTAAATTATTTCTTTAATGAATTTCAATTATTTTTAACAATTTGAATAAAAATGGTTCAAAAAATTCAAATTTTTCGAGAGAATTCAATTATATTTTCTAAAATATTAACATTTCTCGAATAAATTCAATTACTTTTTCGAAAAAGAAAATTTCTCCAAAGATTTCAATTATTTTTGAAAATAATAAAATTTCTCTAAAGAATTCAATTATTTTCGAAAATAAGAATATTTTCTATAAAGAATTCAATTATTTTCTAAAATAAGAAATTTTTTCGTAGAAATTCAATTATTTTTTAAAGTAGTACAATTTTTCGTAGAAATTCAATTATTTTTTTTAAATAACACAATTTTTCGTAGAAATTCAATTATTTTCTAAAATAAGACAATTTTTCTTAGAAATTCAATTCTTCTCTAAAAAAAAAGAAAATTTATCAAAAGAATTCAATTATTTAAAAAAAAAAAAGAAAATTTATAAAAAGAATTCAATTATTTTTTTAAAAAAACATTTTTCGTAGAAATTCAATTTTTTGTAGATATTTTTTTTCTAGAAAAAGAAAATTTCTGAAAAATATTTTCTAAAATAAAAAATTTTTTCCTAGAAACTCAATTATTTTCTAAAATAATCAAATTTTTCGAAAGAATTCAATTTTTAATACAATTGTCTAAAAATTTGACTTATCTTAAAAATTTTTTTCTTAAGGGGATTTGAACCTTGATGACGTCACAGTTTGTGCAAAGCATTAGTTTTAAATCTGTGACGTCATCATGGTTCAAATGCCCTTAAATTCTTTGTAAAAATTCAATTATTTTTAATACAATTTTCGTTACATTTCTGGAATGAATTTAATTATTATGGAATTTTCCACAGAACTTTTTTTTGAAACAATTAAATAATTTCGATTAATTGCAATGGAAATTTTTGAGAATCGAATTATTTTTAAAAGTTGACATTAAAATTCTTGACAATTTACCTACAATTATTAAAATTCTTGGAAAATTGAATTATTTGAAAAATTTGCAATTACAATTTTATATCTTTAAATTATGATTTTTGTACAAAATTGTCTGTTTTTTACTAAAAATTAAAAATTTTTTTAAAGTAAATTTAATAATTTTAAGAAATTTGAAAACAATTTGTCGAAACAATTCAATTATTTTCAAGAATAATAAAATTTCTCTCGAAAAAAAATCAATTATTTTCTAGAAAAAGAAAATTTCTCGAAATATTTCATTTATTTTCTAAAATTAGATTTTTTTAGAATTTCAATTATTTTCGAAAATAAGAAAATTTTCGGTAAAAATTCCGTTATTTTCGTAAATAAATTTTTTATTTGTTTTAAAATTTATTAAATTTTCAAGTAATTTAATTGTATTTTAAAATTTTTTTATAAAACTTTTCGAAGAAATTGAATTGTTTGAAAAATTTTTTGATAAAATTGTTTGCAAGAATTCAACGATTTTTAATACATTAATTTTAAAATTGAAAATATTCGAAAAGAAAAATTATCAAAAAAAAACTAGGAAACAAAAAAGCAACAACTAACTTTAAACTGCGAACAATTTATCGAAATACAACGATTATTATTAATATAGAATAATTTTTATTGAAAAGAAATGAAAAAAAAAATTGATATTATTATTAAAGTATTTATTAAGTCAGTTAATTATAAAATAAATAAGAAAAATAATCGCTAGTGAATAAAAAAAAATAGTTGCTAGTAAATAAATACAAATAATATTTAAATAGAATAACTTACAGTATTAATTAATTAATTATTTAATAATTAATTATTAATATTAAAACTAATTAATTGACCGAAAGAACGAAACAAAAAGCAGAAGAAAATCTTCTTAAATTTTTTTTTTCTCGTCGGGAGGAGAGGGGTTGGAGAAAAGTGAAATTTGTTGTTGAAAATTTGAAAAATCTAGACAGAAGAAGATGTAAAAATGTTGTTATTATTATTGTTGTTGTTGTTATGACTATTAATTGTCTCCAAATCTCTTTGTGTACGACGATGTGACATTGGAGCGTAAGGATTGTAACAGTGTTTCGAGTGTGGATTTTTGTAAGTATTTTCGTGACGAACACTTGCACTTGATGTACGACAAGCTGCAAGGCAAAATTGAAATCTATCTAAAGCACGTAGACGAAGTTTTAACACCTCCTCGCCCCTCTGTCCTTTTCCCTCTCGATTTTCCACTGGCTTTTTACTCCTCACTCGATGCTAACAAAAAAAAAGAAAAAAGAAATTATTTTCTGAATTAATACACTTTTTAATTTTTCTCATTTGTCCTATAATTATAATTTATAATTTTCCACTTTTTTTAATTTTACAATTTCTTTTCAAAAAAAAAAAAAGAAAAAAAAAGAAAAATGCAAAAATTTACCTTTCCAGGATGTAGACAACAAGAGACGCAATATTCGTAAATGGCGCAACATCCCTGCGAATTGCAAGTCTCGCAACTGTATTTGTCCCTTTTTTTCGTTGTCACTGCTTGTTCGTCCTGCGAATTCTTTGGTAATTCTGGATTGCAACAGCCACTGGCCAAAATATCTCTTCGTAAACAAACGTAACCCTTCTCATCGACAATTAAAACTTTGCCCTGAAACATTCGATGAGAAAAAAAAAAGAATTAATTAATAATATCTCAAAATAATAGTAGAAATAATAAAGGTTGACACAAAAATTTAATTTTGTTTTCCCCTGACTTTTTCCCTGATTTCTAGACAAACTTTTCGACTTTTTCCCTGATCCTAAAGAATATTCTGCGATTCACTCTAAAAATGATTAGATACTCAAAAAAATGTTCTAACATTTATTTACGAATTTCCTTAAGCGTAAAATTATTCAAAAACACCAATAACTTCATTTTTAAATAAATACTTAATCATTATTATTTTTCTATAGGAATTAAGGATTTCAAATCCAAACCTTCTGAAATTAAACAACTTATCAAAAATTGTTATAAAACATCAAGAAATCGATCAAAATCGACCAATCGATTTCTTCACGTTTTATAATAAATTTAAAATGACAGAGTGATAAAATCATTATTTTATATTATAAGAATATTGCAACTACAAATTCAAATTTTCAAAGATTTTCATTTTTTAACCCTATTCAAAATTCACGCTATGATGCTTTTAATATTCAATTATAATTTCAAATTTTAAGTGAAATTCATTTTTAATCAATTTTTATTAGAAAATTTTTCAAGAATTCAATTATTTAAATACAAAGATAAATAATTTATTAAATAATTAACTATTTCTTAAAATTGAATTTTTTTTAAGAAATTTATACAAAATTCTAAAAATAATTGAATTCTTTCGGCGAATTTTAAAAAAATTATAAAGAATAAATGCAATTTTCTATCAGTTTACGTAAAATTGTACATAAAAAATAATTGAAACTCTGCTATAAATATTGTTATTTATAAAAGTAATTTAATTCTTGCAAAGAATTTTATTAAACAAATTTTTAAAGAATTGAATTCCTGTGAAGAATATTTTATTTGTTAAAATAATTGAATTCCAGAGAAAAATATTATTATTTATGATATTAAATTAATTTCTTGTGAAGAATTTTATTCAAATTTTTTAAATAATTGAATTTCTCAGAATTTTTTATAACATTTTGAAAATAATTAAATTCCATCGACAAAATTTCATTAAAAAATTGAAAATAATTGAAACCTGACGAACAATGCAATTCAAATTAAACTTAATAAAAGAATTCAATTATTTTCAAAAATACTAAAATTCCTCCAAAGAATGCAATTATTTTCATAAATGAGAAAATTTTTTGCAGAAATTTAATTATTTTCAAAACAATTTTCATAAAATTTATGGAAAGAATGAAATTATTTTGAAATCAATGTTTATAAAATTTATTGCACGAATACAATTTTTTTTTGAAAACTTTTAATAAAATTCTTTGTAAAAATTCAATTATTTAAAAAAAAAACAATAGAAATCTTCATAGAAATTCAATTATTTAAAAAAATTAATAAAATCTTCACAGGAATTCTATTATTTTCAAAAATTATTAAAATTCTTAGCAATAATTAAATTATTTTCATAAATAATAACATTCTTCTGAAGAATTCAGTTATTTTCATAAATAATAAATTTGTTTTCCAAAATTGAATTATTTTCAACAAAATTTTAATAAATCCTTCGAAACAAATTCAATTGTTTTTTCAAATAGTAAAATCTTTGCAAAAATTCAATTATTATCAACAAAATATCAGGGAAGAATTCCTGTGAAGAATATTTTATTTGTGAAAATAATTGAATTCCGGAGAAAAATATTATTATTTATGATATTAAATTAATTTCTTGTGAAGAATTTTATTCAAATTTTTTAAATAATTGAATTTTTTAGAATTTTTTATAATATTTTGAAAATAATTAAATTCCATTGACAAAATTTCATTAAAAAATTCAAAATAATTGAAATCTGACGAAGAATGTTATTAAATTTTTTTTTAAATAATTGAATTCCTGTGAAAAGTTTTATTTTTGAAAAAAATTGAATTCTTGGGAAGAATTTAATTAAAATTTCTTAAATAATTGAATTGCTTCAAAGAATTTTATTTTTTAAGAAAATAATTGAATTGTTTCGAAGATTTTTACAAACTTGACAGTAAAATTGTAATTCCTATAAGGAATGTTATATTTTACGAAAATAATTGTATTCTATAGTCAATTTTATTATAATTTTTCAAATTTATAAAGCATTTTATCTCAAAATTTTTGAAATAATTGAATTATCGAGAAAAATTTTATTATTTATGAAAATAATTGATTTCTTATGAAGAATTTTATTCAAATTTTTTTCAAACAATTGAATTACCATAAAAAAAATGTATTATTTGTGAAAATAATTGAATTCTTAAGAAGAATTTTATTGGAAATAATTGAATTGAATAGGAAAATTTTATTAAAATTGCAATTTTATTAACAAAATCTTGTAAAGAATTTTGTCAAAAATTTTTTAAATAATAGAATTTTTAAAAGAATTTTATTTAAAATTTTCGAAATATTTGAATTTCTTAGAACTATTTTTTTCTATTCTTTGAATATATTTGAATTCTTTCGATAAACTTCATTAAAAAATTAAAAATAATTGAATTGATGCGAAGAAATGTATAAAAAAATTGGAAAGTAATTGAATTCCTGCGAAATTTTTATTTCGTTTAAATAATTGAATTCTTTTGGAAAATTTGATTAAAATAGTAAATATTAAAAATAATTGAAATGAGGAAAGTTTTTGAAAATAATTGAAATTTTGCCAAGAATTTTATTAAATTTTTTGAAAATTTATTGAATTTCGGAGAAGAATTGTATGATTTATAAAAATAATTGAAATTTTGACGAGAATGTTTATAAATTTTTGAAAATAATTGAATTTCTGTAATCAGTTGTTCTTGAAATTTCTATTTAAATTCGTTAAAAATTGAAATTTTTAAAAATTTCATATTGAAGCCTTTGAAGTTGATCTATTTATGCAGATTTTAAGCGCAACTCTTTTGAAATGTAATTAATTTTGAAAATTTTGAAGTAAAATTATTCATTAAATAATTTTTGATTAATAATTTGATGATAGTTGTTGAAGAATGAAGTTATTTAAAAAGAAAATATTGTCAGAAAGAGAAAAAATTGAAAGTTTTGTATTAAAATTCTTGTGAATTTCATAGTTTGTGAGTCAAACAAAAAAGACACAAAAATTCAGAATTTTCTTGTAAATTCTAAAACTTAAATTTTTTCCAGTACTTTTAATAAAAATCCCTGACTTTTCCCTGATTTCCCTGACCAATTCTAATTTCCCTGTCTTTTCCCTGAATTCCCTGACTTGTGGCAACCCTGAACTGCTTATAAATAGTTCTAAATATTTTTAGATACTTTTATAAATAAAATCAAATACTTATAAATACTTTAGAATAGTTGTAGATTCTTATAAATATTTTTAGATACTTTTAAATAGTTTTAAATACCAGTAATACCAATAAATATTTTTAAACGCCAATATTTCGAAATATTTTACAAAAATGAAAAGAGAATTAAACTGCGTGATAAAAATACCTGAATAGAATTCCGACAATGAATAGATGAATCGTTATTTTCTTGGCCCCCGATTGATTCCAAAGAATCAATATTATTATCATCTAAAACATCCATTTCCCAAAGTGATGATTTCATTGAAACTTGCTCGTCGCTATTGTCCTCATTTTCATTAAGGAATGTATTATCGTCAATATCTTCAAAATCATTTTCAAACGAAATGCTCTTTCCCTAAAAAAATACAAAAAAAAGAAAATTTCTCTTTTTCTCGCTTGTTATTAAATTAATATTTACTCTAAAAAAAATATTAAATTAATTTTTTTCGCTTGTATTAAATTAATATTTACTCCAAAAAATATTAATTTATATTAATTTTTTCGCTTGCATTAAATTAATATTTACTCCAAGAAATATTAAATTAATATTTTTCGCTTGTATTAAATTAATATTTACTCCAAAGAATAAATATTAAAATAATTTTTTTCGCTTGTATTAAATTAATATTTTACTCCAAAAAAAAGAGAAAAAAAAGAAAGGAAATGTTAAGAAAAACAAAAGAGATAATTGATAATTTGAAAATAGCTCACTTCCTGACGAAGAAGAGAAACGGCGCAATAAGTAAGCGATAAACCAAAAATCAGGCCAAGCACAATTCGCCTTCTTAGAAGCCTGATTAAACTTGTCCAAATTGGCATGCTTTTTCAATCCGCAAGTAATTTAATTAACACAATTTTGATTTCGACAAAATGTGCAATTCATTTTTTTTCGCTCGTCAATCCATTTATTTATAGAATATTTTCCTTTTTTTCTTTTTTGGTAAAACAAAACGCTATTTTGACAGAAAATGGTAAAACTTTTTTAGAGGCAATTATTTAGTGGTTTTTTTTTGTAAATAAATACTTATTTTTTGAGAATATTTATTTAGAGAATATTTCGAAAATATTTCGACAAAATTTCTAAATAATATTTAGAGAAACTTTCGTTATTAACATCTAGAGAATATTTCGATAATATTTCGAAAATATTTCAATAAAATTTCGAAATAATATTTAGAGAAATATTCGTTAATGTCTAGAGAATATTTCGATAATATTTCGAAAATATTTAGAGAAATTTTCGTTAATAGAAAATATTCAGCAAAATTTTCGTTATTAGAAAATATTCAGAGAAAATTTCGTAAATATTTCGATAATATTTAGACAATAAGAGAAAATCTCGTTAATATTTCAATATTTCAACACGTAAAATATAGAAAATATTTCCAAAAATTAACTATAATTCATTAATATTTCGATATTCGGTTAATACTTTCTCAATATTTAGAGAAACTTTTCGCGAATATTCAAAGCATTTCAGAGAATATTTCAATAATATTCAAATATTCAGAGAATTTTCATTTACACGAATATAAATATTGATTTACAAAAAATATTAATATTTATAAAATCAAAAATATTTGCAGAATTTGGAAAAACAATTGTCAAAAGTGACGTTTCTCGAAAGTGAGGTTATGTTCGTGAATTAGTTGTTTACTTGAATTCTTACCACTCGAGCCAGGGGCATTAATTAATTGACATCAATCATTGCGTATCGTACAAGTAAATATTCTCTCCTTCTTCCTTTGCATTCTATATGTTTATTTTATTTGTAGCTGTTTTTTTTAAATATAAAATATAAAGAAAATACTGTGCGAAAGCGAATTAGTCCAATTCAGTGCAATTCACATTTCAGTTTTTTGCGTTTTGCGCACTTGCCAGAAGATTGCAGCACTTTTTTGTTGTGAATCAGCCCTAAGGTTTTTCTTTTTTACTTTTACGTAACGACTCGTAACTTACGGGTTCGAATTACGTAAATAATAATTTACAAACGGCGGGAAATTTGAATTACAAATTTCCAATTTTTTGTATTTTTGTATAGAATTTATTTACAGAAACATTTTTATAATTAATTTTCTGCAATTTATTCTATTTTTTTAATATAGAAAAAGAAATGGCAATATTGAAAAAAACTGGATCCCTCTTGTTATTTTTGATTATGATTGGAATTATTATTTGGGACTCGACTTATTTTGCCGAAAAAGAATTGAAAGATAAAAGGAAAAATTCCATTAATATTACAAATATCCACCAGATTATTGAAATAAAAGGAAATTTTGTTAATAATTCAAAAGCAGTTTCGAACGAAAATTATAATAATAATAATAAAACCAAAAATCCCAAAAATGATCGATAGAATTCGAATATTTGAATTAAGGCGCCAAAGCAGGAAAGTCTGCTAACTTCAAGAGGTTCGAGATCAAAATCAAAATATAAACATAACCTCAAAAATTTTGACACATGCTGGTCGTCGGCATGGAAAAGAGTTAAAATAACTTTTGTTCTTTTGTTTCGTCTTCTTCGTGAAAATGTATTTCTAAACGTGTTTAATTTGTCAAAAAAAAAGAATTTCAGTTTTTAATTCATTTTATTCAGTCGTTGTCAATAAATTTCTCTGATAATAAAAACGATAAAAGGGAAAGAGAAAAAATTTGTAAAATGTTGAAGAAAAGTTTGGCAATGTTTCGACCGGTGTGTTGCGGTCAATTTCGATATTTAAGTAAAGTTTCTGCGAAACATAAGGAAAAATTGGACGATAAAATGCAAGCGTGGCAAATTCATTGCTATGGTGGTATCGATGAGGTGAAATTATTTACCACTAGAATGCCGGTTATTTCGAGACCCACCGATGTTCTAGTCAAGGTCGACGCTTCAAGTGTCAATCCTTTTGATTTGGCAGTGACAAGTAAGTTGAAAATTATATTTGTAGTCGTATTAATATAAATAATATTCATATTTCTATTCTTATGTACAATTTGTTTGAAATTTCCATTATTTTTTTTTATTTTGCTATTTTATTATTTTTTTTAACATTTTTAATGAAATTCTATGAAAGAAATCAATTATTTTCAAGTATTTTTATTAAATTGGTCGCAAAAATTCAATTATTTTTAAAAATGATAAATTACTTCTCACGAATTCAATTATTTTCAATACAATTTCAATAAAAAAATTTTAATAGAATTTTTACAAAATTTCTCGAAAGAATTCTATTATTTTCAAAAATTGAAATAAAAATCGTTTAGGAAATTCAATTATTTTCAAAAATTTAAGTTTTTATAAAAATTCAATTATTTTCAATACAATTTTAATTAAATTTCTCTAAAGAATTCAATTATTTTCAAAATTTTTATAAAATTCTACGAAAGAATTCAATTATTTTCAATAAAATTTTAATTAAAAAATTTTAGTACAATTTTTACAAAATTTCTCGAAAGAATAAAATTCAATTATTTTTAAATGGATTTCAATTATTTTCAAAAATTGAAATAAAAATCGTTCAAGAAATTTAATTATTTTCAATACAATTTTAATTAAATTTCTCTAAAGGATTCAATTATTTTTAAACTTTTAATAAAATTCTACGAAAGAATTCAATTATTTTCCAGAACTATTATTAAATTCTTCGCAAAAATTCAATTATTTTCAATACAATTTTAATAATAAAAATTTTAGTACAATTTTTACAAAATCTCTGGAAAGAATTCAATTATTTTCAAAAATTGTAATAAAATTATTCAAAACAATTCAATTATTTTAATAAATAATAAAATTCTTTTGAGCAATTCAATTATTTTTTAATGGATTTCAATTATTTTCAAAAATTGAAATAAAAATCGTTCAAAAAATGCAATTATTTTCAATACAATTTTAATTAAATTTCTCTAAAAAATTCAATTATTTTCAAACTTTTAATAAAATTCTACAAAAGAAAATTCAATTATTTTCAAAAATTGAATTCTTTATAAAAATTCAATTATTTTTAATGGAATTTTAATTAAATTTCTCTAAAGAATTCAATTATTTTCAAACTTTTAATAAAATTCTACAAAAGAAAATTCAATTATTTTCATAATTTATGTTTCTACTCGTGAATTGAATTATTTTTGAAAAATTGTAATAAAATTCTGAGAAGAATCCAATTATAATCAAATTTTGTCAGTTATTCAATTATTTAGAAAAAAAATTTGAATAATAATTAATATTAAAATTTTTATTTACAACTATAAATAAATACAATTATTTACAAAAAATTGAAAGAAATTCTTTGTAAAATTAATTTACTTTCAAAATATTCAATGAATATAATTAAAAAAAAAAAAATTGTTAAAAAACTATCAAAAGTCTTCAAAAGAATTAAATTTTTTTTTTGTTAAAAATTTTAGTAAAATTTCTTGAATTAATTCAATAATTCTTTTATTTATTTAATCATAGACAATAATAAAGAATTTATACAATTATTTAAAAATATTTTCTATTTTCTTTTTCAATTCTTTTTATATTTTTCTTCTACTTTCTATTTTTATTTTCTTCTTTTTTTATTTAAAAATAAACAGGTAGCTATATAATTATTGAAATTGAAATAAATTTGAATTTCATTTAAATTGAAGTAAATTTGAATTTCATTTAAATTGAAGTAAATTTTTAATTTCCTTTAAATTGAAATAAATAAATTAATTTTTTTTGTAAATTCTCATTTTGTTGCGTTATTTAAATATTTAAATTAATTTTTTTTACATTTTCCAGAAGGTTATGGATCAAAAGTATTAAATTTGATGCGTAAAGCGAAGAATTTTGGAATCGAGTCGGACATTGAATTTCCATTGACATTGGGAAGGGATTTTTCGGGAACAATTGTATCGAAAGGACACGGAGTTGGTGAACGTTTGCAATTGGGCGATGAAGTCTGGGGAGTAATTCCCGTTGAACAACAAGGATGTCATGCCGAATACGTTGTTGCCAATTCATCTCTGGTTTGAAGAAAACAATGACAATTTTTCAAATTTTTTATTTTTTATTTATTCTTAATTAATGTAGGAAATTATTTGCTAAAAATAATTAATTGTTAATTGTTCTCTTTTACTTTTCAATTCTTAATTTAAATTTTTTATTTTACATCTTAATTTTACTTTTTCCTTTTCAATTTCCAATTTTGATTTTAAATCCTTAATTTTAATTACAATTTTAAATTTTAATTTTAATTTTAATTTTAATTTTAACTTTTAATTCTGAATTTTTAATTTAATAAGCTTAATTTTAACTTTTAATTCTGAATTTTTATTTTTAAATTCCTAATTTTTATTTTTAATTTAATTTAAATCCTCATTCCTGAAATTTACTTGAAATTGCATTGAAAATAATTGAATTGTTTTCGAGAAAATTATTTAAAATTGTATTGAAAATAATTGAATAGTTCCGAGAAAATAATTTAAAATTCAACTGAATATAATTGAATAGTTTCGAAAAAATTATTTAAAATTGTTAGGTATTGAAAATTATTGAATAGTTCCAAGAAAATAATTTAAAATTTGACTGAAAATATTTGAATTTTTTTTTTTGAAAAAATTAATTGAAATTGTAATGAAAATAATGGAATATTTCTGAGAAAATTATTTAAAATTCAACTGAAAATTATTGAATCGTTTCGAAAAAAATTTATTGAAATTGTATTGAAAATAATTTTTAATTCTTCAAAATTTTTTTGAAAATAAAATTGAATTCCTGCGAAGAATTTTTTATTAAAATTTCATAATTTTTTCAGGTTAATCACAGGCCGAAGAATATTTCCTACATCGAAGCGGCGAGTATACCCTACGCGGGATTAACTGCTTGGTCTGCTCTCTGGTATTCCGGTGGTTTATATTATAAGACGGGAATTGTCACTCGACGAAACAAAAGAGTTCTGGTTATTGGCGGTGCCGGTGGCGTTGGAACTTTAGCGATTCAAATGCTCAAAAATTGGAATATGCACGTAAATATTTTCTTTCTTTCTTTTTTTATCAAGTTTTACAATTTTTTGAAAAATTCTGTTTTTTTTATTTATGAAATTAAAAACTTAAAATTTATTTTGTTATAATGAGAAAATTCTAATAACTAATTGTAATTAAAAAAGAAACTAATAATAATTTTTCTATGTTAAAAAAAGGTGATAACAACTTGTAGCAGTGATGCGGTGAACGTTTTGGAAAAATTGGGAGCCGACGTTGTTATAGATTACAAAGAAGACAATGCTGACGAAAAAATTATTTGCGAAGGACCGTGAGTTTAAAAAAAACAAGGAAAATTTGTTTAATTTTCCAAACATAATTGTAATTTTGTTTTATTTTACTTTAAATAATTTTTGTACTTTCAATTTTAGAATTTTTAAAAATAATTTCTATAGTTTGATAATTTCGATTTTGAATTTCTACAATTTCAATAATTTTTGTAGAAAACAGTTGAAAAAGAAAATGTTGAATATTTTTCTATTATAATTCGAATGAAAAAAGGAAAAAGTGCAATTTTTAAAATTTTTTGTTATTAATTTATTTATTTATTGTTTCAGTTATGATATAATTCTCGACTGTGCAAATCAAGGACCAGGGGCAATAAAAGCAAAAGGATATCCGCATTACACTTACATAACGTTGAATTCTCCGCTGTTGAAAAATATCGACGAACGTGGATTCATAGCCGGCACTGTGAAGAACGTTGGCGATTTTGTCAAGTACAATATTCCATCGCAGGAGAATAAGGGTTTCGTTAAATGGGGCTTCTTCACTCCCTGCAGATCTGGACTCAACGCCATTCAGAAATTCGTCGAAAATGGCCAGGTAATTAACGAAAAACTTGAAAAATTAATTAATTATTTCCATTATCAATTCTCTTATTTAAATAAAATTCATTCTTTTCGAAAAACAATTTCTATTTTTAAATAAAAATTTTATTTTTAATAAATAGTAATTTATTCATTTATTATTTATGTAATAAATATAAAATATATAATAATAAATAAATATTTCCTTTTGCAAATAATATCAAAATTGAAGTTTTCTTAAAACTCAATTCTATTCTTTCTTAAAATCAATTATAATTTTTTTAATATTATATAATTTTCATTTTCCAATAAATTAGGTACTTCTTTCAAATAAAAATAAATGAAATCAAAAATTAAATACTTTTTCATACCAGATAAATTTTTATTGTGTCAAATTATTAACGTTTTCGAAAAAAATAATTTCTTTTTTTCTAAACGAAAGAAATTGGTTAAATTCTAAATTTTATTTCAGCTGGTTTCGGTTGTGAAGAAGGTTTATCCATTTCAAGAATTGCCAAGAGCTTATGAACGTGCAGCACAGGGGCATCTTCGTGGAAAATTAGTTATCGACATGAGATAAGTTTACGTATTCATAATATAAATTATATATTATTTATTATTTTCTATTTTCAATATATATACACAAATATATAACTTTATTTACACAATAAAAAAAACAAAACAAAGCACAAATAAAAAGTTCTTAACTATCTAAGAATAAACTATTTTGAATCTTAATTTATCGCTAAATCCAATTTTTGCTCGTACATCTAGTAAATTTGGAATTGCAATTTCCGAAGCTTTTTGAGCGCCGTCACGTAATACTTTCTCGAGATATTGTGAATCGGCAGTTAATTGCAAATATCGTTCTCGAATTGGATTCAATTTCTCAATTACAATGTCGGCCAGTATTAATTTATATCTGAAATACAGAAAAAACAATATTTCTTTAAAAAATAATAATTAAACTAATAATTTCGACAAAATAATAATAATAATAATATATTATTAAATTTTTTTTAAATAATTGAATTTCTCTGAACAATTTTATAACTTACAAAAATAATTGAATTCTAGTGACGAATTCTCTTTTTCTATTTAAATTTTCAAAAATAATTGATTTTTTTTTTAAGAAATTCATTAAAATTTTTGAAGATATTTTAATTCTAATGAACAAATATTATCAAAATATTTTTCAAATTACTGAATTCTTTCAAAAAGGAATTCATTAAAATTTTAAAAAACTAATTGAATTTCATTCTGCGAAGATATTTATTTGAAAAATAATTTAATTTTTGCAAATTTCTAAATTTTTTTTTAAAATAATAATTGAATTTTTCTGAAGAATAGTATTGAAATTTTTAAAAATAATTGAACTCCACTAAGAAATTATATTGAAAGTCAATTTTAAATAATTGAACTGCTCCGAAGAATTTTATTATATTTATAAAAAAAAATTTAATTTTTTAGAGAAACTGAATTATTTATGAAATTAATTTAATTATTCAGAGAAATTTTAGTACTTTTGAAAATAATTGAATTCTTTCAATAAATTTTATGAAAATTGTATTGAAAATAATTGAATTTCTGCAAAAAAATTTCTTATTTATGAAAATAATTGAATTCTTTAGAGGAATTTTAGTATTTTTGAAAATAATTGAATTCAATAAATTTTATGAAAATTGTCTTGAAAATAACAGAATTTTTCCGAAAATATGTCTTATTTATAAAAATAATTTTATTTTATTACCATTTTTTTTTTTTTTAAATAATTGCATTTTTCTAGAAATTTTATAAAAATTATACTAAAAATAATTAAACTCGTGAGAAAGAAATTTATAATTAACGAAAATAATTAAATTCTTATAAGGAACTGTAGCAAAATTTTTCAAAATTAATTGTCTTCTTTCGAAAGATTCTATTATAATTTTTTAAAATAATTGAATTTTTTGGAAAAATTAAATTCAAATTGTATTGAAAATAATTGAATTATTCCCAGATAATTTTATAAGAATTTTTAAAAATAATTGAATTTCCAAGTAGAATTACATGATTTAGAAAAACAATTGAATTTATGAGAAGAAATTTCTTATTTTTAGAAATAATTGAAATTTTGCGAAGAAAGTAAAAAATTCTCTGAAAATAATTGAATTTTTGTGTAGAAATTTATAAAAGTTTTTGAAAATAATAATTTTTCAGTTCAAGCGCAGATCGAGTTATTGGACGCGGGAGCTCAATTTAATTCTTTCAAAAAAATTTATTCAAATTGAATTAAAAATAATTGAATTTCTGCAAAGTTTTATTATTTCTGAAAATAATTGAATTCTAGTTAAGAATTTTATTAAAATGTTAGAAAATAATTGAATTGATTTAAAGAATTAAAAAAAATAGTTAAATAGATTTTTGTAAAATATTACAATTTGAAAAGCAAAAAGGAAATTTAAATCTGTACATACTTTCCGGTATCAATTCCCTCAGCCTCTTGGCATATTTCCTCGGTCGATTTTCCCGTGAGTAGAGAGTGAATTTTTATTAAATTTGAAATTCCCGGACGATTATCGGGATCGTACGTCACTTGGGATGTAAAATCGGTTACAGATTTTTTCACTTTCTTCAATAAAATATCGGGACTGTCAGTTATATCCAATCGACTTTTTGGATCGGGGCACGATTTTGACATTTTATTTGTTGGATCGCGTAGAGATTTTATTCGCTTTGCTTCGTCTGCAAAAGTAAAAGCGAAAAAATAATATTAAAATTATATAAAAATTCATTATAATAATAAAAATATAGTAGAAAATAATAGAAATCTATTAAAATAAAAAATTTCAAACCATTTATAATTGTCTCTGGAAAAGGAAAAGTATCGCCAAACTTTTGATTGAATTTTCTCGCTAAATCTTGTGATAATTCTAAATGTTGAATTTGATCTTCTCCAACTGGAACGTGTGTAGCTCTGGAATTTTTTATTCGCAGTAAATTAATTAATAATTACTTAATATTCAAATAATTAATATTTAATTTCTTTAATATTGAAATAGTTGGTATTTAATAATTACTTAATTAATTAATTAATTAATTAATATTCGAGCAATTAATATATTTTTACCTAATATTCAAATAATTAATATTTAATTACTTAATATTCGTATAATTAATATTTAATTACTTAATATTAACAAAATTAATATTAAATTACTTAATATTGAAATAGTTGGTATTTAATTACTTAACATGCAAGATAATTAATTTCGATAAAGAAATTCAATTTTATAATTATCGTTTTTTCTCTTTCTCTCACTTGTAAATTAGAATATCGGCCGCTTGTAAAATTGGATAATTGAATAAAGCGACTGGCACTTCTTTAACATTTTGACTCTTCTCTTTGAATTGTGGTAAACGACTGAGTCTTGGCATTGTCGTTATTGACGATAGAATCCAATTTAATTCGGTGTGCAATGGAACTGTTGATTGTTGAAACAATATACTTTTCTCGGGATCAACACCGCAGGCCAATAATGTTGCGACCATTGAGAAAATTCCCTTTTCTAATGTTTTTGGATCCTAAATTTTGGAATTATTTTCTCTCTTAATTAAAACTGGAGATATTTTGTAACATTTTTTTACATTTTTCCTCAAAGTATAATAATAGTAGAAAAATAATAATATTTTCTTTTTCTTAAAACCGTTTTTTAATTATTTCGCAATAAAAAGAAAATATTAATATTTTCTTTCTGTTAAAAATGTTTTTTTAAATTATTTTGCAATAAAAAGAAAATATTAATATTTGCTTTCTGTTAAAAATGTTTTTTTAAATTATTTTGCAATAAACAAAGAATAATAAGTAATAATAAAAAATGGTAAATAATAGTATAAATAATTAATAAAAATAGTAATAAAAGTAAACAAAATTAATTAATTGAATAATTAATAATAAATAATAATGAATTGTTTATAATGAATTATTTAAATGAATTAATAATAATAAAAATAGTAAATAACTGTAAAAAATAATATAAATAGCAATAAAAGTAGTAGTAATAGTAAATAATAAAAAAAAATAGTAAATAACAGTGAAAAATAGTAAAAATAATAATAATAATGGTGTAGTAAAAATTAATTATTATTAATACCTGCGGTAATGTAATGGCGTGCAAATCAACAATACTCCAAATAACGTTTTGCCCCGAATTTTGTAATTCGACCCAATTTTGAATTGCCCCTAAATAATTGCCCAAGTGCACGTTTCCCGTTGGTTGAATACCGGAAAATATTCTCTTTGGATAAGAATTTTTTGCACTCTAAAGAAAAAAATTAATAGTCATTATAAATTATATTATAGAAAACTGGTAAAATTAAACATTTAGTAACTGAAAATTAAAAGAATATAAAGTAATTTTTCTTCTATAAAAAATAATTTAATTGTAATTGAAAATATTATTCCAAGTCGAATTGTGGTTTGAAAAATATTTTTTAAAAATTAATTTGTAGTTAAAAATATTATTCTAAATTGAATTCTAGTTTAAATATTTTTTTTAATTGAATATTTATTAGAATTTAATTACAGTATAAATTATTTGTTTGAATTGAATTGAAATTGAAAACAATTATTAAAATTTGATTTGTAGGTATAGTTAAAAAAAATTATTTTAAATTGAATTCTCGTTCAAAATATTTTTTTTAATTAAGATTCCAGTGGCAAATATTTGTTTCAGAGTTGTTTGAATTTAATTCCAGTGGCAAATATTTGTTTAAATTTAATTCCAGTGGAAAATATTTGTTTGAATTGAATTTTAGTGGGAAATAATTGTTCGAATTGAATTTCAGTGGAAAATAATTGTTTCAATTGAATTGTTAATGGAAATTAATTTTTAAATTTAATAATACTTGAATATATTCTTTTTAAAAATATTTCTTTAAATTAAATTCTAGTTGAAAATATTTTTTATAATTGCGGAAAATATTTGTTTGAATTGAATTCTTTTTGAAAATATTCTTTTTAAAATTGAATTACAGTGAAAATTATTTATTTAAATTGAATTCTTGTAGAAAATATTTTTTATTATTAAATTCGATTGCGGAGAATATTATTGTTTGAATTGAATTGTAATTGAAAATACTTTTTTAATATTGAATTCCAGTGGAAAATATTTGTTTGAATTGAATATTTAAATTTTTTGTTGTTGAAATTTTTGTTTAAATTGAATATATAAATATTTGTTTGAATTGAATTTCAGTGGAAAATAATTTTTTGAATTGAATTCCAGTTGAAAAAATTTTTAGAATACATCGAGAAAATTAAGGGAAAATGTATAAAAAAACAAATGACAGAAAATATTGTTATTGACATAAATAGTCCCAAAGAAAAACAATAAATTCCACATTTGTTTACATCTTTTACATGCGAACATAACCTAAAAATTGTACCTTGCAGTAATTCTTCCTCTCTTGATTAAACAGTGCTTTAAATCTAATTCTTTTTTGATAGGATCCATTGTTTATTAGTTTTCTAAACATGGTACTAATTACAATAAATATTCTTTTTAACTTCTCATGAATATTCCTTATTTTTTACAGCACGTGGTTTTTATCACAAGAGAGAGAAAAATGTTTAAAAATGACTAAAATTCTTCTTTATCGATACTTGACCGGTACAAATTTTTCCGTCTAAATTCCGTAAAAATTTTTTTTTTATTTCAGACCTTTTTCGCCCTTTTCTAATTGTTATTTCATAAGTTATTACAAAAATCTTTCTTTAACAAAATTCAATAATTATTTAATAATAATAAATTCAATAATTTTCTATAGCAGAGGTGATATTTTGAAAAACGTTTCGAAAACAAAAGTGCAAAATATTTAACGGAAATTTTCATTAAGCGGAGATTAGAATTTATACGATTTATACATTATTTATATTTTCCTATTATAAGGAACTTTCTTTTGAAGGTTGGAAAACAAAACCTTGAATCAATTTTTCTTCGTGATTCTATAATAAATATAAATATATATTTAATTGACATCTAAAGTGACAGTGAGAGGAAAATTCTTAATGAAATTAGTTTCGTTTCAACTTTGAAGCAGAGCGAACGTAAAAATAGAAATATTTATTTTATAAAATCGCAAGAAATATTTTTTATATATTTTTCTGTATATTAAAAAAAAACAAAAAAATGGCCGAGTGTTCTGGAAATTTTTCATCAAATGAAAAAGAAGACTACACAGGACGTCCCAAAAATTTGTAAGTTTTTACTCTTTTTTTCTATATTTCTCTCTTTTATATTTAAAAAAAAATTCAAACTATATTTAATAATTTTTAAACGAACGAAAAAAATTTAATTAGATTATTTGTAAATATTTGTTAATATTAATTGAAATATTAATTAGTTATTGTAAATATTAATTAGAAAATTTTTATTTTATTCGTTGAAAACAGGAAAAAAATGAGCAAATTATTTGTAAATATGAAATTAAATGATGGAACAAAATTGAAGAAAATGGAATCCTCTGAACTAGTTGTGGAATTTCCGAAAATTTCACACGAGGAATCAAAGGGCAAACAATTTAACGTCGCTGGAAAAATAATTTCCTTTCTCGAGGTATTTACTGTTTATTCGTATTTAATTATTAATTTTATTCGAATACTATTTTCATTTATTTACCATTTTTATTTATTTCTCCATTTAGTTATTATTTTTATTTATTTATTTATTTATTATATTAACTATTTTAATTTACATATTACTTTCATTTAGTTTTTATTTATTTTTTTTTATTTAGCCAATTATTTATATTCACTGACTGTTTTTATTTATTTTTTTTCCTTTATTGTTTTTTTTTGTTTATTTATTATTTTTGTTGTTTCTCTTTATTTATTATATTCACTTATTTATTACTTTCATTTAATTATTATTTTTATTTGCTTACAATTTTTTATTAAATATTTTTTTTATATAATTGAATTGACGCGAAAAATTGTCTTATTTATATATGAAAATAATTGCAATCTTTAGACACATATTTTATTAATGTTAAAAATAATTGAATTCTTACAATGAATGAAAATTGTATTTAAAATAATTGAATTTCTGCAAAGAATTTTAGTATTTTTGAAAATAATCGAATTTTTGTAAATTTTTAAAAATAATTAATTTTCTGCGAAAAATTTGGTTTTTAAGAATATAATTGAATCCCTGCGAAGAATTTTTTGTTTAAGAATATAAATTAAATTCCTGTAAAAAATTTCGTTATTTTTGGAAATAAATTAATTTATATGCAACGAATTTCAAAAATTATTTTTTTTTGAAAATAATTGAATTGTTTTAAAGAATTTTATTAAAAAAATTTTTAAATAATTATAATCCACTAAGAAATTGTATTGAAAGTCAATTTTAAATAATTGAATTACTCCGAAGAATTTTATTATTTATGAAAATAATTGAATTTTTTAGAGAAATTTTAGTATTTTTGAAAATAATTGAATTTCAACAATAAATTTTATGGAAATTGTATTAAAAATAATTGAATTTGTCCAAAAAATTTCTTATTTATAAAAAAAATTGAATTTCTGACAAAAAAATTTCTTATTTATGAAAATAATTGAATTCTTTAGACAAATTTTATTATTTTTGAAAATAATTGAATTTGTGAAAAATTTTCTTATTTTTATGAAAATAATTGAATTTGTTAGAGGAAATTTTATTACTTTCGAATATAATTGCATTTTTATTGAAAATAATTGAATTATCTGCAAAAAATTTTATTATTATTATGAAAATAATTGAATTTGTATTTAAAATAATTGAATTTCTGCGAGAAAAGTTCTTATTTATGAATATAATTGAATTCTTTCAATAAATTTTATTCAAATTTTTATTGTGAAAATAATTGACTTTCTGCGAGAAAATTCCTTATTTATAAAAAAATTTGAATTTTTATTGAAAATAATTGAATTTCTGGAAAAAAATTCTTATTTATGAAAATAATTGAATTCTTTAGACAAATTTTATTATTTTTGCCAATAATTGAATTTGTATTGGAAATAATTGAATTCTTTAGAGAAATTGTAGTATTTTTGAAAATAATTGAATTCTTACAATAATATTTTATAAAAATTGTATTTAAAATAATTGAATTTCTGCGAAAAATTTCAGTATTTTTGAAAATAATTGAATTTTGTAGAGGAATTTTAGTATTTTTGAAATATAATTGAATTTCTTGCGAAAATTTTTTTTATTTGTGAAAATAATTGAATTTTTACGAAAAATGGTCTTATTTTTTAAAATAATTGAATTTTCATTATTTATTATTTTATTTATTTATTTATTATTGTCTTTTGTTTTTATTTATTAATTATAATCCTTTGTTTATTCTGTTTATTTACTTTTTTTGCTGATAAATTGCAATTTTTATAATTTATTAAATTATTCAATTTATTTTTGTCTTTTAATTAAACAAAAAATTTTTTCTATTCATTAATTGAAATGAATTGAAATGAATTGAAATTAATTGAAATTAATTGAAATTTTTTTGTTGAAATTAATGGAAATTTTGTTGTTGTAAGTAATGGAAATTAATTTATTGAAACTAATTGAAACGAATTTATTGAAATTAATGGAAATTAATTGATTGAAATTAATGGAGAATAATTTATTGAAATGAATTGAAATTAATTTATTGAAACTAATGAAAATTAATTGATTGAAATGAATTTATATCTAATATTTTATTTTCCTTTTTCCGAACAGAAAATCTCAGTAATTCTGGTGAAACCGTTACACAGTGAAATTGAACTGTTAAATATTGGAACAAATTTATATTATCGCACTGAGGACGCTTGGATTGTCGTGGGACATATTGATGAGATATTTGGCAATATCAAGGATCCAATGTACGCCGTGGGTTTGTTTTCAACCGAGAATCAGGTATTTCAAGTGGACAATGATGTTTATTTTCTGGCCGATGACAGCACCACATCATTGTTTCACCTTGAGTGCAATAATTCCAGTAAATACAATGTTGTCTATCATAATTAATTGGCAAATTTAGTTAAATAACATTTGGAGAAATATTAATATTTCCCTCAAATTTATTGTTATTAATTGTCAATTGTTAATATTTTTTTTGTTTCAAATTATATTCTAGTTATTTTTATACTTTTTAATTTTGTTTTTAACGAGTTTTTTAAATTTTGTTTTTTTTTTAAATTAAATTTTGTTTTTTTTTTAATTAAATTTTGTTTTTTTAATTAAATTTTATTTTTATTAAATTTTGTTTTTATTATTATATATTTTGTTTTTATGAATAAATTTCGTTTTTGTTGAAAAATTCTGTTTTTATTTCTAAATTTTGTTTTTCTTCAGAAAATTTCGTTTTTAAGATTAATTTTTCCTTTTCTAATTAAATTTCGCGTTTATTAGTAAATTTCCCTTTTGAGATCAAGTCTTTTTTTGTTTTAAATTTTCAATTTTTAGATTAATTCTTGATTTGCTTTTAAATTCACTTTTTTTTTATTAAATTTAGTTTTTCTTAGTAAACTTTGCATTTAAAATTAATCTTTGTTTTTGTATAAATAAATTCTGCTTTTTTTCAGTAAATTTCGCTTTTGAGATTCATTTTTGTTTTTGTATTTAAATTTCGCTTTTCTCGGTAAATTTTGTTTGTATTAGTAAATTTTGTTTTTGAGATAAATTCTTTTTTTTTTTGGTTTTTAATTTTCGTTTTTGCAACGAAATTTTGTTTTACTTAGTAAATTTTGCATTTGAAATTAATTTTTGATATTCTCCTAAGAATTCAATTAAAGTTCTAGAAAATAATTGAATTTTTTCGCAGCATTTAATTTACAATTGTAGTGAAAATATTTGAATTCTTCTAAAGAATTCAATCAAAATTTTTCGAAAAAATTGAATTTTTGGGAAGAATAGTTAACAAACTTTTAAAAGTTAAATTCTTTTGAGCAAATTCAATAAAACTTTTATTGAAAATAATATTGGATTTCTGCAAAAAAAATTCTTATTTATGGAAATAATTGAATTCCTGCGAAGAATATTATTTTGTGTACAAAAATGAAAAAATAATTAAATTCATTCAAATTTTTCTTTCGACAAATTAAATTAAAATTGTACTGAAATTAAATCAATTTTTATAAAGAATTTAATAAAAATTTATTGAAAGAATTGAATTTTTTCGAGAAATTTAATTTCAATTCTTTTAAATAATTTAATTTTTAAAAAAATGATATTAATTACGACAATAATTAAAAATATTGTTAAGAATTTAATTAAACTTTTAAAAATAATTGAATTCTTCAATAAATTTTATTCAAATTTTTTTTGTGAAAATAATTGAATTTCTGCGAGAAAATTTCTTATTTATGAAAATAATTGAATTTTTATTAAAAATAATTGAATTTCTGCAAAAGAAATTCTTATTTATGGAAATAATTGAATTTGTTAGAGGGAATTTTATTATTTTCGAAAATAATTGAATTTTTATTGAATATAATTGAATTTTTATTGAAAATAACTGAATTTTTATTGAAATTAATTGAATTTCTGCGAAAAATTTTCTTATTATTATAAAAATAATTGAATTTTTATTGTAAATAATTGAATTTTTATTGAAAATAATTGAATTTCTGCGAAAAATTTTCTTATTTATGAAAATAATTATTGAATTTTTTTAAATGGAAATTTTATTATTTTCGAAAATAATTGAATTTGTTTGGAATAATTTTTTAAAAATTTTTATTATTTATTAGTATAATTTTATTTTCATAATTAAATTTTTCTCTGTATCTTTTGTTTTTTTTAATTAAAAAATTTTTAAATTCCATTTTTATAATTAATTAAAAATTTTTTGTGAATTCTGCATTTTTATTAGTTAATTTTGTTTAATTAAATTTTTTTTTATTTGTAAATTTTACCGTTATAATTAAATTTCGCTATTATTACTCAATTTTGCATTTGTTATTAAATTTTGTTCCTCTGTGTGTTATTTTTTTTTTATTTTGTTATTGAATTTTTGTATTGTTCTTTGTAAATTATTATTTTTTTTTGCAAATTATTATATACAATTATTTTTTTTTATTTATTCAAAAGTTTAATTTATTTAAATCTATTATAAAATTGTATCTTTGTTATTATATCTTTATTTTTTTATCATTTCTTTCTATATTTTTTACACATTTTTACCAAAAACGAATTTTGAATTTTCCCGCCTTTTTACCAGAAACAGCGCCTCCAGTGTCAGAAGTACCAACCACAGTAGTTTTCCGGGTTGTCCAAAATTTTTTCTATTTTTCCTCCTTTTCTTTTGTATTTATATATAGAAACACTTTTATGTATATAAAAATCAGAGAAACAAGTGAACAAAATAACATCTACAATCCCAATTTTTTACTTTTCCCTTTTCTTTTTCATTTAATAATTGAAAACAAGTACAAAAATTTAACTTAAAGACACCAGGACACCACTGTCAAGATCGATGTATATAAATTGATTTATTGTTGTCATTGTTGTTGTTAACGTTGTTATATTTCCTGTAATAGAAATATTTTCTCCCTCACAAAGAAGAATTTCTCAAATTTGATTTTCTTCTTTTAAAAAAAGTGTTTTTTGTGTTTTTTAAAGCATTTAAAGTGAGAAAAGTGACGAACAGGGTGCCCTTCCTCCTATGGAATGCTAGAAGTATAATCCCAAAAAGAGCTGAATTTGAAGTACTTATGTGGAAAATTAATCCTGATGTAGTATGCCTCACGGAGACGTGGCTTAGTAACAAACACATTTTTGAATTCCCGGGATACATCACGCTTAGACAGGACCGTCCTGACGGCAGGGGGGGAGGAGTACTGATTCTTATTCGTAACAAAATTAATTTTTGCACAATAATATCCACTCATAATAATATTAATGACCTTCACATTGATATTGTGGGATTGAATATGAAAACACTGTATGGAAACACACAAATTATCTGTACATATGTTCCCCCTGGAAGAGATGTACCTGTACAACTGTGGGAGGAGATACTTGATGACCTCCCTACATACTCTAATCGTATTCTATGTGGGGATTTTAATGCACACCACACCTGCTGGGGCGATCATTCCACAAATTTAAGAGGATCTTCTCTTCTTACATTCACTATGCACAATGACTTGTTCCCAATGAATGACACACAACCTACTAGACATACGTACGACGACACACCTGGTAACAACCTTGATCTATTGTTCTGCACCTCCACAATATTGCAGACTTCTGACACCACAATACTTGATGACTCTTACACCTCTGATCATTATCCGGTAATAGTCAAGGCTAACATAAAACCACAGAATATATGCACAACCTCTACCAGAATTAATTTGAATAATGTTAACTGGAATGACTTTAGGGATCGTACTGACCATGACACACTTACTCTAGCTGACGAGCTTATTAATGAAATAAGACCAAGTGTTATATTCAATCGCTTTGTTACTAACATCAAGAACCGACTCTTGGAATGTGGGGCTTACATTCCTAAAGGAATTACACATATTAATAACTCTAAACCACTCTGGTGGAATGCAGAATGTGACAGAATCATAAAAATCAGGAGGGAAAATTATAAATGGTATCAAAATAATCAAAACTTAAATAATAGAATTGAGTTCAAAAGAAAAGATGAAGAGATTAAAAAGTTACTTAGAGCTCAAAAGACGTTAGGTTTTAAGAAATTTTGTGAGAGTATCTCCCCAGCACGTGGAACACAGGTGCTGTGGAGAACAATAAAAGCATTATCCTCTAGATCGGGATCAAGGTACACTAACATCACCACAGACCCTACACATCCTGATATGACTAAATTCAAGAATGATCTTATTAGAGAAGACATACCACCCTCAGAACTGGAATTCTTACCTACAACTCACATTTACACGGAGGATTTCACTCCTTTCACAAAAAATGAATTTGATGCTGTCCTAACATCTACCAAACCTGACTCTGCTCCGGGACAGGATAGAATCACTGGTGAAGTAATTAAAAAACTAGGTTCTATTTCTTTGGAGTTCCTTCTTCTAATATATAATAGAATGTTATTATTTTCATCCTTCCCGGAGGACTGGCAGGAGACCATGGTCATTCCAATTTCTAAACCTGGTGGAAAGGGATTCCGCCCTATTGCCCTTACATCCGTCTTCTGCAAGATATTCGAGGGGCTGATCCAGCGGAGGTTGGAGCATGATGTTGAGGCATCTCGAGCTATTCCTAAATACCAGTTTGGCTTTAGGAGGGAGAGGTCCTCAGTTGACTGTGTGTCCACCTTTGTGGCTGACATTCTGGGAGGTTTTACGGAAGCTGCACACACTTTGGCTATTTCGATAGATATTAAAGGGGCCTTTAATAACGTGCGACCTTCAATTTTGCATAGACATCTGATTGCCCTAAATATAAATCCACATTATATTAATTTCATTACTTTTTTAACAACAAAAAGATGGATCACCTTCTCAAACGGACCAGATAGAAAACTCTGTGGTATTGGTGTGCCACAGGGTGGTGTTCTTTCCCCTTTATTATTTAATATCTATCTTAGAAAAATCGGAAATATATTACCAATCAATTTTAAATATGTCATGTATGCGGATGACTTGCTTTTATATGTAAAATTTGATGACCCCAACTTGGTTGCCGAGGAGGCCACTGCGGTCCTTAATACCCTTAGTGCCTGGCTCGAAAACCTGGGCCTTGAGATTTCACCTAGCAAAACGTTTTGCTGTGTGTTCTCAAGATCCAGAACTCAATTTGATAATCTGGGAGTATATGTAGGGGATACACTCGTTAAATGTGAACATTCACTAAAATTGCTGGGAATAATTATGGATAGAAAATTAACTTGGTTACCACATATTACATACATAGCAAACAAAGCTACAAGGGCTTTGGGAATACTTAAAATCACGACCAGAACATCCTGGGGAACTAATCCAACTCTGGCGTTAATAGTATATAAGGGTTTAATTCGCGCGATACTAGACTGGGGCTCGCCCTTATTTGCTGACACTACAAAAACTAATTTGAAAATACTAGATAGAGTACAAAACGCTTCCCTCAGGATAGCTCTAGGACTTATGAGGTCTACCCCCATTTCTGTTCTCCTGGCAGAGGCGGGTGAGACTCCCCTCTCCTTACGAAGAATAATCCTATCCAATACATTTTTGCTGAGAAACTATAAATGGAAGGATAATCCATTGATTCCAAAATTGAAATTGTTAAAGGAAAGGCTCTCACTCCGAAAACTTAAAAATTACGAAACACGATACACAATTTTAAACACTTATTGCAGGGCGGTCCCCTTAGCTCAGGACAGGTTCAGGGCCTTTCGGACTTCATATTTCGACTGGGATTGGAGAGCGATCTCCTCCCCGGTGGACTGTGATCTCTTGACTGGTTTTAAATTTAAAAATAATCCTCATTCAGAAAGATCTTTTAGAGAGCATATTCAAAAGGAATATCGGGACTATACTGTCATTTACACTGACGCTTCGTACAACAGGAAGCATTCTGAGGCCTCAGCTGCAATTTATGTCGAGGGACGGGACTACCACTCTGGAACCCCCCTCCAGTTTGGTACCTCAGTTCTTACGGCGGAATTGTATGCCATTTTTAGAGCGATACTGTACGCTGAAATGCACTCACTATCAATGGTCCTCATTGTGTCTGACTCATTATCGGCGTTAAGTATCATCTCTAATTGCCTAAAATTTAAAAATATACCAGAAACTACATATAAAATACTCACACACATTTATACCTTTACAAACTCCTCCATAAACAACAAAATAAGCTTTTTGTGGGTTCCTGGTCACTCAGGCCTAGTAGGTAACGAAAGGGTTGATTTGACTGCGAAACTAACAAACTGCTATACAAATCGTATATACTTTAAACCTCCAATTGAAGATCTCAAAAAAGAAGTCATCCTTCCTGATATGGAAGCATGGCTCTCAAAGTTGTGGCCCTACACAGAGGTACAGTCTAATAATCCCTATTTTGGTAGAGTGAATTTTGAAACTAGCAGACCCTGGTTCAAGGATATATCACGACCCAGAAGGGAAATTGTAACAATAACTAGATTGAGATCTACACACATCTCAACCGCGGACCATCTAAGCAGATTTTATAATAACGCGAACTTGACCTGCGGATGTGGATCGATGTGGAGAAGTCTCGAGCATATTATTTATGATTGTCCCATTTTGGAACAAGCAAGACCAAAATACATCCGATTTTTGAATAAAAAATTTCCAGGTTTGAATCCGAGAGAGATCTCGATGGATGACTTAGTGTACAATCCAGATGAGGAACTTGTCAGGGAGCTGGGAGGCTTCATAACCTCTGGCGGAATTAATCTGTGAGATGTGGGGTCGAGTGCCTTGGTGCTCATTCCCTCTGCTTCTTCGGACCGTTCATGTAATATCAAACGATCACTTACTATGAATTAATTAAATAAAGGTCCCAAGTAAGGGGAGGGATTGATGTATGATTGCGCGGCCCTTTCTCTCTTTGATCCAAAATAAAAAAACAAAAATCCCTGGCAGTACTATCCTTAAAGAATGTTTTTTATTTTTTCTCACAATATTTTTTTTGAAACAGTACAAAGACCTTTGACACTTACATACTTGACTATATAGACAACAACTAGACTGACTATGTGGACTGCCTATTCCTTATTTTCCTTATCCTGAAAGACATTCAAATGGATTGGACACAAGCTGCTCAAATGGACAAGATTCACTCTCAACTAAAGTCATGTACACACGGACACGAATCAAACGCAATCACTTTATATTCTTCTATTCTATTTTGTTTGTTCTGACAGTTGGCTGAGCCAGAAGTCATTTAAGAAGAAGAAGAAGAAGAAATATTTTCTCCCTCACAAAGAAGAATTTCTCAAATTTGATTTTCTTCTTTTAAAAAAAGTGTTTTTTGTGTTTTTTAAAGCATTTAAAGTGAGAAAAGTGACGAACAGGGTGCCCTTCCAGGAGCGTATGAATTAATTCCGAAACCCTGACAATAGAATAATTTCCTTTGATTATTGATCTCTAACATTAATAATTAGAAACAAAGACTAAATATGTTTAGAAAATTGAACAAAAATATATTTTTCAGCAAGTGAATATTTTGGTTTTTTTTAATATTTAATATCGTTTTTTTTTAAAAGAGACACATGTTTTTTTTTGGAGTGAATTTACAGTGTTGAGAAAGAGTGGTTAAGGAGTCGAGAAAAAATAAGGAAGGAATTATAGTAGGGAAACCTGTTTAGTGATTGGTGTTAATTTATTTTTGTTCTACTTCTGTCAGAAAGACGTGGCAAAGAGGCAAAAGTGTCAGCATTAATTTTGTTATTTACTTTTTTATTCAAATATTATTAAATTCCACCACACTGACATTCTATTCTTTTTTGAAAAAACAAAAGAAGAACAATCAGTCGAGGTTCGATATTATTATGAGAAGGACATAAGGAAGTTAAATATGTCAAAAGAAATTAATAATATCAGGAAGAGACCATTGGCGGTAAGAACATTTTTTTTTCTCTAATGATTCTTATTGTTTTCCACTATAATTGTAATATTTATCAAAATTTCTAATTTCGTTTAATCGTTGACCAATTACGTTAAAAAAACAAATTTTCATTTATTTCATTTTATTTTTATTAAATTTTATTTTACTCATTTATTTTCGATTTTTTTTCTTTTTGAGAAGACAACAAAATATTTAAAAATTTGTTTTTTTCTACAGTTAATTAATTTGTTTTTTTTTATTTATTTTCGATTATTTTTTTTCTTTATTAAAATAAATTAAATGAATGAAATTAAGTTGGGAATTATTTAAATATAATTTGTAATTGTTTAATTTATAATTTTTTTTTCTTTTTTGTTTTCTGAGAGAATATATTTTTTTCGGGGAAAAATTAGAAAGTCGATGAGATCTAACCTACATGTTGAAAGTTTTTACCGTTTTTACTCATCTTTAGTCCATGAGATTCATTTCCATATAGAAATGAAAAGAATTCTTAAACTTAATATTAAAAAAACATGCTTTTAAATTTCTTGAAAGAAAAAAAAAGTTTTTTTGAAAATTTCAGAAAAGAATTTTGAAAAATTAATCAGTTTTCAATAAATTTAATTGCTAATTTAGAAAATAATTGAATTTTAAAGAATTGAATTGCTAATTTTGAAAATAATTGAATTTTAAAGAATTTAATTGCTAATTTTCAAAGTAATTGAATTTTAAAAAATTTAATTAAAAAATTTAAAGAATTTAATTTTTAATTTACAAAATAATTGAATTTTAAAGAATTTAATTGCTAATTTTGAAAATAATTGAATTTTAAAGAATTTAATTGCTAATTTTCAAAGTAATTGAATTTTAAAGAATTTAATTAAAAAAATTTAAAGAATTTATAATTTTGAAAATAATTGAATTTTAAAGAATTTAATTGCTAATTTTGAAAATAATTGAATTTTTGAGAGTAAATTTTATTACAATTTTCGAAAATAATTGAATTTCTTGAGAAAATTTTTTTATTCATGAAAATAATTGAATTCCTTAGTGAGTAAATTTAATTGATTTTCGAGAAAATAATTGAATTGTTTGGAATAATTGGACTAAAATTTTTAAAACCTAATTAAATTCATTCAAGAATTTGAAAATCCGTGTTTTTTGCTGACAACGAGCGTGTAATATTTGCTAGTACTTAATAATTTACTGTTTTTATTTATTTTTTATTTCAATTCTTTTTTTTTTAATAAAACTAAATTTTTCGAATATTTGTATTTTTCCATAGTAAAATATTGAAATTTTCTTTTTCTTCCAGACTTGTGCGAATGTTTCGTACCAAGATCACAATGTCTCGCGTGTAAAAAGAGGCGAAGCCTTGGGCTTCACAAACGGTTTTCGAGGATGCACCATTTGGCTGACGGGCTTATCGGGAGCGGGCAAAACCTCGATATCATTTCAAGTCGAGGCCTATTTGGTGAATCGTGGAATTGCAGCGTACAGCTTGGACGGCGACAATGTGAGAACGGGACTCAACAAAAATTTGGGATTCAGCGAGGAGGACAGAACGGAGAATATAAGGAGGGTCGCCGAAGTTGCCAAATTATTCGCTGACAGTGGACAAATTTGTCTCTGCAGTTTCGTATCGCCCTTCGAAAAAGATCGACAAATGGCGAGGGAAATTCACGAGGCCGGGAAATTGCCATTCTTTGAGGTCTTCATTGACACGCCACTCGATGTTTGCGAGGCGCGGGACACGAAGGGACTTTACAAGCGGGCAAGACGAGGTTATTTTTTTTTCTTCTTGATCAATTTTCCCTTTCTGTCGATTTTAAATCGAATTTTTCTCATCTTTCGATTTTAATTCAAATTTTCCTTCTGTTCTTTTCATTATTTTTCCTTTTCTTTCGATTGTAATTCAAATTTTCCTGTTCTCTCGATTTTAACACAAACTTTCAATTTTTAATAAATTTAAAAAGAAATTTTAAGAACAATTATTGACTACAGAAATTCAATTATTTTCAAAAATTTATAAACATTCTCGTCAAAATTTCAATTATTTTTATAAATAATACAATTCTTCTCCAAAATTCAATTATTTTCCAAAAATTTCATAAAATTCTCGTCAAAATTTCAATTATTTTCCAAAATTTCATAAAATTCTTGGCAAAATATCAATTATTTTCAAAAATTTTCCTCATTTCAATTATTTTTAATATCTATTTTAATAAAAATTTCACAGTAATTCAATTACTTTCCCATTTTTTATAAATTTCTTCACACCAATTCAATTATTTTTAATTTTTTAATGAAGTTTATCGAAAGAATTCAAATATATTCAAAGAGTAGAAAAAAATAGTTCTGAGAAATTCAATTATTTCGAAAACTTGAAATAAAATTCTTTTAAAAATTCTATTATTTAAAAAAATTTTGACAAAATTCTTTACAAGATTTAGTTAATAAAATTGCAATTTTAATAAAATTTTCCTACTCAATTCAATTATTTTCAATACAATTCTTCTTAAGAATTCAATTATTTTCACAAATAAAACATTTTTTTTAATGGGAATTCAATTATTTGAAAAAAAATTTGAATAAAATTCTTCGTAAGAAATCAATTATTTTCATAAATAATAAAATTTTTCTCGAGAATTCGATTAGTTCAAAAAAATTTTGATAAAATGCTTTATAAATTTGAAAAATTAAAAATAAAATTGATTATAGAATACAATTATTTTGTCGATGGAATTTAATTTTTTTTCAAAATGTTATAAAAAATTCTGAGAAATTCAATTATTTAAAAAATTTGAATAAAATTCTTCACGAGAAATTAACTTAATATCTTAAATAATAATATTTTTTTTAAGCCATTAGGCCACAAGAAAGAAGGAAATCTTTACTGTATTATAATTGGCTTAAAATGAAAAAGGAGTTATACACTCCATATACTTAATAATATTTTTCTCCGGAATTCAATTATTTTCACAAATAAAATATTCTTCACAGGAATTCTTTCCTGATATTTTGTTGATAATAATTGAATTTTTGCAAAAATTTTACTATTTGAAAAAACAATTGAATTTGTTTCGAAGGATTTATTAAAATTTTGTTGAAAATAATTCAATTTTTGCAAAACAAATTTATTATTTATGAAAATAACTGAATTCTTCAGAAGAATGTTATTATTTATGAAAATAATTGAATTATTGCTAAGAATTTTAATAATTTTTGAAAATAATAGAATTCCTGTGAAGATTTTATTAATTTTTTAAAATAATTGAATTTCTACGAAGATTTTTATTGTTTTTTTTAAATAATTTTATTTTTGCGAAGAATTTTATTAAAAGTTTTCAAAAAAAAATTGAATTCGTGCAATAAATTTTATAAACATTGAATTCAAAATAATTTTATTCTTTCAATTAATTTTATGAAAATTGTATTGAAAATAATTAAATTTCTGCAAAAAATTTTCTCATTTATGAAAATAATTGCATTCTTTGGAGGAATTTTAGTATTTTTGAAAATAATTGAATTCTTTTAATAAATTTAATTTGAATTGCATTGAGTTAAAAATAATTTAATTTCTTGCGGAAATTTTTTTCATTTATGAAAGTAATTGAATTCTTGAGAGTAAATTTTATTATTTTGGAAAATAATTGACTTTCTTGCAAAAATTGTTGTATTTATGAGAATAATTGAATTCTTGATAGTAAATTTTATTATTTTATTATTATTTTATAAGAATTATAATTACTGTCAAAAATGTTTATAAAAATCTTCGAAACAATTCAATTATTTTCTTTAAAAATAAAATTCTTCGAAGCAATTCAATTATTTAGGAAATTTTAATTAAATTCTTCTCAAGAATTCAAATTTTTTTCAAAAATAAAACTTTTCACAAGAATTCAATTATTTAAAAAAAAAATTTAATAAAATTCTTTGTCAGATTTCAATTATTTTCAATTTTTTTAATGAAATTTTGTCGATGGAATTTAATTATTTTCAAAATGTTATAAAAAATTCTGAAAAATTCAATTATTTAAAAAATTTGAATAAAATGCTTCACAAGAAATTAATTTAATATCATAAATAATAATATTTTTCTCCGGAATTCAATTATTTTCAGAAATAAAATTCTTTACAGGAATTCAATTCTTTAACAAATTTTTTAATAAAATTCGTTGCAAGAATTAAATTACTTTGATTAATAACAATATTTATAGCATAGTTTCAATTATTTTTTATGTACAATTTTACATAAACTGATAGAAAATTGCATTTATTCTTTATAATTTTTTTAAAATTCGCCGAAAGAATTCAATTATTTTTAGAAGTTTTTATAAATTTCTTTAAAAAAAATCAATTTTAAGAAATATTCAATTATTTAATAGATTATTTATCTTTGTATTTAAATAATTGAATTTTCGAAAAATTTTCTAATAAAAATTGATTAAAAATGAATTTCAGTTAAAAATTGAAATTATAATTGAATATTAAAAGCATCATGGCGTAAATTTTTCTAAATCGATTGCTCCGAGTCGAAGACTCGGAGTGATCGATTTCTTCATGTTTTATAACAATTTTTTATTTTTAAACTTTCATTCTTTTTTTTTATTAATTTTTCCTTTACTTTCGATTTTAATTCTAATTTTCCTTTTATCTTTTTATTCAGTTTTCCAATGTTTTGCTTTAAATTCTAATTTTCCCTTTCTTTCGATTTTAATTCGAATTTTCCATTTCTTTTGATTTTGATTCAAATTTTCTTCTTTCTGTTTAAAAAATTTTTCCCCTTTGTTCGATTTACACTCGAATTTTCCTTTTTTTTTGTTCGATATTCGAATTTTCCTTTTCTTTCGATTTTAATTCAATTTTTCCTTTTTTTGTGTTCTTTATTTAAATTTTCCCTCTTTCGATATTAATTTTCTATTTTTTCGTTTATTTTTTTTTTTTTTTGCAAATTGGAAATAGAAAATTAAAATTTAAAATTGTGTCTTCTTTTTTTGGCAGGAGAAATAAAAAAATTCACTGGAATCGATCAGGAATATCAAATACCGCAAAATTATGATTTGAGAGTAAAGACGGAAAATTATACAATTGAGGAATCGGCGGCGATTGTCATCAATTTATTGGAGAAGAAAAACTTTATACCCGTGTTGCCGAAACCCTGGATAAGCATTGAGAAGGAACGAGAGAGACTCAAAGCGCCGCAACTCTTGGCGGAAACTTTAAAGTCCATCGACATTTCCACAATCGACGTTCAATGGTTGCAAATTATTGCCGAAGGTTGGGCGGCGCCTTTGAAAGGCTTCATGCGAGAGGACCAATATTTGGAAGTATGTTCATTATTTATTCTCGTTCTATTTAACGGAAAATAATGGAAAAAATATTTTTTGCCTTTTTATTATTTCATTTTATTTTTAATTAATTGTTTTTGAAAAATTTTAATTTCAATTTTGTTTTAAATTAGTTTCAAATTTAAAAATTTTAACGCAATTTTTTGAAAGGAGTCAATTATCTTAGTAAATATTAAAATTCTTTCCAGAGTTTCTATTTTTTAATTTTTATTTTGAGTTGGAAAAAAATTGTTAAAAGTTAAAAAGAAAAATTATTCTTCAGGTGCAACATTTGAAGACACTGACTGTGAATGGAGTGGAAGTGAATCAATCAATTCCGATTGTCCTCGCGGTGACGAAGGAGGATAAGGAGCGTCTCGAAAATGAAACGAGAATTTGTCTCCGCTATAATGGAAAAAATGTGGCGATTTTAGAAGCACCGGAATTTTATTTTCATCGTAAGGAGGAGCGATGTGGTTGGCAATTCGGAACGACGAATATCGCGCATCCTTATGTGAAAATGATTTATGAATCTGGCGATTGGCTGGTTGGCGGTGAGGTGGAATTGCTGTGTAAAAAAATATTGTGGAACGATGGACTCGATGAATATCGATTGACGCCAAACGAAATAAAACTCAAGTGCAAAGAAATGAAGGCCGACGCAATTTTTGCATTTCAATTGAGAAATCCCATTCATAATGGACACGCACTCCTCATGCAGGTAATGAATTATTTTTTTCATTTTCTTTTCATTTTTGGTAATGAATTTTATTATTTTCACTTTCTTTTCTTTTTTGGCAATGAATTTTATTATTTTCACTTTCTTTTCATTTTTGGTAATGAATTTTATTATTTTCACTTTCTTTTCATTTTTGGTAGAAGAAATGTTTTATTTTTTGTCAAATTTCTTTTTTAACTTTTGATTTTTTAATTCTTGAAAATGTTTTCTTTATTTTGGAAAAAAATTTAAAAATGAAGAAAATAGAATTTTCTACAGAAATTTTTTGAATTTTCAATACAAAAATACTCTTTTTTTCAAGGATACGAGAAAAAAACTTTTGGAGGAGAAAGGTTATAAAAATCCAGTTTTGCTCCTTCATCCATTGGGCGGATGGACAAAGGACGATGACGTTCCTCTGAAAGTACGAATTGAACAACACAAAGCAGTTCTCGACGAGGGAATTCTCGATTGGAAATCAACTCTTTTGGCGATATTTCCATCTCCAATGATGTACGCTGGACCAATCGAGGCAAGTTTTTCGAGAGAAAGAAGGAGAAAACAAAACAAAAATTATTGAAAAAATTAATAAAAGTAATAAATAATAATTACCTATTTTTAGTTAATAATTAATTGTGAATTCTTTTTTTTGAAACTTTAGGTTCAATGGCACGCGAAAGCGAGAATGAATGCCGGAGCAAATTTTTACATTGTCGGAAGGGATCCAGCTGGGATACCGCATCCAAATCCAAGTTCAACGCCAGATGGAAATTTATACGATCCAACGCATGGTGCGCGGGTATTGGAGAAAGCACGTGGTCTACGTACACTCGAAATTATTCCATTTCGCGTCGCCGCCTATGACGTGAGAAATAAAAGAATGGCATATTTCGAGGAAGAGAGAGAAGAAGATTTTCGACTTCTATCCGGAACTAGAATAAGACGTACGTTCATATAATTCTATGCAAATTAACAAAATTTATTATTTTTAAAATATTCCATTAATTATGAATTTCGGAATAATTTCAGATTCAAAATTAAAAAAAAAGAAATTATTAGCTAATTTACTAACTAATTATAATTATTTATTGTTTTTAAAAAGATTCATAATATTCTTCGCGGGAATTCAATTATTTTCAATATAACTTTAATTGAATTCCCCCAAAAAGAATTCCGTTTATTTTTAAAAGTTTTGATAAAATTCTTCGCAAAAATACAATTATTTTGAAAAAATTTTCATTTCATAAAATTCAGTTACTTTCAAAATTTTTAATTAAACTTATTAAAGAAACTCTATTATTTAAAAAAAAAATTCAAAGAAATTCTTCAAAAGAATTGAATTCGGATTTTTTCGAGAATTCAATTATTTAAATGCAAAGATAAATAATGTATTAAATAATTAAATAATTATTAAAATTGAATTTTTTTAAACAAATTTATAAAAAAATTCTAAAAATAATTGAATTCTTTCGGCGAATTTCAAAAAAAAATTATAAAGAATAAATGCAATTTTCTAACAGTTTATGTGAAATTGTACATAAAAAATAATTCAAACTCTGCTATTGAATTTCTTAGAATTTTTTAAAACCTTTTAAAAATAATTAAATTCCATCGAGAAATTGAAAATAATTGAAATCTGACGAAGAATTTTATTTAATTTTTTTTAATAATAAATTCTTGTGAAAAGATTTATTTTAAAAAAAAATTTGAATTCTTGGGAAGAATTTAATTAAAATTTCTTAAATAATTAAATCGCTTCGAAGTATTTTATTTTTTAAGAAAATAATTGAATTGTTTCGAAGATTTTTACAAACATTTTTGACAGTAATTGTAATTCTTATAAAATAATAAAATTTACTCTCAAGAATTAAATTATCTTTTGAAAATAATAGAATTCCAGTGAAGAAAATAAAGCATTGAAATTCTTCGAAGAATTCAAGAATTTAATTACTTTCATAAATAAAAAAATTTCCGCAAGAAATTAAATTATTTTTAACTCAATGCAATTCAAATTAAATTTATTAAAAGAATTCAATTATTTTCAAAAATACTAAAATTCCTCCAAAGAATGCAATTATTTTCATAAATGAGAAAATTTTTTGCAGAAATTTAATTATTTTTAATACAATTTTCATAAAATTAATTGAAAGAATAAAATTATTTTGAATTCAATGTTTATAAAATTTATTGCACGAATTTAATTTTTTTTTGAAAACTTTTAATAAAATTCTTCGCAAAAATAAAATTATTTAAAAAAAAACAATAAAAATTTTCGTAGAAATTCAATTATTTTAAAAAATTAATAAAATCTTCACAGGAATTCTATTATTTTCAAAAATTATTAAAATTCTTAGCCATAATTCAATTATTTTCATAAATAATAACATTCTTCTGAAGATTTCAGTTATTTTCATAAATAATAAATTTGTTTTGAAAAAATTGAATTATTTTCAACAAAATTTTAATAAATCCTTCGAAACAAATTCAATTGTTTTTTCAAATAGTAAAATCTTTGCAAAAATTCAATTATTATCAATAAAATATCAGGAAAGAATTCCTGTAAAGAATATTTTATTTGTGAAAATAATTGAATTCCGGAAAAAAATATTATTATTTATGATATTAAATTAATTTCTTGTGAAGAATTTTATTCAAATTTTTTAAATAATTGAATTTCTCAGAATTTTTTATAACATTTTGAAAATAATTAAATTTCATTAAAAAATTGAAAATAATTGAAATCTGACGAAGAATTTTATTAAATTTTTTTTTAAATAATTGAATTCTTGTGAAAAGTTTTATTTTTAAAAAAAATTTGAATTCTTGGGAAGAATTTAATTAAAATTTCTTAAATAATTGAATTGCCTTGAAGAATTTTTTTTTTAGAAAATAATTGAATTGTTTCGAAGATTTTTACAAACTTGACAGTAAAATTGTAATTCCTATAAGGAATGTTATATTTTACGAAAATAATTGTATTCTATAGTCAATTTTATTATAATTTTTCAAATTTATAAAGCATTTTATCTCAAAATTTTTGAAATAATTGAATTCTCGAGAAAAATTTTATTATTTATGAAAATAATTGATTTCTTACGAAGAATTTTATTTAAATTTTTTTCAAATAATTGAATTTTTAAGAAGAATTGTATTGAAAATAATTGAATTGAATAGGGAAATTTTATTAAAATTGCAATTTAATTAACTAAATCTTGTAAAGAATTTTGTCAATATTTTTTTAAATAACAGAATTTTTAAAAGAATTTTATTTAAATTTTGCGAAATAATTGAATTTCTCAGAACTATTTTTTTCTATTCTTTGAATATATTTGAATTCTTTCGATAAACTTCATTAAAAAATTAAAAATAATTGAATTCTTTTGGAAAATTTGATTAAAATAGTAAATATTAAAAATAATTGAAATGAGGAAAATTTTTGAAAATAATTAAAATTTTGACAAGAATTTTATTAAATTTTTGAAAATAATTGAATTTCGGAGAAGAATTGTATTATTTATAAAAATAATTAAAATTTTGACGAGAATGTTTATAAATTTTTGAAAATAATTGAATTTCTGTAATCAGTTGTTCTTAAAATTTCTATTTAAATTCATTAAAAATTGAAATTTTTAAAAATTTCATATTAAAGCCTTTGAAGTTGATCTATTTATGCAGCTTTTGAAATCTAATTAATTTGGAAAATTTTGAAGTAAAATTATTCATTTAATAATTTTTGAGTAATAATTTGATGATAGTTGTTAAAAAATGAAGTTATTAAAAAAGAAATTATTGTCAGAAAAAGAAAAAATTGAAAGTTTTGTATTAAAATTCTTGTCAATTTCATAGTTTGTGAGGTAAACAAAAAAGACACAAAAATTCAGAATTTTCTTATAAATTCTAAAACTTAAATTTTTCCCAGTACTTTTAATAAAAATCCCTGACTTTTCCCTGATTTCCCTGACTTGTGACAACCTTGTTATTTATTAATATTTATTTATATATATATTTCTATCCACTGAGAAATTATGCATTAAAATAAATTTCAAATTTCAGATCTTGCGAAAATGAACGAAACACCACCGGAAGGTTACATGGCACCGAAGGCATGGAACATACTCGTCGATTATTATCAAAATTTAAAATCGTAGCAAGTTTTTTTTCTTTCTTTATAAAATTAAGGTAAAAAAACAAAAAAATATTTTATTTTGCTCTTTAAATATGTAATTTACTATTTTTACTCTTTTTTATTTTAAATAACTTATTATTTTAAGACCACTATTATAATTATGTAAACATAACAGAACGACAAAAATGTTTTCTCTGAGATTCATTTTTTGATTGTATTTTCTATTTATTTTTTTTATTCCTTTGGGACACACTTGCAATAAATTTTTTCTCTTCAAATTATAATTCCTTATATAGAAATTGTGTAAATATTCATAAGAAAGAGAATTATTATAATAATAAATTTCTATTATTTAAATCTGAATGTGAATTTAAAAGAAAATATATTCCGATTATTGAAAATGGAGAGAACTTCAAATTATTTATTACCGAAAATATGAAATGAATGTAAGAAAGAAATTGAAAAATAGTTATAAGTAAATACTATTTATTTCTATAAAATAAGAATAATTTCTCGTCGTAATTATTTTCTTTTCTTCAAAAAATCAAGAGAGAAATTGTTTTTATATTAATCACGAAAAACTAATTTTAAATACATATTTCAACTTAACTTCAAAGTCAGTCTAAGAATTTAATTTTTTTTCTTTAGCTTTAAATATATAATCGTGTTTATATAATTATATGTAACATTTAATTATAATTATATTTCCATATAATTGTATAAAATATTTAATTATAATCATATTTTTTATATAATTATAATTTAACTTATAATCATTATTTTCTCTATAATTATAAAATAGTTAATTATAATTATTTTCTATATAATTATAAAATAATTATAATTATATTTTCTTTATAATTCTATTAAAATATAATTTTATATAATTTATAATTATATTCAAAAAATACATAATATATAATTATAATTGGATATATAATTATAATTTCATTCGCATAGATAATTGTTTATTTTAATTATATATTTAATTATAAGAATATAATAATTATGCCTATAATTATCGTGTTTTTTTCCTTATTTGCAAAATAATAATTATTTATAACAACTACATTTTATTTAATCCAATAAATAAATTCCATTTCAGAATTTTTGACATTCAATTTTTTTCAAAGTAAAAAAAAAATTCTTCATTGTCACATAAATTTTTTTGTTTTGTTAGTAAAAAAAAAATCTTTTTACAAAATAAAAAATAAAGAAAAAGAAAAATTTCGAAGCGACAATTTTTGCAGAAAACATTTTCTTTAAAAATAAAAATAAAATGTTTCTCTTTACGAAATAAAATATTATTTCGGAAAAAAACAGAAATCGTTTTTCTTTATGAAATAAAATATTTCGTAAAAAAAACCGAAAATATTTTTCTTTACGAAATAAAATATTATTTCGGGAAATAAAAGAAAATGTTTTTCTTTACGAAATAAAATATTATCTCGTAAAGAAAAATATTTTCTTTTTTTCTTCATTTCGTAGAAAAAAACCGAAAATTGTCGTTTGGAATTTTCTTTTTCGAAAAAAGAGAAATCGAAGAAAAAAAAAAGAAAAATTGCAATCGATTTGTATTTAGATGAGAGAATAATTTCTTTTTTTATATATAATATAGATATAGAAATGTGTGGTGAATAATATACAAAAGGGGAATTAAAAATGATTACTCTTCTTCTTCTTCTTCTTCTTCGACTTCGTTATTGTACATTATTGAAGTTGTCGCGAGATTAACTTCGGCATTCTCCTCGGTGAGATCGGGAAGCGAGAGGACGACGGGGATCATTTGTATTTTGCCCTCCTCGTCCTGTTGCTCGATGTGAACGACGGTGCCCGATTGGAGAAGTTGATTTGCCATTAATTCGTCATCGATTATTTGCGTTGTCTCGATACTCTCGATATTTTCCGCTGTCACTTCCTCGGTATAAACGGCAGTGTCCTCCATGTTCATTATCACTTCGGTTGCGTCCTTTGAACTTTCTTCATAGTCCTGTGAAAATGGGAAATTGTCATTTTAATTTTAAACAAAAATTCAATTCAATTTCAATCAAATTGAAAATTACGATTCAATTAAAAATTCTTTCAATTTAAAAGAAAAATTCAATAAATATTTAATTCAATTTCAATTTTATAAAATCAATTCTAAAAATTAAACTTCGATTTAATTAAGAATTCTTTGAATTTCTAACAAAAATTAAATTTAATTTCAATAAAATTCAATAAAATAAGTTACGATTTAATTAAGAATTCTTTCAATTTCAATTCAATTTGTATCAAATTCAATAAAATAAATTAAGATTTAATTAAGAATTCTTTCAATTTCAAACAAAAATTCAATACAATTTCAATCAAATTCTATAAAATAAATTTCACTTCAATTAAGAATTATTTGAATTTCAAAGCAAAAATTCAATTCAATTTCAATCAAATTCAAAATAAATTACAATTTAATTAAGAATTCTTTAAATTTCAAACAAAAATTCATTTCTATTTAAATTAAATTCTATAAAATAAATTTCGATTCAATTAAGAATTCTTTGAATTTCAAAGCAAAAATTCAATTCAATTTCAATCAAATTCAATAAAATAAATTACGATTCAGTTAAGAATTTTTTTTTATTACAATTGTAAAACTTCATATGGTTTCTTTTTTATTTTTTAATCTGAATTATTGTAAAAATTCAACTCAAAATAATTGAATTTTCAATTCTTCAAATACAAAAATTCAATTTTTTTAAAATGAAAATTACAATTGTAACTCTTCATGGTTTCTTTTTTATTTTTAAATCTGAATTATTGAAAAAAATTAACTGACAAAAATTGAATTTTAAACAAATATTTCAAGAAATTTTATTGAAATTAATTGAAAATAATCATTAAAATTTCGAAAAATCAAGATTTTTTATGAATTTCAATTAAAATTTAAAAAATTTAATTAAACTGTTCGGAAAAATTCAATTATTTTCATAAATATTAACAATTCTTTCCAGGATTTGAATTATTTTTTTAATTCAACTTTAAATAAATGAAAATATTTTTTCAATTGAATTGTTATTTTTATTTAAATTTGATTAGAATTGAATTTAAAAATTGAAATTTCTGTTTAAATTTGGTAAAAAAAATAATTGAATTGCAATTAATTTTGAATTTTATTTAAAGTGGAATTTTTTTTGTCAAAATTAAAAGTATTTTTAATAAAAAATATTTTAAATTCTAAATTAATTTGTTATTTATTTCAATTTTAAATTAAATTCGAAATTTGAAATTTTTAAATTTAGTTTAAAATTGAAAAAATTTGAATTCAATAAAAATAGAATTGAAATTAATTGTAATTGAATCAGATTATTTAAATTTTGATAAAATTGCAAATATTTTGTATTGATTTGTTAATTATTACCCACAATTTTAAATTGAATTTGAAACTTGAATGTTTGTGATTTTCATTGCAAATTGAAAATATTTTGATTTTAATTTGTAATTGAATTGAATTTTTGTTTTGAAATTGAAAGTATTCTGAATTGAATCGTAATTTATTTTGAATTTTATTGAAATTGAATCGAATTTTTTATTCTTTGTTCAAAATTGAAAATAATTATTTTGAAATTGAATGAAAAATTGAATATTTTTATATTGAAAATATTTTGAATTGAATTGACATTGAATTGAGTTTTATGAAATTTGAGTTAAAATTAATATTTTGAATTGAAAGTATGTAAAATAGAATTAAAATTAATTGAAATTCAGTTAGATTTTTGAAATTTTCTTTTAAATTGAAAATATTCTGAATTAATTTGTAATTTATTTCAATTTGAAATTGAATTTGAGAATTCGATTTTTGAAATTTTGTTTTTAAAATATAAAAAAAATACTGATCAAATTTCTGATTTTTTTATTTAAAATACTGGAAAAGAAATTAAATTTTGTTTCGATTTTATAAGAAAATTAAAAAATATCAATAGACATTATTAACTATTGACAATAAAGAACAAAGAAGAAAATAGAAAAAGACAATAAACAAGAAATAAATAAATAAAAATGATAATAAACAAGAAAATAAGAAAAACAATAAACAAAAAATAAATAAATAAAAACGACAATAGACAAGAAAATAAGAAAAAAAAATAACCAAGAAATAAATAAATAAAAATGACAATAAACAAGAAAATAAAAAGGACAATAAACAAGAAATAAATAAATAAACAAGACGCGCGTGTTTTTTTAAATTTAATTTCAACTAGCGAAACTATCTAATAAATTAGTTGAAATTAAATAAACAAACATTAAAAAATAAATAAATTACCTGTGGATAGTCGCCGTGCTCGTCCTCGGTACCAATAATATTCGCCTCAATTTTCACATGTTCCTCGGCCTCATAGGCGGCATCGACTAATCTCGCCTCCATTTCCATTGTCTCCATTTCGTCGTCTTCCATTTGCTCGTCCATTGGCTCCTCCATTTGTTCCTCCATTTGTTCCTCGAGCATTTCCTGCTCCTGATCGGAATTCGACGTGTCGTCATCCTCCTTTCTCGTCTTCACTTTCTTCGGTCCACGATTAGTGACAATTCGCTTGAATCCAGAACCGCCGAGACTCTCGTGTCGTCTCTCGTGCTTATTCTTATCGCCGAGGTACTTGAAACGCTGTCTGCAAACGCTACACGAATATGGACGCTCGTTCGTGTGCGTTCTCTCGTGACAAACCAGGGCGCTCACCTTTAACGAACAAAAAAAATAATCAGAATATTAACAATAATTGTTTTTTGTATTTTCCTAACTTTTCCCTAATTTCCAGACAAAATTTTCACTTTTTCCCTGACCCTAAAGAATATTTTGCGATTCACTCTGAAAATTATTAGATACTCAAAAAAATGTTCTAACATTTATTTACGAATTTCCTTAAATGTAAAATTATTCAAAAACACCAATAACTTCATTTTTAAATCAATATTTTATCATTATTATTTTTCCATAGAAACTCCGATTTTCAAAATTTCTAATTCTAATAATTATAAGAATATTATTACAAAACATGAAGAAATCAATAACTCCGAGTCTTCGACTCGGAGTCATTGCTTTCATCATGTTTTTATAATAATTAAAGGTGACCGAGTGATAAAATCATTATTTTATATTATAAGAATATTTTTACTGGAAATTCTTCAAAATTATTTTCATCATTTCAATTCAATTATTATTTTCTACAATTTTTAACTAACATTCTTCTCTAAATCAACTTAATTTAATAATTTTTTAAAAAGTTCTTCTTTCAGAATTTTTAAATCCATTTGTTTAAAATTCAATTTTAGGTGAAATTTCAATTATTCGGAAATTCTATAATTAAATATACGTTAGAAAATAAAAACTGGAAATAATTTTTAAAAATTTCGATTTAAGCTTTTTGAAAAAAATTAGTTCCAAAGAATTTTTAATGAAAGGGAGAAAAATTCAAATTTTCAAAGATTTTAATTTAAAACCTTTACAAAATACAATTATTTCTAAAAATTACAATTATTAGTAACTTCTCGAAAATTCAATTATTATCGAAAACTTTAACTAAAATTCATTTTTAAATCAATTTTTATTAGAAAATTCTACGAGAATTCAATTATTTATTAACAAAGGTAAATAATTTATTGAATAATTGAATGTTTCTTCAAATTTAATTTTTATACATAATTTTATCAACAAATTTTTAAGTAATTGAATTCTTTCGACGAATTTTAATAAAATTTTTAAGAATATTTACAATTTTTGGAGGAATTCGATTAAAATGTTATTAAAAATAATTGAAATTCTCCAATGAGTTATTATTTAAGAAAATAATTCAATTATTGCGAAGAATTTTATGCAAGAAATTATTTTTTAAAAATAATTGAATTCCTGTAAAGAATTTAGTTACTTTTGGAAAATAATTGAATTCCTGTTAAGAATTTAGTTACTTTTAAAAAATAATTGAATTCCTGTTAAGAATTATATTTAATTTTTAAAAATAATTAAATTTCTGCAAAGGATTTTCTTAAAATTGATTAGAAAGAAATTGTATTCTTTCTAAGAATTGTATTAAAATTTTTGAAAATAATTGAATTCTTGGTAAGAATTTAATTAAAATTTCTTAAATAATTGAATTGCTTCGAAGAATTTTATTTTTTAAGAAAATAATTGCAATGTATCGAAGATTTTTACAAATATTTTTGACAGTAATTGTAATTCTTATTATAAAATAATAATAAAATAATAAAATTTACTCTTAAGAATTCAATTATTTTTATAAATACAAAAATTTTTGCAAGAAAGTCAATTATTTTCGAAAATAATAAAATTCAATTATTTTCATAAATAAAAAAATTTCCGCAAGAAATTAAATTATTTTTAACTAAATGCAATTCAAATTAAATTTATTTAAAGAATTCAATTATTTTCAAAAATACTGAAATTCCCCCAAAGAATGCAATTATTTTCATAAATAAAAAAATTTTTGGCAGAAATTTAATTATTTTCAATACAATTTTCATAAAATTTATTGAAAGAATAAAATTATTTTGAATTCAATGTTTATAAAATTTATTGCACGAATTCAATTTTTTTTTAAAACATTTAATAAAATTCTTCGCAAAAATTCAATTATTTAAAAAAAAACAATAAAAATCTTCGTAGAAATTCAATTATTTTAAAAAATTAATAAAATCTTCACAGAAATTCTATTATTTTCAAAAATTATTAAAATTCTTAGCAATAATTAAATTATTTTCATAAATAATAACATTCTTCTGAAGAATTCAGTTATTTTCATAAATAATAAATTTGTTTTGCAGAAATTGAATTATTTTCAACAAAATTTTAATAAATCCTTCGAAACAAATTCAATTGTTTTTTCAAATAGTAAAATCTTTGCAAAAATTCAATTATTATCAATAAAATATCAGGAAAGAATTCCTGTAAAGAATATTTTATTTGTGAAAATAATTGAATTCCGGAGAAAAATATTATTATTTATGATATTAAATTAATTTCTTGTGAAGAATTTTATTCCAATTTTTTAAATAATTGAATTTCTCAGAATATTTTATAATATTTTGAAAATAATTTGAAAATAATTAAATTCCATGTACAACATTTCATTTAAAAAATTGAAAATAATTGAAATCTGACGAAGAATTTAATTAAATTTTTTTTTAAATAATTGAATTCTTGTGAAAAGTTTTAATTTTAAAAAAAATTTGAATTCTTGGGAAGAATTTAATTAAAATTTCTTAAATAATTGAATTGCTTCGAAGAATTTTATTTTTTAAGAAAATAATTGAATTGTTTCGAAGATTTTTACAAACTTGACAGTAAAATTGTAATTCCTGTAAGGAATGTTATATTTTACGAAAATAATTGTATTCTATAGTCAATTTTATTATAATTTATTTTTCAAATTTATAAAGCGTTTTATCTGAAAATTTTTGAAATAATTGAATTCTCGAGAAAAATTTTATTATTTATGAAAATAATTGATTTCTTACAAAGAATTTTATACAAATAATTGAATTCCCATTAAAAAAATGTATTATTTGTGAAAATAATTGAATTCTTAAGAAGAATTGTATTGAAAATAATTGAATTGAGTAGGAAAATTTTATTAAAATTCCAATTTTATTAACTAAATCTTGTAAATAATTTTGTCAAAATTTTTTTAAATAACTGAATTTTTAAAAGAATTTTATTTAAATTTCTCTAAATAATTGAATTTCTTAGAACTATTTGTTTCTATTCTTTGAATATAAATATATTATATTTATCTTTCGATAAACTTCATTAAAAAATTAAAAATAATTGAATTGGTGCGAAGAAATTTATAAAAAATTGGAAAGTAATTGAATTCCTGCGAAATTTTTATTAAAATTTCGTTTAAATAATTGAATTCTTTTGGAAAATTTGTTTAAAATAGTTAAAAATAATCGAAATGAAGAAATTTTTTGAAAATAATTGAAATTTTGCCGAGAATTTTATTAAATTTTTTGAAAATAATTGAATTTCGGAGAAGAATTGTATTATTTATAAAAATAATTGAAATTTTGACAAGAATGTTTATAAATATTTAAATTGATTAAAAATTGAAATTTTTTCAAATTTCATATTGAAGCCTTTGAAGTTGATTTATTTATGCAGATTTGAAACGCAACTCTTTTGAAATGTAATTAGTTTTGAAAATTTTGAAGTAAAATTATTCATTAAATAATTTCTAAGTAATAATTTGATAATAGTTGTTGAAGAATGAAGTTATTTAAAAAGAAATTATTGTGAGAAACAAAAAATTGAAAGTTTTGTATTAAATTTCTTGTCAATTTCATAGTTTGTGAGGCAAACAAAAAAGACACAAAAATTCATAATTTTCTTATAAATTCTAAAACTTAAATTTTTTCCAGTACTTTTAATAAAAATCCCTGACTTTTCCATGATTTCCCTGACCAATTCTAATTTCCCTGACTTGCGGCAATCCTGTTTTTGAATAAAAAAATCTTTTTTTTTTGAATAAAAAATGATTTTTATCTTTCTTTCTAAGCATTATTCTAGTACTTTTGTACGAAAGGTTTTTTTCACCCGTATATATGGAAATAAATAAAAAAAAAATTCTTTACTCTAATAAAAAACTTTTTTTTGGAACGGAAAAAACATTCTTTCCATCAAAAAACTTGTTTCTGAATTAAAAAAACCTTCTTTAAAATAAAAAACCCTTTTTTTGATTAATAAAATCTTCTTTCGAATAGAAAAAATCTCCTTTCGAATAAAGAACTTTTTTCTTGATCGTAAATAATGTTTCTACCTGTTTACACCTCCAGGGACAGTACCGACACTGCAAAGGCCTCTCGTCACTGTGCCTATTCTGATGATGCTTAATCAGCTGAATCTTCGTCTTGAGATTAAATCCACAAATATCACATCTAAATGGTCGCTCCTCCGAATGCGCAATCATATGCGTCTTGAGCCGCAACTGATTGACGAATCTCTTTGGACAATGTGGACACGCGAGTGTGCCCTCCAGACGATTATGCGCCACCATCATGTGATGTCTGAGTCTCACTTCGCTGACAAAAGTGTCGTCGCAGTCGAGACACTTGACCGGCTCCTTTTCCATATGAGAATTCTTGATATGTGTACGAAGTATCATTTCAGTTTTGAATGTCTTGTGACAATGGAAGCAGGCGACGCGTTTCGAGTCGCTGCCAGTGATCATTTCGGCCTTGACGATTCCCGGCAGTGGCTCATTGTGAATGTGCGCCAAGTGCCATTCCAATGATCTTGTCGATATCATGGAACGATTGCAAATGTGGCAGGTGAAATTTCTTCCGTCTTTGTGAATTCGATTGCGATGAATGACGAGCATTGAATGATTGGGGAATTTTTCGCCGCACACTTGACACGAGCATTCCTTTAGTCCTCGACTGTCGGCTTTCTCGTGGACCTTCATGTGAAGGCGGAGGCCGTCTCTTCGATTGAAACCCACGCCGCATGTGTCGCATCTGGAAAAATTATTATTTAGTTCATTTTTTCTTTTAATAAATTTTATTTAAATTCATTTTAAATTAAAAATAAATATTAAATATTCTTGTTTATTATTATTCAAAAATTTTAATAAAATTTTAAGCAAGAATTCCATTATTCTCATAAATAAGAAAATTCTTCACAAGAATTCAATCATTTTCAAATACAATTTTAATCATATTTCTCGAAATAATACAATTATTTTTAAAAATATTAATTCAATTCGATTATTTTTAACGATTTTCATATAAATAATTCAATTATTTTTTCAACAATTTGTGATGAAAACTCTTTTCAAAAAATAATTTTATTTTCAAAATTTTTAATAAAATTCCTTCAAAAAATTCAATTATTTTTAAAAATTCAGATAAAATACTTTGAAACAATTCAATTATTTTTATGAATTGTAAATCATCGGCAAGAATTTAATTATTTTAAAAAATCAGAAAATTCTTCGCAAAAATTAAAATATATTCATAAATAATAAAATGTTTCGGAGAAATTCAATTATTTTTAATACAATTTTAATACCATTTCTCGAGAGAATACAATTATTATTAAAAATATTTAAATTCAATTATTTTCAAGAAGTTATTCAATTATTTTCAACAATTCTGATGAAAAATTCTTTAAAACAATTCAATTATTTTTGTAAATAATAAAATTCTTCTGAGAAATTCAATTATTTTCAGATACAATTTTAATAAAATTTCTCGAAAAAAATTCAAATTCAAAATAATTTTAATAAAATTTATCTAACAGGTTAAATTATTTTTTAAATTTGCAAAAAAATTCTTCTAAACAATTCAATTGTTCTCAAAAGTTTTTAATAAAATTCTTTGTAACTTTCAATTATTTTCAAAATTTTCAATTAAAATTATTTTTAAAAATTACATTATTTTTACGAAATTTAATGAAATTCTTCAAAAAAAAAATATAATTATTTACAAAAACTCAAATAAAATTGTTTAAAAGAATTTAATTATATCTTCAAAAAAAGTAAAATTCTATGGAAGATTTAAATTATTTTCATTAATAGTAAAATTCTTCGGAGGATTTCAATTATTTTCAAAAAATTTGAAACAAATTCTTGTCAAAAATTCAATAATTTTCGGTAAATCGACAATTTAATTATTTCTGAAAATAATTGAATTCTTGAATTGAATTTTATTAAAAGTTTTTAAAGACGAATTTTAATAAAAATCTTGCCAAGAATTAAATTTTTTTCAATACAATTTTAATTACATTTTTAAGCGAAAAAATTCAACTATTTTCTAAAAATTTTAATAAAATTCAAAAATTAAATGTTTAATTTCAATTAAGAAGAAACACGATTATTTAAAAAACTTGAAAGAAATTGTTCATAAAATTCAATTACTTTCAAATTTTTCCATTCAAATTGTTAAAGAAAACTTTGTTACTTTCCAGAAAATTGAAATAAATTCTTCAAATTTCAAAAGTATTTAATTACGATTTATAAAAATTCTAATATAATTATTCGCGAGAATACAATTATTTTGATAATTAATAAAATTCTTCGAAAGGGAATTCAATTATTCTTAAATTTTTTTATTAAAATTCTCTGCAAAAATTCAATTATTTAAATACAAAAGTAAATAATTTATTGAATAATTGAATGTTTTTTAAAATTGAATTTAAAATTGAATTCCTGTGAAGAATTTTCTTAATTTCCAAAAATAATTGAATTTCTGCGAAGAGTTTTAATAAATTTTCAAAATAATTGAATTCTTGCGAAGAATTTTAATTACAAAATTTCAAAATAATTGAATTCATGCGAAGAATTTTATTAATATTGGAAAATAATTGAATTCCTAAGAAGAATTTTATTAATTTCCAAAAGTAATTGAATTTCTGTGAAAAATTTTAATAAATTTTCAAAATAATTGAATCCCTGCAAAGAATTTTAATAAATTTTTTAAATAATTGAATCCCTGCGAAAAATTTTATTAATATTAGAAACTAATTGAATTTCTGTGAATAATTTTTTTAATTTACAAAAATAATTGAATTCTTGCGAAGAATTTTAATAAATTTTTAAAATAATTGAATTTCTGCGAAAAATTTTAATTACAAATTTTTAAAATAATTGAATTTCTCTGAAGGATTTTAATAAATTTTTTTTTCAAAATAATTAAATTCCTGCGAAGAATTTTAATATTATTGAAAACTAATTGAACTCCTGTGAAGAATTTTATTAATTTCCAAAAATAATTGAATTCTTGCGAAGAATTTTAATAATTTTTCAAAATAATTGAATTTCAGTGAAGAATTTTAATTAAAAATTTGTAATAGAATTTAATTTCTGCGAAGAATTTTAATTAATACCTATTTAAAATTAATTGAATTCTTGTGGAAAATTTTATTAATTTCCAAAAGTAATTGAATTTCTGCGAAGAAATTTAATAAATTTACAAAATAATTGAATTTCTGCGAAGAATTTTAATTAAAAATTTTAAAAATAATTACATAAGTTCCTGCGAAGAATTTTATTATTATTGAAAACTAATTGATTTCCTGTGAAGAATTTTATTAATTTCCAAAAATAATTGAATTTTTGCGAAGAATTTTAATAATTTTTCAAAATAATTGAATTTCTGCGAAGAATTTTAATTACAAATTTTCAAAATAATTGAATTCTTGCGAAGAATTTTATTAATATTTGAAAATAATTGAATTCCTGCGAAGAATTTTATTAATATTGGAAACTAATTGAATTCCTGTGAAGAATTTTATTAATTTCAAAAATAAATTGAATTTCTGCAAAGAAATTTAATAAATTTACAAAATAATTGAATTTCTCCGAAGAATTTTAATTAAAAATTTTTCAAAATAATTGAATTCTCGCGAAGAATTTTATTAATATTTGAAAGTAATTGAATTTCTGTAAATAATTTTTATTAATTTCCAACAATAATTGACTTTTTGCGAAGAATTTTAATAATTTTTCAAAATAATTGAATTTCAGTGAAGAATTTTAAATAAAAATTTGGAATAGAATTTAATTTCTGCGAAGAATTTTATTAATATTTGAAACTAATTGAATTTCTGTGAATAATTTTAATAAATTTACAAAATAATTTAATTTTTGCGATGAATTTTAATTAAAAATTTGGAATAGAATTAAATTCCTGCGAAGAATTTTATTAATATTGGAATCTAATTGAATTTCAGCGAAGAATTTTAATAAATTTTCAAAATAATTGAATTTCTGGGAAGGATTTTAATAAATTTTGAAAATAATGGAATTCTTGCGACGAGAATTAAAATTCTCTCCATAGGAAATCGAGAAAATCTCACATAAATTTAAATAAAAAAAAAGAAAAACAAAAAAACAAAGAAAAAAAAGAGAAAATCTCACCTAAATTGCCTCTGATCCTCATGAATACGAACATGTTGCTTAAGAGTCGAAGAATTCTTAAACATCTTATCGCAATGCGGACATTTAATCGTGTACGCCTTATGCGTGTGCATATGTTTACTGAGACTATAAAACGGAATCATTTTCCTGCAAACAGGACATTCCCGCTTATTGCCAGTGGGCAAATGTTTTCTAATACGATGATGCCGCAAACTGGCGGGATTCTTGAAATCCGCACCGCAATCCTCGCACAAATACGCCCTCATTGCCGTGTGCACGCTCTTCAAGTGAAAACTCAATTTTGTCTTGAATGTAAATTTCTTCGGACACTTGGGACATTGAAATATTTTCTCCAACGTCATATGCTTTGATTTCACGTGCTGATCGAGTGTGCCCTGATGCTTGAATTTCTCACCACAATATTCGCACAATTGTCCAAATAAACTGTCGCAATGCTTTTGCTCGTGCTGCTTCTTTTTACCCTTTGAGTCCAACATTAAATCACAATATTTACAAATCAATTTTCTAATGCATATGACATTGTGATTTTTTTTATAGCGCAAAATTGTGAATTCCTCGTTGCAATCCTCGCAGAGATATTGAATTTTTGAATCGTGAAATTTCATGTGCTCGTCGCAAACGTCCTTTGTGGGGAATTCGCTGAAAGAAAACAAAGGCTCGTTAGTAAATTTCATTCAATAAGTTAATAAATTAATAGCAAATATTATTATTAACAAATATTAATCAAAAATATAAATAATAACAAATGAATAAACTGCAAAAAATATTATTATACATAAAATTTTACAATTTTATTATAAAAATTACTAAATTTCTTTTTTTTTAAATATTTTAAAATATTAAATATTATATAAAAAAAATATTAAATAATTAAATAACTATTAAATTCTTATTAAATTATTATTATTATTAAATAATTATAAAAAAAATTAATTCTTTTCATGAAAAAATTAAGAAATTTAAGGCAAAGTTTTAGCTTCAAAATAAAAAAATAATTTTTTTCATGAAAAAATTAAGAAAGTTAAGGCAAAGTTTTAGCCTCGCTTTGAATTTAAGGCGGTAAAAAAATTCCCAGAACAAAAAAAAAGGCGGAAAAATTGTTTATTTGATTGAAAATTTGAATTTGAAACAAAAATTTCATTTTTTATTTCCTTCATTTGTTTCTTAGTTTACAAAATATTTTTTTAACTTGAATTCGAAACTTTTCTAATAAATTCAATTTCTTTTCCTAGACTTTTTACATGAAAATTCTTCTCTAAACAATTATTTAAAAATAAATTCAGAAAATTCTTAGAGAATTCAATTATTTAAAAAAAATTAGAAAATTCTTAAGAATTCAATTATTTAAAAAAAAAAATACAAAAGTTTTGCTCTAAATAACGTCAAGAATTCAATTATCTTCAAATGAATGAATTCAATTTTTTTTTCTAATATAAAAACTTTTAACCTAAAATTCTTCTATAAATCAATTATTTTTTTTTAAATTATAGAAAGTTCTTTAAGAATTCAATTATTTAAAAAAAATACGAAAGTTTACTCTAAAAAAATGTCAGAAATTCAATTATCTTCAAAAATATTCAATTCAACTTTTCTAAACAATTTGATTTTTGACAATTTATAAATAAAAAAAATTTTTTGTAAATCTAATTTCTTTTAAAAATTCCTTTAAAAAATTTTAAAAATCCAATATTTTTAGTTTTTAAAATCTAGAATGAAATGTTTAAAGAAAAATTATTTTTAATAATATTTTAGAAAATTTTACTTTTGATTCTTTTAATTAAATAATTTCATCATCATCATAAATAAATTATTAAACTAATTTTAAAAAATACCATTTATACCAAAAATTATTAGAATAATTTTAAAAAATTCAATTCTTTAAGAAAAATTATTAAAATACTTTTAAAAAACTCAATTCTTCAAGAAAAAATGATTAAAATCATAGAAATTTGAACTTAAAAAATTAAAAAAAATTTTAAAAATTAATTAATTAGTTAATTAATTAAAAATTCTGCATTGAATTTTATTATTTATGAAAATAATTGAATTCTTGCGAAGAATTTTATTAAAATTTTCAAAAATAATTAAATTCTTGCAAAAAATTAACAGGAATTCAATTATTTTTAAAAATTTTAAATAAAATTCTTGGCATAAATTAAAAATAACAAAATTCTTAGCAGATCTTCAATTACTTTCAGAAATTTTAATAAAATTTTCGCAAGAATTTAAATATTTTCGTATAAAATAATAAAAATCTTTGCAGAGATTCAATTATTTTCAAAAGTCTTAAAATAAAATTCTCTTCGCAAGAAATTAATTATTTTCAAAAATATCAGAATTTTAGCAGAAATTCAAACATTTTAAACAGTTTTGATAAAACTTTTTTTTGGTAGAAATTTAATTATTTTGAAGACAATTTTAAAAAAATGTCTCGATAAAATTCAATTATTTTTAAAATTTTAATAAAATTCTTCGAAAGAATTCAATTATTATAATCTAAGATTTTAACTGAAATCTATTTTGAAATCAATGTTTATGAGAAAATTCTGCCAGAATTCAATTATTTCAATACAAATAAAATGCAAATAAATAATTTATTGAATAATTGAATGTTTCTTGGAATTCAATTCCTATTAAAAATTTTATCAACAAATTTCTAAATAATTAAATTCTTTGGACGAATTTTAATACAATTTTTAAGATTTTTTTCGAGGAATTCGATTAAAATTCTATTGAAAATAATTAAATTCCTAAAAAAAATTTTATTACTTTTGAAAATAATTGAAATTTTGCAATGGATTTTATTAAAATTTTTGAAAATAATTGAATTTTATTACTTTAGAAAATAATTGAATTCGTGTGATAAATATTGTTAATTATAAAAATAATTCAAATTTTTTAATGAATTTTATTAAAATTTTTGAAAATAATTGAATTTTGTCGAAGAATTTTGCTATTTATTTATAAAGATAATTGAAATGTTGACAAAGTTTTTTTAAATTTTTTAAAAATAATTGAATCTCGGAGAAGAATTTTAATATTTCTAAAGATAATTGAAATTTTGACGAGAATTTAAAAAATTTTTTGAACATAATTGAATTTTTGCGAAGAATTTTATTTCTTTTAAAAATAATTGACTTTCTTTAAAAACTATTCAAAAAGAATTACATTTTTTGTTAATTTCTTAAAAACTGTTTAAAAAAAACTTAAATTTTTGCCAATTTTTTAAAAATTATTCGAAAATAATTGAATTTTTGAAATTTTTTTTTCAATTATTCGAAACTAATTAATTTTTTTCCAATTTTTCTTAAAAAGTATTAAAGAGTAATTGTATTTTTGACAATATTTAAAAAACATTTAAAAACAATTGAATTTTTTGGAGAATATTTAAAATTATTCGAAAATAATTGAATTCTTTAGAGAACTTTCAATTGAAATTTGGCAAAAACTTTATTTTTAGAAATTTTAATGACTGTTTTTTTAAAAATTCAATTAGGTATGATTAAAAAATTATATAAATAATTTAGGAAAATAGAATTCTTTAGAAAATTTTCTATTTCAATTGTTAAAAAAATTAATTTTTCATATATTTTTTAAAAAATTTTGTTTTGAAATTAATTATTTGCAGAAAAAATTATAGAAATAGTTTTTTAAAACTCAATAATTCAATAGTTGACTAATTAAATTTTTCAATTAATTTTGAAAAATGCATTGAAATAATTTCAAAATTCAATTATTTTCCAAAGACTATTTAAAGAGCTTCAAAATTCAGTTAACTTCATAAAATTATTAAATTAATATGAAAATACTAATCTATCAAAGTTTAATTATTTTCAAAAAATAATTGAAAAATATTGAAATAATTTTGAAATTCAATTATTTTCATACAATTATTAAATAAATATGAAAATACTTTTAAAATTCAATTATTTTCAAAAAATAATTTAAAAATATTGAAATAATTTTGAAATTCAATTATTTTCAAAAAAAAAATTGAAAGAATTTAGAAAATTCAATTATTTTCAAACAATTATTAAATAAATATGAAAATACTTTTAAAATTCAATTATTTTCTAAAAACAATTTAAAAATATTGAAAAAATTTAAAAATTCAATTATTGTCAAAAAAAAATTGAAAGAATTTAGAAAATTTAATTATTTTCATACAGTTATTAAATAAATATGAAAATTACTTTCGAAATTCAATTATTTTCAAAAAATAATTTTAAAATATTGAAATAATTTTGAAATTCAATTATTTTCAAAAAAAAAAAATTGAAAGAATTTAGAAAATTCAATTATTTTTTAAAGAATATTTAAAGAACTTAAAAATGCAATTATTTTTGGATAATATTAAATAAATATAAAAATACTTTCGGAATTCAATTATTTAAAAAAAAAAATAATTGAATAAATATTGAAATAATTTTAAAATTAAATTATATAAAAAAATAAGTGAAAGAATTAATTGAAATAAATTGTAAACTTCAATTTTATTTTCAAAGAAATATTGTGAACTAATTTTGAAAGAAATTAAAAATTTAATTATTAACAGAAAATTATGTATTAAATGTAAATACTTTTATAATTTATTTATTATTTTCAACATAATTATGTAGAAAAAATATTGAAATAATTTCAAAATTCAATTATTTTTTAAAATTTTCATAAGTTAGAAAATTCTTTGATGGATTTCAATATTTTACTTAATTATTTCAATTTTTTTTTTAAATTATTTTTTTGTTTTTCATTTTTTAAACTTTTTTCATACAATATTTTAACTTTTTATTTTTAATATTTCAAATTTTTATTATTAATATTTCAACCTTTTATTTCCACTATTTCAACTTTTTTGTTCTAATATTTTAACGATTTTAACTTTTTATTTTTTCAATTTTTTCTTTTACTTTTTTAATATTTCTACTTTTTTTCCCACTATTTCAAATTTTTATTTTTAATATTTCAACTTTTTATTTTTAATATTTTCAACTTTTTATTTTTAATGCTTCAACTTTTTTTTCCCACTATTTCAACTTTTTTGTTCTAATATTTTAACTTTTTATTTTTTCAACTTTTCTTTTTTACTTTTTTTTCCAATATTTCAACTTTTTAGGTTTTAATATTTCAACTATTTATTTTTTAATTATTTTTCACCTTTTCTTTTCTACTATTTCAAGTTTTAATTTCCAAAATCCCCCCCCCCCCCTACCCCTAATTTTCAATAATTCTAAAACTAATAATTTTTGTTTTCTATAATACTCAGAAATATATTTACCTGAAACAAAAGTCACAATCGAACGATTCACTTGACTTCAAATCGAAACAATCCAAATTCAATTCCAATGGATCGCTCTCCTCATTGGTGTTGGTGTAAATTTTTCCCGCCATTCTCTCCTGATACAAATTCACCAGATCCTCGTCGCTCATTTTCATTATTATCATTTTCCTCTGCTGCAAATTCTCCATAAATTCCCCGAGACACTCGTCGTCCTTGCCCTCCAAGATCCTCCTCAATCTCTCCAGTGTGCTCTCCTGTTCCGGATTCACCTCCTCCCAGTCCTTCCTCTGCTTGTCCTCCAATTTACTCTTCACCGTCTCAATTCTATTGTTATAGTCCTCCGCGTTTGTGTACACCTTCACGTCCACCGGCATTTTTCTGTCCTTACACCTCTGCGGCTTCTCTTTTTTTATTTCCGAAATGTCTTTTAGTTTTAGGGTCGGATTATTGAGGGGAAAATTTTCGGAGAGTGTTTGGGGGGAGGAAAGGGTCGAAAGTTGGTTTGAAGAAATGTTCGAAGAAAGGGTCGAGGAAATGTTCAAAGGAAGGTTCGAAGAAAGGTTAGATGATTGATTCGAAGAAATTAAAGAAAGGTTCGAAGACTGATTCGAAGAAATGTTCAAAGAAAGGTTCGAAGAAAGGTTCAACGACTTATTCGTTTGGTTCGAAGATTGATTCGAAAACTGGTTCGAAGACTGATCTGATTGATTCAAAAACTGGTTCAAAAATTGATTCGGCAGCGATTCCTGCTCGGTCTTGATTCGACACTCGGGGATGATGATTTCCGTCGTGGCAATCGGACCAAGAACTTTCTCCCGTCTTCGCTTGTACTGCTCGATTTGGTGTTCGATTATCTGCCCCTTTTGCTCGAGACTTCGGTCGACGAACAAATTGTCGCTCTCCTTCCGTCCCGGTCGACTCTTCTCCGCCTTCTCCATCTTCTTCACCTTCACCAGCAGCAATTCGTTCGGCTTCTCCCCCCTCACCGTCACATACATCACCCCATTCTCCTCCTGCTTTATACTCAACGCGTCGTTCACATTAAATTTCCGAATCTTCGGATCGAAGCCCTTCGATCTCGTCTCCGAGAATTTTCTCTTCAACCCCTGCTCCTCGGACTCCAGTAGTTTCTTCTCTTCCTCTCCTCTCGAGGTTGTTTCCTCCACTTCTTCTCTCTTCGACAAATTCGAAAAATCCTTCGACAAACTTGAAAAATCCTTTGAACAACTTTCTTTTGCCAAATTCGAAAAATCCTTCGAATAACTTTCCTTTGACAAAATTGAAAGATCCTTCGAAGAACTATCCTTCGATACGTTCGAAAAATCCTTCGAAGAACTTTCCTTCGATACGTTCGCAAAATCCTTCGATACGTTTGGAAAATCCTTCGAATAAGTTTCCTTCGATGAAATTTGGTTCAAAGAGAGTTTCGACGAATTTTGCTTCGAACAACTTTCTCGAGGTGAATTTTTGTTCGAAGCTCCGGTTTCGATTTTCTCGATAGTTCGTTTGAAGGGATTGAGAACATTCGACTCCTCGACTTCTTCTTCGTCTTCCTCGTCCGTGGGATTAAAACCAGGATCCTCGGGATCGAACTCCTCGATCGATTCATTATCACTCTCGTCTTGATTCCCTTTCGGTTCGATCTTCACCTTCTCCTCGTCCTTCACTTCACGTTCGATCTTCCCGTCCTTTGGGAGCAAAGAACCGCTGCTCGAAATCATCGAACCAATTTTCGTCACTCCGGGTGAATTTACCACTCGATCTCCCTTTTTCCTCTCCCACTCAGTGGCGTTCGTCGAGAAAACAGCCGAAATTCTCGGTCCATTATTCTTCAAATTTGTCGCGTCGTGTTGAATCAAAGACTGAATTTTCGTCTCCGAATCGAAACATTTTTCGTTTCCTTTAGTTTCTTTTTCGTTTCCTTTAGTTTCTTTTCCCCCTTTTTCGCTGCCAAATGAAAATTTATCAATCGAAGGAAGAAAATTCTCCTGATAGTCCTCGACGAATTTCGCCCTAATCGCCCGTAGCTTCATTTCCGCCTTTTTAATTTGAACGAAAAACGTGAAACTCATCTTCAAATCGCAAATACAGTCCATACACATTTGCGTCGTGAGTGAATCGCTCTCGGCAATTTGCTGCAAATGTTTTATCTGTAAATTCAAACGCATTTGTATTCCCTTGTCGCTGAAAATGTCGACGAGGGGAAATTTCTGTTCAGCGCAAGTTCGACAATATTTACGCATTTTATTCTTTGTCTCCTCGTCAATTATTTCCGTCTCGTCGTCATTTTTCTCCGGCGATGATAAAATTATTGTCTTCTGATTTGATTTTGTCTCTTTCCTCGTCAGCGATAAATTTGTTGATTTTCTCGACGATTGGGATTCTTGACTTGATTTTCTCGAGGAGGATTGAAAGGAATTTGAAGATTCTTGACTACTCAATTTCTTCGGCGATGGAAAATTCGGGGATTCAAGACTCGATTTTCGTAAAGATTGTAAAGTGGGTGTTTCTTGATTTAGAACTTTAACCCGAGGGGTAATTTTTTTCAGATCATTGATATTTGTCACGGGGGTGAATGATGATTTTTCCGCTTGTGACGATGAACTTGACGTGGCATAATTGTGAAATTGTGCGACTTTCGGTGAGCCGGTTTTGGTTTTTGTACGTAAATTGTAACTCATTTTTGCGACAGTGTTCTTTTTTTGTTCTTTCGTCTCTTCATTGAATTTCAAAAATTCGGGGGTTTTAGTGGAATTTTTTCCTCCCACACACCTGCAGACAGTAAATAAAGAAAATCGTATTAAAGAAAATGATTTCTTTCTTTCTTTCATCTCTAAATTTATTTCCAGACGAAAATTTCTAGGTAAAGAAAAAAAAATTCAAGTACAAAAAAAATTGATTTAAAGAAAATAGATAATCTTAAAGAAAATAAATATTCTTTTATTTCTCAATTTAATAATATATACAGAAAATTAAAAATCGCATTGAAAAGAAAAAACTTTTTTTCATTTTATTCCTCAATTTATAAAGAAAAGAAAAAAAATGTTAAAAAATTTTTTTTAATTTTAAAAGAAAATATTTAAAAATCGCATTTTTTTATTTTATTTCTAAATTTATACAGAAAAAAAGAAATTTGAATTTAAGTACCTACATAAATATATGGCAAATAAATAAATAAACAAAAATAATATTAATAGTAAATAATTACAATAAAATTGAAGAAAACATTCTTTTTTTTCGATTTTTACTTCGTAATTTATAGACGAAAAAAGAAATTTAAATTCAAGTAAATAAATAAATGGAGAAACATTTATAAGAAAATAAAAATAATATTAGTAGTAAATAATTTCAAAAAAATAAAAATTATAAAATAAATTTTTTGAATTGAATTATTTTCGCAAAGAATTATTGAAAAAAAAAATCGAGATCCTTAATAAATTCAATTATTTTCAAAAAAATGTTAAAAGATCTGAAAAATTCAATTATTTCTGGAAAATTTTTAAACAAATATGAAAATACCTTTGAAATTCAATTATTTCTCAAAAAATAATTTAATAAATATTGAAATAATTTTAAAATTCATTTCAAATTCAAATTTCAAAATTCAATTATTTTCCAAAAAGTAATTAAATAAATATTGAAATAATTATAAAATTCAATTATTTTTTTCAAAAAAAAATAATATTAAAAATTCATTTAAATAATTTTAAAATTCAATTATTTTCCAAAAAAAATTTAAAGAATTTAGAAAATTCAATTATTTTGAAACAATTATTAAATAAATATAAAAATACTATTGAAGTTAAATTATTTTTCAAGAAATATTAAAAGAATTTCAAAATTCAATTATTTTCAAAAAATAAAATATTGAAATAATTTTAAAATTCAATTTTTTTCAAATGAGTATTTAAAGAACATAAAAATTCAATTATTCTTGAACAATTATTAAATAAATATGGAAATAATTTCAATATTTAATTATTAAAAAAAAAATTGCAGAAAAAATATTAAATTAATTTTAAAATTCAATTATTTCTCAAAAAATAATTGAATAAATATTGAAATAATTTTAAAATTCCATTATTTCTCAAAAAAATATTTGAATAAATATTTAAATAATTTTAAAATTCAATTATATTCAGAAAATAAATCAAAAATTGTTGAAATGACTTCAATATTCAGTTATTTAAAAAAGAATTATCGAAAGAAATATTTAAAGAATTTAAATATTAAACAACATAATAAAAAAATTAATGAAAACATTAAAGAAATATTTTTAAAATACATTTATTTAAAAAAAAATAATTTAAAAAATTTTTAAATAAAATATTTGTTCGAGTACGCAGGTTATTAGTGACAAGTCAAAACATTTTATGGGATCAGAAACTTTATTTTAGCACTTTATAAACTTTATTGAGATTGATTAAAAGCGACGCGAAACATAATAGGCAACTTTTATGTAAGCGAATAGACAGAAAACAAAAGTGAGTGTGTAGAAAAATATAAAGATGCCCTCTTTAGTGAGGAACTTAAATTATAACGTTAGGGCGGGAATTGTGAATACTTAACACCCCCCCTCAATTTATGCCCGAGAAAACAAAAATAAATGTTCAAATTTTAAGTCCAAGATCACGAACACATTTTTGATGTAAACTTTGCGAAAGTCCTTTTGTGAGCACATCCGCCACCATCTCACTTGTTGGTAAGTACTCGATCTTCAACAATCCGTCAGATAGAACTCGTCGAATAAAATGATGACGGATGTCAATATGTTTGGTCCTGGAATGGTGAATTGGGTTTTCCGCCAATCGACCAGCACTTTGGTTATCATTAAAAATGACAAGATTTGTCAAATTTTTGAAGTTCAGTTCCTTGAGAAATTTGACTAAAAAGACACCTTCTTTGGCAGCATCCGAAAGCGACATGTATTCTGCCTCTGTCGAAGACAAGGCAACTGTCCTTTGCTTGCGAGATTGCCAGGAGATTGCTCCTCCACAGAGCTTGAAGATGTTACCGGTGAAAGAGCGCCTGTCGATGGAACAGTTACCCCAATCTGCGTCTGCGAATCCTTGGAGAGGTAAATTGTCCTTCTGGTAGACTAACTCGTAGTCTAAAGTCCCTTGGAGGTAACGTAGGACCCTTTTTGCAGCCTGCCAGTGTTGGTTCTCGTAAGATGAATTAAACTGTGCCAAAACGCTAACTGCATGCGCTATATCAGGACGTGTTCCTTGAGCAACATACATCAGCGCTCCGACGATTTCGCGATAAGGCAAACTGGTGTCCTCGGTTTTCAAAGGTTTGGTAAATTTGCGGCCAAGAGCAAGTGGAGTTGAAATCGGTTTACAATTTTCCATTCCAAATCTTTTGAGAATTTCCTTGATGTATCCCTGCTGTGAAATGGAGACACGATTTTCGCTACGTTTAATTTCAATGCCGAGGCAAAATTTAGCCTCGCCCAAATCCTTGACCTTGAAATATTTTCCGAGTGTTTTCTTGACATGGTTTTCCTTTTGACGATCATTCGTAAGAATGAGAAAATCATCCACATAAATTAGCATGAAAATTTTCTTTTCTTTATCAACATAAATGCAAGGATCGGAATCAGTTGGGAACAAGTCAATACTTCGAAGCACTCGGTCCAATTCGGTGTGCCATTGGCGGCCAGCTTGTCGAAGCCCATATAAGGCCTTTTTGAGTTTACAGACGGCGTTCGGTTTATCTAAATTTCGAATTAATGTTCTCGCCCGTTCTTGAAGGATAGGACCCTTTTCTTCGTTTATCATTCTCGACAGCATTTCTTGCAGAAGTTCCGGTTTTTCGATGTAAATATCTGCATCTACTTTTCCATTGAGATACGCGGTTTCGATATCCAATTGAGTGATCCTAAAATTTTCCTGCGCAGCAATAGCCATAAGTAGTCGAAAAGATCCAAGACGAGCCACAGGTGAAAAAGTCTCGAAAAAGTCAACACCAAACTGTTGAGTGAATCCCTTTGCAACGGTGCGGGCCTTTCTGCGACTTATGTTTCCATCGGCATCAAATTTGTTGCATAAAACTGTACGACACTTGATGACCTTGGCATCGGATGGTTTTGATACAATTTCGAATGTATCATTCAGTACAAGATTTTTAGTTTCCAGGTAAATGGAATTCCGCCACTCGTCCTTGTCTGGTCCAGAAAGAGCTTGATGAAATGGAACTTCGCTTGCAAACATAACTTCATTATCATTATCCCATCCAAAAAATTCTTCTTCACTCGAACTTGAGTCATCACGAGGAGGTCCTTCTGGTATAATTCGTTCTGCCGGCGCAATTTGTTCTTCCACAGGAACAAGATTATATTTCTTCTTAGGACGACCCACTGCTCCAGTTCGTTCTTTACTAGGACGACCAGGTCCTCTTCGTAATTGATCACCAGCATTATTCCGGATTTCTAAAGGCTCATTCGGAATGTTTGGAGGTTGATGCTCTTCATTATCAATGGCAGCAATCGGGATCTCTGGTTGATTCTGGACATCAAGAGGTGCAAGGAGCTCGAAATCGACGTACTTGTTAGTATCTGCATCAGAGTCTGAAACTTGAGAAAAATTGTCAAATTTATCAGTAGAATTTCGAGTTGAATAATTAAGATCAGTTTCGTTAACGAATTTAACATCTCGTGTGACATGAATTCTCTTCTCAGAAGAAACCCAGATCCTGTAAGCTTTGGAGTTTTCGGCGTATCCTACGAAGACACCCTCGATTCCCCTTGGCGCAAATTTATCCTTGGTAGGAGATTTATTCAAAATGAACACCTTCGAGCCGAATCTTCTTAGGTAGTTGACCTTTGGACGTCGACCAAAAATAACTTCGAAAGGAGTTTGTTTTCCCAAGATCATTGTCACACACCGATTGCGTACATGGTTTGCTGCTGAAACTGCTTCAGCCCAAAAACGAGTGGAAAGTTTCGAATCTGACAATAAACAACGAGCTGCCTCCAAAAGAGTTCTATTTTTCCTCTCTGAAATACCGTTCTGTTGAGGTGTATGTGTTGTTGATAGTCGGCGCTGTATCCCTGCTTTTCTCAAAATATCGTCCATTCTCGAGTTGCAATATTCGGTGCCGTTGTCACTTTGAAGACTTTTAATTTTCTTACCAGTTTGATTTTCGATATAGTTTTTAAATTCCAGAAATTTGGAGGGAACTTCGGATTTGCTTTTCAAGAAATAAATTTCAGTCCAGCGACTATGATCGTCCGTAAACGTTAAAATGTAACGAGCTCCGCCGAAGGATTCTTGCCTCATCGGGCCGCAGAGGTCAGAATGTATTATTCCAAGTATTTCTGGGGATCTTTCTAAACGTTTTGGAAAGGGAAGTCTGGTTAATTTCGCGATAGCACACTCATCACACGGAGGAAGTTTTTCTTCCAAATTGAATGTTAATCCATCAACAGATTTATTACGTAACATAGTCGACATGTCCTTAAAATTTAAATGTCCAAGACGCTGATGCCAAATCATTGTATTACACGTCGCGGAACTGGTAGAAATACACGCACTATTATTTCCTTCACGGAGAAAAAATAAGTCACCTTGTCGATCAGCAACCATTTTTGTTACACCATTTGCGTCCTGTACTATAGCACTTGTTTTCGAAAATATCACTTGATGATCTTTATCTACAATTTTAGCAATCGACACTAAATTTGTGCGTAGATCCGGCACGTGAAGTGTATTTTGAAGAGTAATAACACTGTCGATTTTTCCGTCGGAAGTAATAATGTCTACATCGCCCTTAGCAATGACAGGTGCCGTCGCATTGCTGGCTAATCGCACACTAGAATTTACTTCGCACAAATTAGTGAGACCTTTTGAGTCATTGCACAGATGCGTTGTGCATCCACTATCGAGACACCACTTTTCTTTATCAGTCACATTATACACAGATACCGAGGCGGAATTAATTTCGTTTGTAAGAAAAACATTATTCGCGTCATTATTATTTCGATTTTTATTTTTCTTTTTAAAACAATTTTTCGTAAAATGTCCCTTTTTCTTACAATATCCGCACTGTATATTTTTATTTGAATTCGGATTTTCACTGTTTGCACTGTCACTTTGATTCGATGGTTTATTTTTGGGAAATCGATGTTTGGAGAACATGGCACTAGAATCGGAATCACTTTTATGAGCTTTACTTTCACTCTCTTCGATAATTTTAATAATCAACGACTCTACATCGGGTAATTTATCGCGTGATTTGATGGCACAACTAAAGTTATTAAAATTGCTGGGCAAACTGTGAAGCAACATAATCGAAAGTAAATCGCCATTAATTTCAATTTCCATACTATTAAGTTTGTCAACTGTGTCCATGAACTCAGACAAGTGATCGCGAATGTCTGTGTTTTCTTGCATTCTGAGAGACAATAATTTTTCGAGGAGATTCGCTTTTCTCATTGGTCCCTCTGACGCGTAAACAGATTTTAACTTATCCCATATTTCCTTCGAAGTGTTACAGTTCCGAATATGACGAAGTTGCGATGGACTGATAGCGAGAATCAGATCGCTTTTTGGTTTCCGGTCTTGTATGTTCCATTGGTCGAGGGCAGCTTGTGCGGCGGCTAATTGGTCACCTTCACCTTGTAAAATTGGTCGAGGAGTATCTCCGTTGACATAAGACCAGGTATCATCTCGAACTAAAAGAGCTTCTATTTGAATCCGCCATGTATCATAATTGAGCTTGGTTAAAAGCTCAATTCGCGCTAAACCGAAAGCATTCGCACCAGCCATCGTGAGATATAGCGTACGTGCGTGTGTGAACTACGAAAAATGGCGTCGACCGAAGCGTTCGAGGACGCTCTACCGTTTCGAGAGAATTTGCGGTTTATTTGCGCGATTCCGGACCTGGGCCCATAACCTGTTCGAGTACGCAGGTTATTAGTGACAAGTCAAAACATTTTATGGGATCAGAAACTTTATTTTAGCACTTTATAAACTTTATTGAGATTGATTAAAAGCGACGCGAAACATAATAGGCAACTTTTATGTAAGCGAATAGACAGAAAACAAAAGTGAGTGTGTAGAAAAATATAAAGATGCCCTCTTTAGTGAGGAACTTAAATTATAACGTTAGGGCGGGAATTGTGAATACTTAACAATATTTTCCAAAAAAAAGTGAAAGAACTTAAAAATTCAATTATTTTCAGAAAATTATTTCATAAAATATGCAAATACTTTCGAAATTTAATCATTTTCAAAAAATATTTGAATAAGTATTTGAATAATTTTAAAATTTAATTATTTTTAAAAAAAATTACTGAAAAAATATTTAAATAATTTGAAAATTCAATTATTTTTCCAAAAAAAATTTAAATAATTTGAAAATTCAATTATTTTTCAAAAAAAATTATAATAATTTGATAATTCAATTATTTTAAAAAAAAAAATTGTATTAATTTGAAAATTCAATTATTTTCAAGAATTTTCATGTTATAAAATTGTTTAAAGAAATTCAATAATTTTTATTACAATTTAGTAGAAGTTCATTATAAAAGGCAATTATTTTTGAAAATTGAATAATAATTTCAGAAATAAATTTTATTTTCCAAACATTTTGATAAAATCCTTGGGATAAAAATTCAATTAATTTTTAATGTCATTTTTATTAAAATTCCTTTAAAGAATTTCATTAATTAATATTTTTAAAAGTTTTTTAATAAAAATTCTTCGAAACAGTAAAATTAGAATTTCGTTAATTTTCAAAATTTGGAAAAGTTATACTTATTTAAAAAGAAAAATTATCAGAAAAAATTTAGAAAACAAAAAAGTAAACAAAAACAACTAACTTCAAACTACGGGAATAAATTTCCAGAATACAACGATTGTTAATTGTTAATATAGAAGATTTGATAATTATAACAATTGAATTATAATAATTACAATAATAAAATTATAATGTAACTATAATTATAATATATTTATAATAATTACATTAATATAATTTTTTTTCTTAACCCGTTTATATAATATATTTAAAATTGTAAATATAATTTAAATCATTTAAATTGCTAAATTACTAGCACTTCCTTTTATTTTCGTTTTTTTGTTAAAAGCAGAGAATGGAAGAAATTTAAAAATAAAAACTCACCGGATGTGTAAATAAATCTGAGATTATTCAATAATAACCTATTTTCAAAGAGTTCTATTGGCTCAAGATTGAAATTCGAACAATGCAGAGATAATTGTTGCTCAAGCAAGTAAACATCCTCTTTTCACTCACTCTCTCCTTTTTTTTCTTTTAAATAAAATATATTTGTTCCTGAAGATGTGAATCTTGTCTATTTTGCTTCTCTTCTTATTTACTTTTTTCAAAATGACACTATTTTCAATCTATTTTTTAGAAAAAATTTACAATAATTCGTCATTTCTCACTTTTTCGCGTCAATGAATTTCATATGCGAATTTACACTTTCAATTTCTTTTTATTTAGATTATTTTTCTATTTATTTACATGACTAATTATCAATTTTACCCGATTTCACTATTTTGATTTAAATGATTTAAATGATTCAAATCCTGTTTTGAAAAGTTTGGAAAAAAATCTTTACGCGTGAAAAATTGAAAATTGCCAATTTTGAGGTTATGTTACTCGAGAGGAAAATTTATGAAATTTATCGCGCACCGAAAATCATTTACTTTTAATAAATTAAAACAAAGTATATAGTAAACTAATCTTTTTTTTCTATAAAAAAAAGGAAAAATTGCAAAATTCAAATATTGATATGTTTACCATTGTTTTTTTTATGTTGCGGGCTTTTACGTTTTTCTATTAGGTTTTTGGTGATCCATGGCGACTAAAAATCCAGATGGCGCGTAATCAAGAAAGGCGAAACACACGACGACGACGACGACGATGCTTTTATTTTCGTGTAGTAATTTGTCTTTCTACAAATTCAATTCATGACTATTTTTTTATTATTCACTGACTCAACACGGTTCCATTCAGTTTTTGTCTCAACAATTATTTTGCTACAGTATAATGTTCTTTTTTTTTTTTGCACACCGCGAATTGTTGAATATTTTTTGCGAGAGAAAAAAATTACAAGCGACAACACATTTTACGCAAGAGAAGTCCGAGAGATAACTGCAGCGACAACGACGACGTCGTTTTAATACATAAAAATAAAATATGGCGGAAATCAATTTTTTTCTTTTAAAGGAAAGAAAAATTATGTTTTCTCGTTTTTTTTCTGTTTAATCGCATTTTTTCATATTTACCTTTTTTCACAGTTAATTTATAATTCCATTTGTTGTTCTAAAAAAAAAATTAAGTCTAAAATTTAAATTAAAAGGGAGGAAAGAAGAATTTTAGGTTAAATAAAATTTGCCTTTTTTATTAATAAAAAATAAATATTGAAATCAAGCTTCTTGATTGAAATAATAGTATTTTAATTAATATAATAATCTAGCATAAAGAAACTTTAATTATTAACTAGTAAACAATAGTTTCTATAAAAAAACTATTTAATTAAATTTCAATTTTTCGATTTGCGCGGGAAATTTGAATTTCTTTTCCCTCTTCTCTTTAAATTTGCCCTCTTTTTTTAATTTTTTAAATATGTTTTTTATTAAAATTTTTATGACATTATTTTTATCATATAAACATGTGAAATATTTGTTTTTTTTCCATTTTACTCGATTCGTTTGGCAAAGCCTTCAAGATTTGAAGAAGAATCTACCAAATCTCTGGGCAGCTCCGGATTCCAGAAAGTTTTGCATACTTTCTATATTCTTTATAGTTCGTGTTAATATTTCCAACCATTCCAACGGAATTCTGCTTTTCCATTGGCTGATTTTTTAGACATTAAACAAAGGAAAGAAAGAAAGGTAATACGGAATAAAATTCGAATATAAGGCCAACGCAGAATAGATCTGTAACCGGAACCGCAATCGTAACCGTAAAGGCGCTCTCACAGCTAGTAGTCAGTATACAAATTTGAATTTACTGTCTCTTTCACTCTAATTGATTTTCTCTCTTACTCCAATTACTGCCTGCGCAGGCAGGCAGAGCTGTGAGAGCTCCATAAGCGTAAGAATGAGTTAGAGAAGGATAAACAATATACCTATCCTTCTTTAACTCATTCTTACGGTTACGCTTACGATTGCGGTTCCGGTTACAGATCTATTCTGCGTTGGCCTATATTATTATCAGACTGATTATTATAATGAAATTATAACATTTAAAAATAGTGTCAAAATATTACATAAATTTTATATAAAATTAGTAAATTGCACATAAATACATATAATACAACCAATATCAAATACAAAAAACTGGCTTAATTCCCGCCACATAACCTAACCTGACTTTTTTTTCATGGACAGCACGCCGAAAGATTATAAGCGAATTTCTACTTTCGAAGTGAATTTAATAAAAATATTTGCAAAGAAAAAATATCGTGTACCTACTTATGAAAAAAGGATTTCAAAGAAAAACTACAATTCAAAATGACTTCTGAGGTAAAAAGAAACTTTATTACAACAATCGTTTGGAATAATTTGCATCATTTCTATTTCTTAAAAAATTGCATTAATAAAATTTAGTTTTTTTTTTAAAAGTATAAAAGAAAAAAATGATTATAAATTCAATTATTTACAAAATAATTTTCATATATTATTCAATTATTTTCATAAATAATAACATTTTTTACAAGCATTCAATTATTTTCATCATTTTCATAAATAATTAAAACTCAATGCTGAATTATTTTCAAAAAATTTTATTGAAATTTTTTGCGTAACAATTAACTTTTTTCAAAATAATTTTAATATAATTCTTCGCAGAAATCAAATTAGATTTCAAAATTTACAAAAATTCTCGTCAAAATTTCAATTATTTTTATATATACTTATTTAATATTTTTTTCCAAAATTCAATGATTTTCAAAACTTTTAATAAAATTCTTGTCAGAATTTCAATTATTTTAAATATACAATTTTCATCAAATTTCTCTAAAAATGCAATTATTCTGAAAAATTTTATTAAAATTTGTCAAGAGAATTATTAAAAATAATTTAAAAATTTTGTTGATAATATTCATTATGAAAAATTCAATTTTAAGAAACATAGATTAAAAATTATTGTATTTAATAAAATATTTATTTTTATAGTTAAATAAATTGAATTCTCGTAGAATTTCCTAATAAATTTTCAAAATAAAATCTTTGACAATTTGAACTTTTCATACATTTATAATTAACAATTCTATAGAATTAATTTTTCTCAATAAAGTTTAATGTAATTTTTTTTTTGTTAATTATTTTAAGTTTTCAATTTCTAATAAATATTTAATTGAAAATTGTCAAAATAATCGGAAATTTCGTTAAATTTAATTGTAAACAAAAGAGTTTTGAAAATTCACAAAGAATTTTTTCAAAAATTACTTATTTTTAAAAAATTTGACTTAAAGAAGAATTTTAGTTAAAAATTCTAGAATTAATAAATAATCGTATTAATGAAAATAATTTTTGTTGAAGTTACAGTTAACAAAGTAGCCAATTCTAATATTTTTAAATATGTTATTGAATTTCAATTTTTTGAATATCTTTAATTTCTACAAAAAAAATAATGCGATTAAATATTTATTTAAAAATGAAGTTATTGATGTTTTCGAATAATTTTCGTTTTTCAATCTGGAAAACATGAAAAAGTAAGGGAATTTGAAAAGAGCAAAAGCGTGGAAACCCTGAATTTATTATTTATAAAAATAATTGAATTCATAAAAAAAAATTTATTTTTAATGAAGTTAATTGAATTATTGCGAAGAAAATTATAAATTTATTTTTTAATAATTGAATTCCTGTGAGAATTTTTATTATTTATGAAAATAATTAAATGTTTGAGTATAATTTTATTAACATTTTTTTAAAAATAATATTGAATTCTTTTGTCAAATTTATTACTATAGTAAATATTGAAAATCATTGAAATGAGAAAAATTTTTGAAAATAATTGAATTTTAGAGGAGAATTTTATTATTTATTAAGATAATTATGATTTTGATGATAATTTTTTTTTAATTTTCAACGTAATTGAACATTGGAAGAAGAATTTTATAATTCAATTTTGAATTATTAAAAAATATATAAAAAAAAACATTACTATACAGAAAATTGGAAATTGATCTAATTTATGCATATAAAGAGACTATAAATAAATTATTAATTTCTTTTGTACTGTTGCAGATAATTCGAAGAAATATGCATCGACTTCGTTATGCCATCGATAAGGGAAATCTAGAAACTGTAAAGGAGCTTTTACAAGAAATTAAAATTGATTATCGAGATGAGAATTTTTTAACCATTTTGGACTATGCTGTTAACGCAGGAAATTCAATGATTGTTGAGGAAATTTTAAAGCGTCATCCTGATATTAATCTAGAAAACTACACATTGCACAGTGAAGTTGGAAAAGAATCTGAAGAGTTGGCAAATATATTGTTTAAAAATGGTACTAATGTTAATTCTGTGTATAAAAATGTCGGTACACCACTTCATATTTCTGCTCTACTTGGAAACACAGAAATCTGTAAATTACTATTAATTAAAGGAGCTGATATAAATGCAGTAAATGAAAATAAAGAAACAGTCTTGCACATTGCAAGTCGAAAAGGTGATAAAGAGATTGTTAAATTATTGCTAGAATTTGGTGCCGAAATTGAATGCAAACATATTTATGGCAAGACACCACTTCATTTTTCTGCTGAAAGAGGAAAAAAAGAAATTTGTAAAATGCTTTTAATTAATGGAGCTGATGTAAATGCAGTAACTAAGAATCAAGATAAAGCATTGTTCATTGCACTTAAAATGGGTTATGAAGAGATTGTTGTATTATTGCTAGAGTTTGGTGCCGAAACTGATTGTAAAGATAATCAAGGCTTCACACCACTTCATTTTTCTGCTGAAGGAGGATATGAAGAAATCTGTAAAATGCTCTTAATTAAAGGAGCTGATGTAAATGCAGTAAATAATTATGAACAAACTGCTTTGTCCATTGCACTTAAAATGGTTTATGAAGAGATTGTTAAATTACTTCTAGAGTTTGGTGCCAAAATTGATGGTAAAAATAAAATTGGCGACACACCACTACATGTTTCTGCTAGAAAAAAAAATAGAGAAATATGTAAAATGCTATTAATTAAAGGAGCTGATGTAAATACTGTAAATTTGAAAAAAGAAACTGCTTTGCACATTGCAACTATAAATGGTCATGTAGAAAATGTTAAATTATTGCTTGAATTTGATGCCGACATTGATTGTATAAGTAATGTACCATCTTATGCGCATTATGTTTTTAACTACCACTTTATTAAAAGAAAAACAGCAAATTTGTTTGTAAGTGAAAATTATCCACTATTTTCGAGTGATAGGAGTCTTCTGGACAATGAGTTTCAAAAAAAATGCGAGAAAGAAATATTTTACTTGAAGCATGAAAAGATTAGTAATATTAAAATTTCATTCTTTGACGTATTGATAAACCATTGTTCATTAGTAAACTACATGGAAAATAAGAACATTGTACAGACTCTAAAATCATTGGATTATGAAACAAAGTTTCCAATTTACGGCAACATGATAAACTGTAATTTCTTAAAGGCTATGAAAAGAAGAGAATTACTAAACCAATGTTATCAATTTTTTCCTCTTTTTTATAATAACTTCACCGAGTCACCGCAATGTTATCACGAAAAAATACTTAGTTACCTAAATGACAAGGAGTTAAGTATTTTAATTAAAGCTTGTCTGCCTATTAACAAGTAAACTTTGTTGGAAAGTATTTTAGATTGTCGGATCTGCTTTTTTTCGTAATATAGAAAATTACAACGCAAATGCTCCTTCGAAATTATTCTTTTCTCCATTTATATGAATTTTTCTGTTATTTAAAAATTTTATACAATGTTTTTTATGAAATTAATGTTAAATTTAACAAATTTAAAAATATAATATAAAATAAATAAAAAAAAGTCAATTAAAAAATTGATAATAAAGTTAATGGAACTTCTTTATTCCTGAAGAATAGGAAATAATATTTAAGTTTGGTATTTTTATACTTATGTATTAATTAGAATTAAAAGTGAGTATTGTATTTTGGAATAAAAAATTATTGTGTTCAAATTTATTGCGAAGGACTCGTTACAAATTTCTTTCCTATAAATAATTTTAATCCTTAGTAAACTGCTCTCCTCTTTTAAGTTAAAAAAATCAACATTTTACTGTTCTCGTTTCACAATTTCCGATTGAAAAATATTCTATATATTTTAACCTATTAACGCCTATGAATAGACAAATGAAAATATCATCAAAGTCATTGTTGGAAACAGGACTGCGGAACAAATATGATGACTTTCTACGTCAAAAATTCGTTAAAAAATAATTTTTTTATAAAATTTATTATTAAAAAATAGAGAAAATGAATAATATAAAATAATAATGATAATTATAAAATTTTTAAATTTCTTTATCTGTATTAGTAAAAATTTGAATTATATAGAACAAAAGAGATACAAATCTAAAATGAGTTAATTTTAAAAAATAAATACCTAAAGTAAATAAAAATAAATAAAATTTTTTTTTCTAGAAAGTTAAATTAATATTAGTATTATTAATATTGATTGAATTTTAAAAAGTTGAAAATTAAAGTTTTAGAAAAGTTGAAAATTGTAAAAAAATTTAATTAAAAATTCTGAATAAGTTAGTTTTTTGAAATATTTTAGTTAAAATTTCTAGAAAGTAATTGAATTTAAATCTTGAAAATAATTTTTTATAATTTACAGTAGCAATTTTTATAAATGTTAGGTATAAATTATTCAATTTTAGAGGATTTATTTAGAATTATTTATTTATTTGGAATCTATTTAAGTTTCAAATGATTTTACAATTAAAGATATTTAAAAAATGTATAAATTTTTTTGCAATTTCAATTATTTTTTTCAATTTTTTCTTTTTAAAATGCAAGATAAATATATTTGATATATTATTAATAATAACAAATATAAAATTTTTTTAATTAATTCTTTAGTTTTCAAATCACAATTAATTGCAAAAACACTTTCATAATTTTGAAAATTCAATAAAGAAAAAAAAATTTGCTAAATATTTGTTTCTCAGTAAAAATTAAAAAATTTTTTAAACTTTTTCATTTCTATTTTTTTTTTTAAAATAAAAGAAACAAACTGGAAACAAATTTGAATAATAATTTGATGCATTGTGAGAAGTCCGCCCTAAGGCGTTATGAACGTAATTGTAAAACCGCCTTGAGGACTCTCAAAACTTGAGATTATTTAAAATTTTAAATGCCTTTAAATGCTATCAATGTTTGTGTTATCTGCGTTACAATGTTAAATTGAAATTCGAAGTTTATAAGCGAATGTCTACTTTCAAAGTGAATTTCACAATTATTTAAAGAAAAAATATCTTTGTGGAATTAGTTAATTCCAGTTTTACTGATTTTGTAAGTGATTTTCAGTTATTTTTCCATAAAAGTGCAAACATAACCTCACTTTTTATGTTTATTCATTTCATTTATTTTCTTTTACGCGTTTATTCATATAAATGATATAAATTATGAAATTTTTAATTATAATTAATTTACATATGCAAACGTTTGTTCTAGATTGATTAAATAATTGTTTGCGACAAATATGGAAAGAAATTAGGCAAAGTAATCACACCAGATCCGTGGAAAGATCCCGGAACACATAAATCTTGTGCTTATAAAAAAAGGAACGCGTTCTGTGGGAAGTATGTGACAAAAACTTGATTGACACTAAACAGTACAGGCAGTCTTTCCACACAAAATTTTAAAGAAAAACTACAATTCAAAATTAATTCTGAGGTAAAAAAAAAATTTTTTAAAACAATCGTTTGAAATAGGGTAACAAAAACCGCTGCCAAGTTGTACATTTTTATAATTTTGGTGTTATCATTTCATGAACACTTTGCTTCCTCATAGAAATAATAATAATTAAAATGTTAAAAAAATGATATTTTCCACAATTTTTGATTTTTCAAATACCAATAAGTTGATAATTTTTTACCGAATCAGGTTAAGAAATAGGTCAATCGAAGCGTTTTTTAAAGCTCTTCAAGTTGGTAATAATTTTTTGAAATTACTTCTACAGAATTTTAAAAAAATGTAATTTTAGTACACACACGACGGGACAATTTTTTAAAATCCGTTTTTTGGACTTCTGAGGTCAAATTACATCGAAATTTTTATTCATTTATTTATAACATTTATACGGGCAGTGCCTACTCGTACATAAAGTACTAAAAGATTAGGTATAATGAAAATAAATTTATAAATATGTCAAAAAACCACAATCGAAAATTTTGCTAATACAACCCAGGCGCGAAAGACCAATGCTGACGATGGATTGAAGATTTATTCAGTCTTGAACGCCCAGCCTGGGTAACCCAGTGTTGAAGCAGTCTTTATATCACTGTCACTCAATATTGATTCAGCATTGGACACCAATGTTCGTCCCATGCTCGATTCAAGACTCGGTCAATCTTCGTGAGTGAAGCTCGAACATCTGATCTTAATTCAAGCCTGAATCAATCTTGACAGTTTATTTGTTGACGTGTGCACTTAAAAATATTAAATATAAATATTTATAAATTAATTAATATTAAAATATTTTTTATGATAATTTTGTATACTATTTAAAAATTATTATTAAGATATCAATTGGTAAATAAATATTAATATTTATTTAGTGTATAATATTTATATTAATTATTAATTTATTAATAATAATGATTATTATTATTATTATTATTATTATTATTATTATTATTATTAATTAAATAAGATTTATATAAATAAAGTTAAATTATACATTATTATTTTTTCCTTGTACAGTGTCAAATTATTATTTTCAAAGTTTAAGAGTTTCGTTTATCTGAAAAATTATTAGTGAAAAAAATGTTCATTAGGGTGTAATAAATATTTATGCCTAGTAGTTTTACACTAGGATTAACTGTTTAGTAAATATGTATTATCAAAAAACTATTTTTTGTCCTACCTGCACGGAAAGTATGTCATTTCGGGCACTTAAGGCGGGCGCAAAGTAACACATTACGCCCGGGAGTGGGGGAAGCGGGCGGAAAAGTATTTTGCGCCCGCTTGTATGACGTCAGCGGGCGGTAAAGTATTTTCCGCCCGCTTCCCCTACCACCGAGCGGGCGGAAAAGTATTTTGCGCCCGCTTGTTAATTATTCGATTTTCTTCATTAAAATGCGACATTTTCGACTTTCTTTTTAAGTTGACTATAGAACTGCAAATATTTTGAACTTGTTTTATTTTACCTTTAAAAATTTGCAAGTTTTTTTTATTTTCTCTAAAAAAACTTATGAGACATTTGGTTTTGTTCCCATTTCGTTTATCAAAATTGTCAATTTTAAAAGTTCTTGTTTCAGTTTTGTTTAATTATTAATTACTACGTTCTAAATAAATACTATGTTTCCAGAATACATTATTTTTTTATTTCTATTTTAAAACTTCTATCATTATAAGACTTCATTCGATATAATGTTTATATAGAGCTTAATTTTTAACTAATATGAGTGTTTAATCGTGCGTGCCCTCAATGCCATACTTTCCATGCAGTTAGGACAAAAAATTATGTTCGCATCATGGGCGCAAAGGTGATTACGACTTTGGCGAAATTTCGGGACCTCGGGGACACTTTCGCTCCCTCGGCTTCGCCTCGGGCGCGAAATTGTGTCCCCTCGGTCCCTTCATTTCGCCATCGTCGCAATCACCTATTTTGCGCCCTTGTTACGAAAATAACTATTTTGTCAAACGCGTGCGATTAAACACAAATAACCTTGAGACTTTAGCATTGCCAACTCAAGAGTTTAACGTATGTGTTGAGTTGGTAATGCTGGAGTTTCAAGGTTATTTGTGTTTAGTCGCGCGCGTTTGACAAAAAATAGTTTTTTGATAATATTTACTAAACAGTTAATCCTAGTGTAAAACTACTAAGCATAAATATTTATGACTACCTAATGAACATTTTTTCACTAATAATTTTTCAGATAAACGAAACTCTTAAACTTTGAAAATAATAATTTGACACTGTACAAGAAAAAAAATAATATATATAATTTAACTTATAAAATTATCATAAAAAATATTTTAATAATAAATAATTTATAAATATTGATATTTAGTATTGTTCAGTGCACACGGTAATAAAGAAAGTAAATATTGTATCAAGATTGACCGAGTCTTTAATCGAGCATGGGACGAACATTGGTGTCCCATGCTGAACAAATATTGAGTGACGCGCCGTATATACAGAATATACGGCGCTGGCATTGAAATAGTAGATTAGGCGAGGTGCCTTCCAGCCTTCTGTGGCCGAGCGGTTTAAATGCGTGCGTTTAGGACTTCCGGTATGCGTTAGGGGCGGGGTGCGTGAGTTCGATCCCACATGCGAGCGAATATTTTTCATTCTTTGTTTTAAGCGTTATATCTAATAATAAAATTGTGTGTTGTGTTGTGAATAAAAAATGTGAATATGTTTGTAAATTATATTAAAAAGTCTGCTGAAAAATCGAGAAAAAATGTACCGATTAACAGAAAAATTGTTTTCTTTTACCAAAATTATTTTTTTAATATTACTATTTCAAATGACATTTATTGTTAGTAATATATTATTTATATGAAAATAATATAATTATTATAATAATAACTTATTTTCAAACAAACGCATATAATATGAACAAAAATAATAACAATAATATTCATTACTATTATAATTATTACTATTATTATTATTATTATATACAATTCATATATCCATATTATATTGAATGAGCGCGAGAGACGCGTAAATTTGGGAACAGTGGAAGCAGCCTTGTTTCAGTCCTGCATTACACGGAAAGAAGGTTTCACCCTTAACGACAGTGCCTCGTTTGATAGGTTAGAACAGTCTGACAAGCACGGCGAAATGAAGGCACGGGATTTTATGGTGAGCGTCACCGAAAATTTCGGTGCATTCATAGTAATATCTCATGCGTGTACCCTCTTATCTTCTTACGTGCACCGTCAGAGAGCGGTAAAAGGCACGAAAAAAGATACTGCTAACTTTGCACCGTACTTCTATGTGTCACAAACGTAGAAATAAGGTGCTTGTACAGAGTTTATATGGTGAAACCTTCTTTCCGTGTAGGGTTCCGCAGCATTGATTGAACATTGAACGCCAATCTACAACAAAGACTGGAGCGTCAGTCTTAAATAAGTGTTACATTATATGGCTAGAAGCAACCTTGCTTCCGCCGTCCCACCAAGGCTTGATCAATGTTGACCAAGCCTCAACGAAGGTTCCGTAAAGCCTGAATCCAGCGTCAGTTCTCACCTGGGAATCCTTCCTCTATGAGGAAGCAATACATAATTAGAATACCATCCCATCCTAAGGAAAATAAAAATCAAACTGTCAAAATTGTTATTTATTCAAATATTATTATTTTCTAGTTTTCATTTATTTAAGGGGTTAAACCACTCTAGAGCGTCAAAAAGAGGTTCTAATTTCAACATTTTTTAAAAAGAAAAGTTTAAAAGTAATGAAAAATATGTTTACATATCTCTATCAGGTACACTTTAAAGAGAAAAAAATATACTTTATAAATTTTCTTTGTTTAAAAACAGCAGATGTACATGTACGTGATGGAAACCCTTTGTAAAAAGAATTCCTTCGCGGCCGGAAAGGTTTTTGGTACAATTTTCATCCTAGAACAGAAAACAAATTTTTTTCTATTTTTACATCTCAAAAGCTATAGAAAGACGTAGGTAATTTTTGCAAAAATGGTGAACATTTTATGGAAAAACTGAGTTTTTGACTGAAAAAAATAGGCACTAAATTGTTTATAACTAAAAAAATATGCAACATAAAAAAAATCCCCTACGTCTTTCTCTAGCTATTGAGATGTAAAAAAAGAGAAAAATTTGTTTTCTGTTCTAGGATGAAAATTGTACCAAAAACCTTTCCGGCAGCGAAGGAATTCTTTTTACAAAGGGTTTCCATCACGTACATGTACATCTGCAGTTTTTAAACAAAAAAAAATTTATAAAGTATATTTTTTTCTCTTTAAAGTGTACCTGATAGAGATATGTAAACATATTTCTCATTACTTTTAAACTTTTCTTTAAAAAAAATGTTGAAATTAGAACCTCTTTTTGACGCTCTAGAGTGGTTTAACCCCTTAAATGCTGAATTTTTCAAAATGTAAATTAGGGGAAACCGAGGTGAGTTGAAACGATTTTTATATTATCCAGTATAACTCAGCGAAAAATTGTCCTATTTTTATGAGCTTTGTATTTTTGGATAGGTAGTTTTGTGTAGTATGTGAATCAAAAAATTAAAAATAATGTAAAAAGTTGTAATGGTTTACGACAAAATTGAAAATCCAAAACAGTTCCCGGTGTTATGTTACAACTCACCTAGTACCAAGATGAGTTGTAACACATGTGGACGTTAGTTGTAACAATTGCAAATTTTGTGATTTTAATGAAAAAAATTAATTTTTAATGCTCTGTTTAGTTAGTAAAGACATCTAATTAATAGAAACGAATAAAATACTCGTTTTAATACCTTAAAATAATCGGCTGCTATTTAAAAGCACCTATTTTGTGCCTGAGGTATGAAAAATCTAATAAATTCACGCTTTTTAAAATTTTTAAAAGGTCATAGTTTTCGAGAAATCGGCTTTGTTACAACTCACCTCAGTCTCCCCTAATAAAATATTTATGTTATGAAAATTTTATTAACTCAAATGACCAAACTGAATCCAATTCAAATTAGGCAGGTCGACTAACTTCAAGTTATAGATTTAGCTGTCGCTAAAATATGTTAGTGTATACATGAAAAATAAAGAGACACGTATTTTTTTTATTTTTCAAAAAAGATAAATTTAACGAAGTTGCGCACATTTGAACTTTGAGTGGTAAAACTCGAATGAACAGTGAAAAAAAATTGTTTTTTTAGCATAATTTAATTTTCTTTCTTGGGTCTTGTAGATGATCTTGTCCTCTTCAAAATCCAGTTTGAAATTTGAAAAAATTCATTTTTGGCTTTGATTTAAACAAGTTCACTTTTTTAATATTAACTTTGTTTATATCATCAACAGCATATTCTATGTCTACTGTTTTCAAAAATTATTTCCGATTAATTACAGAATTATACTCATTTTTTTCTTAAAACAATTGTAACGTATTTTCGAATCATTTTTGAATTGTAAAAGTGAGTTAGTTCAGTTCACAATGAAAAAATTGGCTGTCAGTTATGAATAAACCGTTGTCAATTGATGTTATCAAAAAGATTAAATAAAGTTTTTATTAGTTTGAAATCGAGTCTCAATTATCAATTCTATACAATAATAAAATAATTAAATCAATTTTTATCAACTTTGCCCAATTTGTATAGGTCATTATCAAAATTTTATGAAAATTAGTAAAATTTACAGGATAATGTCGACAATGACCAACGATTTACAGGACAATGTCAACAATGACCTACGATTTTGGGATTGTCGACATTGACCGCGCATTATCGGAGAATGTCCAATTCCGATCTTTGCCCGTAACACATATAAAGAGACTATAAATAAATTATTAATTTCTTTTCTATTGTTGCAGATAATTCGCAAAAATATGGATCAACTTCTTTATGCAATCGATGAGGGAAATCTAGAAACTGTAAAGGAACTTTTACAACAAAAAATTAACATTCATTATACAGATGAGAATTTTTTAACCATTTTGCACCATGCTGCTTACGCAGAAAATTCAATGATTGTTGAGGAAATTTTAAAGTGTCATCCTGATATTAATCTAGAAAACTACACATTGCACAGTGAAGTTGGCAAAGAATCTGAAGAGTTGGTAAATATATCGTTTAAAAATGGTACTAATGTTAATTCTGTGTATAAAAAAGTCGGTACACCACTTCATATTTCTGCTCTACTTGGAAACACAGAAATCTGTAAATTACTATTAATTAAAGGAGCTGATATAAATGCAGTAAATGAACATAAAGAAACATCCTTGCACATGGCAACTCGAAGAGGTGATGAAGAGATTGTTAAATTATTGCTAGAATTTGGTGCCGAAATTAATTATAAAAATAAAAATGGCGAAACACCACTTCATGTTTCTGCTCAACTAGGAAAAAAAGAAATCTGTAAAATACTTTTAATTAAAGGAGCTGATGTAAATGCAGTAAATAATATTAAAGAAACCGCCTTGCCTATTGCAGCTCAAAATGGTCATGAAGAGATTGTCAAATTATTGCTAGAATTTAGTGCCGAAATTAATTATAAAACTTTTTTTGGCTACACAACACTTCATATTTCTGCTCAAAGGGGAAATAAAGAAATTTGTAAAATGCTTTTAATTAAAGGATCTGATGTAAATGCAGTAACAAGTTTTCAAGAAACCGCCTTGTTCATTGCACTTAAAATGGGTTATGAAGAGATTGTTGTATTATTGTTAGAGTTTGGTGCCGATATTAATTGTAAAAATAATAATGGCGACACACCACTTCATGTTTCTTCTGAAAGAGGAAATGAAGAAATTTGTAAAATGCTTTTAATTAAAGGAGCTGATGTAAATGCAGTAAATTGTAATCAAGAAACCGCTTTGCACTTTGCAGCTGCAAATGGTCATGAAGAGATTGTTAAATTATTGCTAGAGTTTGGAGCCGAAATTGATTGTAAAAATATTCATGGCAACACACCACTTCATGTTTCTGCTCTAAAAAAAAGTAAAGAAATGTGTAAAATTCTTTTAATTAATGGAGCTAATATAAATGCAGTAAATTTGAAAAACGAAACTGCTTTGCACATTCAGGCTAAATTTGGTCACGAACAGAATGTTAAATTATTGTTAGAATTTGGTGCCGACTTTGATTGTATAAGTAATGTATCAGATCGTGTGCATAATGTTTTTAACTTCCACTTTATTAAAAGAAAAACAGCAAATTTGTTTGTAAGTGAAAATTATCCACTAATTTCGAGAAATAGACACAAGGAAAGCGAGTTTCAAAAAGAATGTGAGAAAGAAATATTGTACTTGAAGCATAAAAAAATTAGTAATACAAACATTTCGTTCTTTGACATATTGACTAAAAATTGTTCATTAGTAAAGTACATGAAAAATGAGAACATTGTACAGACTCTAAAATCATTGGATTATGAAATAAAATTTCCAATTTACGGCAACATGATAAACTGTAGTTTCATAAAGGGTATGAAAAGAAGAGGATTACTAGACCAATGTTATCAATTTTTTCCTCTTTTTTATAACAACTTCACCGAGGCACCACAATGTTATCATGACAAAATACTTAGTTACCTAAATGACGAGGACTTAAGTATTTTAATTGAAGCTTGTCTGCCGATTAACAAGTAAACTTCGTTGGAAAGTATTTTAGACAGGTGGATCTGTTTTTTTTTGTAATAAAGAAAATTACAACGCTCCTTCGAAATTATTTTTTTTTCTCCATTTATATGAATTTTTCTGTTCTTTAAAAATTTTATACGATTTTTTTTATGGAATTAATGTTAAATTTAACAAATTTAAAAATATAATATAAAATAAATAAAAAAAAGTCAATTAAAAAATTGATAATAAAGTTAATGGAAGTTCTTTATTCCTGAAGAATAGGAAATAATGTTTAAGTTTGGTATTTTTATACTTATATATTAATTAGAATTAAAAGTAAGTATTGTATTTTGGAATAAAAAATTATTGTGTTCAAATTTATTGGGAAGGACTCGTTACAAATTTCATTCCTGTAAATAATTCTAATCCTTAGTATCTAAACTGTTCTCCTCTTTTTAAGTTAAAAAATCAACATTTTTCTGTTCTCCTTTTTCAATTTTCAATTGAAAAATATTCTGTTTTAACCCACTAATGCCTATGATTAGATAAATGAAAATATCATCAAAGTCATTGTTGGAAACAGGACTGCGGAACAAATATGATGACTTTCTACGTCAAAAATTCGTTAAAAAATAATTTTTTTATAAAATTTATTATAAAAAAATAGAGAAAATGAATAATAATAATTATAAAATTTTTAAATTTCTTTATTTGTATTAGTAAAAATTTGAATGAATTAGAACAAAAGTGATACAAATTTTCTAAAAGTTAATTTTAAAAAATAAATAAAGTAAATAAAAATAAATAAAATTATTTTTTCTTAGAAAATAAATTTCTAAAAAAAACATATTTTGCATTTCTATATTTTAGAAAGTTAAATTATTATTACTAATATTAATATTGATTGAATTCTAAAAAGTTTCAATTTAAAGTTTTAGAAAAGTTGAAAATTGTAAAAAAATTTAATTAAAAATTCTGAATAAGTTAGTTTTTTGAAATATTTTAGTTAAAATTTCTAGAAAATAATTGAATTCAAATCTTGAAAATAATTTTTTATAATTTACAGTAGCAATTCTTATAAATGTTAGGTATAAATTATTCAATTTTAGAGGATTTATTTATTTATTTGGAATCTATTTAAGTTCCAAATGATTTTACAATTAAAGATATTTAAAAAAATGTATTACAAAATTCTTTTGCAATTTCAATTATTTTTTTCAATTATTTCCTTTTAAAATGCAAGATAAATATTTGTTATTTATTAATAATAACAAATATAATTTTTTTTTAATTAATTCTTTAGTTTTCAAATCACAATTAATTGCAAAACCACTTTCATAATTTTGATAATTCAATAAAGAAAAATAAATTTGCATTTGTTTCTCAGTAAAAATTAAAAAAAATTTTTAATTTTTTTTAATTCTATATTTTTTTTAAATAAAAGAAACGAATTTGAATAATAATTTGATGCATTGTGGGAAGGCCCTAAGGCGTGAACGCAATTGTAAAACCGACTTGAGGACTCTCAGCTGCTTGTCAATTTTTAAGATTCTTAACAATTCTATAAAATGAATTTGAGTAATTGTCAAAATTGACAAATATTACATGTAAACTGAAAACGGTTCATCAAATTGTTTCTCATTATTGCCAATCTTGTGCTTATAAGAAAGGAATGCGATCTGTGGGATGTATGTGACAAAAAATTGATTGACACTAAACAGTACAGGCAGTCTTCCCACACAGAATTTTAAAGAAAAACTACAATTCATAATTAATTCTGAGGTAAAAATAAAATTTTTTAAAACAATCGTTTGAAATGGGGTAACAAAATACATAATTAGAATACCGTCCAATTATCCTAATGATGATGATAATCAAACTGTCAAAATTGTTATTTATTCAAATATTATTATTTTCCGGTTTTCATTTATTTAAATGCTGAATTTTTCAAAATGTAAAGTGATAAAATATTTATGTTATGAAAACTTTATTAACTCAAATGACCATAAAATATATTTTTTAATATTTATAAATGTTATTTGACAGAATCTTTACTTTGGTAAAATGTTAATTGCAAATAACGTTTTTATACTCAAATAACCACTTTTTCTAAGGTTAAAAAATCCAAATGGGATTTATTTTCATCTGCATGAAAAATTGACTGTCGTTCATTATTTGGAAATTTTATAAAAATAGTAGATATTGAAAATCATTGAATTGTGAAAAGTTTTTGAAGATAATTAAATTTTACAAAGAATTTTATTAAAAAATTTGGCAATAATTTTGAATGTCTGTGGGAAAGTTTTATTAAATTTTTTTGAAAATATTTGAATTCCTAAAAATCATTTTATTATTTATGAAAATAATTGAATTTTTAGGAAAAATTTAATTAAAATTTTTAAAAAATAATAATTGAATTATTTTTAAAAAATTTAATTAAAATTGTATTTAAAACATTTCTTTCGAATAATTTTTTAAAATTTTTTTAAATAATTATTTAATCCTTCCAAAAAATATTAAAAAACATTTTTTTTAAATAATTGATTTTTTTGAGGAATTGAAATGAAGTTTTTAAGAATAATTACATTTTTTGAGCAATTCCTGTAAAATTGTAATAAAAATAATTGAAATCCTGCTATGAATTTTATTATTTCTGAAAATAATTACCAAAATCAATGCTTTCCCCGACTTGGAACCGCTTGGAATTTTTTTTAAATAGCGGCTAATATTAAAAAAATCAGAAATTATCAAAAGAAAAAAAATTTGCTACGTAAGCGAAGAATTAATTATTAATTTACTTGAAATTCTCGGATTTTTGGAAAATCCGTGCCAAAAAAATAAGAACTACTATTTCCCCATCTTTTTTTTTTATTTTAACGTTTGGAGGGTTTGAAGAAGAAAAATTTGTATCCTGAACATTTTAGAGAAATTTTTTTAAAAAATTTTTTCGCTGAATCAACGTTGGTAACTAGAGTTTCAGTTTGGAAGACTTGCAGTTCAAATTTTTAAGTATTTTCGAAATTTTAAGCAAATAAAGAACAATAAGTATTTAAATATATATTTTACAAAAGTGATTAAAATTTTGGAAAAATTTAATGATTTAATTTAGAAATTTTGAAAAAATTAAGTTTTTGAAAAATAGTAATTAAAATTTTTTAAAGAAAAAGATACTTTAATTCTCGAAAATAATTTTAAAAAATTGTAACAATTGGAAATTTTTTATAATTTTACATTTTAAAGAATTTTATTTTTTCATCTTTAAAAATTATCTATATAAATATAATTGTATTTTTGAAAATACATTATTTTATGAATTTACAAAAATTATTCCATTTAAATAATTCAATTCTCGTAGTTGAATTTTGATAGGAATTGATTTATAACCAAAATTGCAGTCAAATAGTTGCACATTTTAGAAGTAATTAAATTTCAAGAGGTTTTTCATTGAAATTATTTGAAATTTTAATTCATCAGAAAAAATAAATATGAATAAGTTTTTAAATTTTGACTTAACAAAAAGTATTGAAGTTTTGAAAAATTTCATTCATAAATTCCGAAAAATTGTTTCTTGAAAAAATGTATATTATTAAAATAGGTATATGGAAAAAGCAATACTATACATCAGAAAATTGAAAATTGATCTATTTGATGCATATAAAGAGACTATAAATAAATTAATAATTTCTTTTGTATTGTTGCAGATAATTCGAAGAAATATGTATCAACTTCTTAATGCCATCGGTGCGAGAAACCTAGAAACTGTAAAGGAGCTTTTACAAGAAATTAACATTGATTATCGAGATGAGAATTTTTTAATCATTTTGCACCATGCTGCTTACGCCGGAAATTCAATGATTCTTGAGGAAATTTTAAAGCGTCATCCTGATATTAATCTAGAAAACTACACATTGTACAGTGAAGTTGGAAAAGAATCTGAAGAGTTCGTAAATATATTGTTTAAAAATGGTACTAATGTTAATTTTGTGTTTAAAAATGTCGGTACACCACTTCATATTTCTGCTCTACTAGGAAAAAAAGAAATGTGTAAAATACTATTAATTAAAGGAGCTGATATAAATGCAGTAAATGAATTTGAAAGAACAGCCTTGCACATTGCAATTGAAAGAGGTGATGAAGAGATTGTTAAATTATTGCTAGAGTTTGGTGCCGAAGTTCATTGTAAAGATGTTGATGGTGACACACCACTTCATTTTTCTGCTCAAAGGGGAAATGAAAAAATTTGTAAAATGCTTTTAATTAAAGGAGCTGATGTAAATGTAATAAATCGGCATCAACAAACCGCCTTGCACATTGCAGTAGACTGTGATCGTGAAAAGACTGTTAAATTATTGCTAGAATTTAGTGCCGAAACTGATTGTAAAAATAATAATGGCGACACACCACTTCATTTTTCTGCTCAAAGGGGAAATGAAGAAATTTGTAAAATGCTTTTAATTAAAGGAGCTGATGTAAATGCAGTAAATGAACGTGAAGAAACAGCCTTGCATAATGCAGTTTACTTTGATCATGAAGAGATTGTTAAATTGTTGCTTGAGTTTGGTGCCGAAATTGATTGTAAAAATAATAATGGCGAAACACCACTTCATGTTTCTGCTCAACTAGGAAAAAAAGAAATCTGTAAAATGCTTTTAAATAAAGGAGCTGATGTAAATGCAGTAGATAATAATCTACATAGAGTCTTGTCCATTGCACTTCTCATGAGACAAGAAGAGATTGTTGTATTATTGCTGGAGTTTGGTGCCGAAACTAATTGTAAAGATTATAAAAACGAATCACCACTTCTGGTTGCTGCTGAAAGAAGAAATGAAGAAATTTTTAAAATGCTTTTAATTAAAGGAGCTGATGTAAATGCAGAAAACACATTTCAAAGAACCGCCTTACACGTTGTTGCCTTAGATTGGTGTGAAGAGATGGCTAAAATATTGCTAGAATTTGGTGCCGAAATTGATTGTAAAGATTATAAAGGTTACACACCACTTCATTTTGCTGCTCAACGAGGAAAAACACAAATTTGTAAAATGCTTTTAATTAAAGGAGCTGATGTAAATGCAGTAACTAAGAATCAAGATACAGCCTTGTTCATTGCACTTAAAATGGGTTATGAAGAGATTGTTGTATTATTGCTAGAGTTTGGTGCCGAAATTGATTGTAAAAATAATAATGGCGAAACACCACTTCATGTTTCTGCTGAAAGAGGACATGAAGAAATCTGTAAAATGCTTTTAATTAAAGGAGCTGATGTAAATGCAGTAAATAAATGCGGACAAACCGTTTTGTACAATGCTACTCGAAGAAGTCATCAAGGGATTGTTAAATTATTGCTAAAGTTTGGTGCCGAAATTGACTTGACTTTGATAAGTCATTATTACTTATCAGATTGTGTGCGTAATGTTTTTAACTTCCACTTTATTAAAAGAAAAACAGCGAATTTATTTGTAAGTGAAAGTTATTCACTATTTTCGAGTGATAGTCACAAGGATAGTGAGTTTCAAAAAGAATGTGAGAAAGAAGTATTGTGCTTGAAGCATGAAAAAATTAATAATACAAACATTTCGTTCTTTGACATATTGTCTAAAAATTGTTCATTAGTAAAGTACATGAAAAATGAGAACATTGTACAGACTCTAAAATCATTGGATTATGAAACGAAATTTCCAATTTACGGCAACATGATAAACTGTAGTTTCATAAAGGGTATGAAAACAAGAGGATTACTAGACCAATGTTATCAATTTTTTCCTCTTTTTTATAACAACTTCACCGAGTCACCGCAATGTTATCATGAAAAAATACTTAGTTACCTAAATGACGAGGACTTAAGTATTTTAATTAAAGCTTGTCTGCCGATTAACAAGTAAACTTCGTTGGAAAGTATTTCAGATAGACGGATCTGTTTTTTTGTAATATAGAAAATTACAACGCAAATGCTCCTTCGAAATTATTCTTTTCTCCATTTATATGAATTTTTCTATTCTTTAAAAATTTTATACAATGTTTTTTATGAAATGAATGTTAAATTGAACAAATTTAAAAATATAATATAAAATAAATGAAAACAACTAAGTCAATTAAAAAATTGATAATAAAGTTAATCTGGAAGTTCTTTATTCCTGAAGAATAGGAAATAATATTTAAGTTTGGTATTTTTATACTTATAATAATATATTAATTAGAATTAAAAGTGAGTATTGTATTTTGGAATAAAAAATTAGAAAATACGAGAATTTTTCCATTAAACAATAAATTCATCTCCAAAGTCTTTTTTTATATTTGATGGGCGTTTTTTTTTGGGAAAAAAAGAAATAAATATTCACTATAGCATATATAAGGTTATTTATTAAAAATTACTTTTCAAAAAAAAAAAAAAAAATCCGACTCGAATACCTTTTGCAATACAATTTGATACTAAATATTCTGGCACAAAATTTAATTAATAACAATACAAATAGAAAAAGTATTTTTTTTTAAACGCAGAAAAATTATTTACAATTCGAAACAAAAAGTGTTAGTTTTCGAGTAATAAACATAGTCTATATATATTTTTTTAAAAATTATATACCTATATATAATTATAATAATACATATTTAATAATAATTGACGTATCAAATAAAAGTGCACTTTGAAATCTCAACAATTTTCATTTTTCCTACGCGTGTGTACAAAAAGCTTCTTTTTTTTTAAATATACATTTTTTTTATTCAATTATTATCGTTTTTCTATTTCCCACTTTTCTCGTTAAATAAAAGAAAATATAAACTAACTAGCTGTCGTACCCGTCTTCGACGGGTTTTAGTTTTTGCTAATACATTTGATAGGGTTTCTACCAACCGGGAAATAGACGGGAATTAAATTTGACTGGGAAAAACTAATAATTAGTTACCATTATGTATTTCGTTAGAAAAATATCACTATTTGAATAAGTTCATTATTCCCGGCTATTTATCGGTTTCCCCGCGCAATTAGTAGACACTCAGTCAAATTTATTATGATAGAAACTAAATCCCGTCAAAGACTGGTGCATAAAATATTTTCTTAAAAAAAGAGTATTTTCATAAAATAAGTCAATTTTTGTAGCCATCTGAAGATTTACATATTTATGGATAAAACTTAAAATCAAGTAAATTTAAATTTGTTTAAAAAAACCGGGTAAAATTTGGACAATGCCGGGAAGTTTTTTAAACAAACATAGAGACCTTGCTTAACTTTTGTCTTTACATTGCTCAAAACATCTTTTGAAGTTCAATCTAAAAGTAAAATAACGTAATTTTTTACCACCCAAGCTTTTACCCATTAGCATAATGATAGTATCGTATCACAGGTGACTAACAATTCTTGACATCCTGTGATATAATTTGTTTTCATAAAATATTGATCATAAAACATCTTCATTTTTAAAGTTTCTGAAGTTCTTTCAAATAATGAATATTGAATGAATTGGATAAATAATTATGAATTGCATTATTTTGACGTTAAATTCTTAATCAGAGACCCCAAAAATACGACTGAATTATAATTTTTTCGAGTTTTTGATATCGAAAATATTTTTATACTTACATCATAGTCATATGATTTTTTGTGCAAAATTATGCTAAAATGTGACTAAATAACATGTCATACTCAATTATATAGTGTTTAAAAGCAATTCATTAAAAATGTATAAACTTTGTAAATTTGCGATTTTTTAATCTTTGAAAACATTTTTATACTTAAATCTTAGTTATAGAACACTATTTTTTGCAAAATTATGCTAAAATATGACTAAATAACATGTAATACTTAATTATAGATAGTTTAAAAGCAGTCCATTAAAAAATATAAAATTTGGAAATTTGCGATTTTTTGAATTTTTCGAAATCATTTTTATACTTACGTCTTAGCTATAGGACATTAATTTTTTAAAAATTATGCTAAAATTTGACTAAATAACATGTAATACTCAATTATAGAGAGTTTAAAAGCAATTTATTAAAAAATATAAAATTTGAAAAATTTCGATTTTTTAAATTTTTTTAAAAAAATTTTATACTTACATCTTAGTTATAGGACATTATTTTTGGCAAAACTATTCTAAAATGTGACTAAATAACATGTTATACTCAATTATAGAAAGTTTGAAAGCATTTTTAAAAAAATGTAAAATTTGAAAATTTTTAATTTTTAATTTTTCGAAAAAATTGAATATCTCCCGTTCTAATTAATATTTTTCAAATCTGTAAATTTATAAACCTTCCTAGGCCCAAGATCGAACATTCTGCCAAATTTGGTTTCAAATGGTTCAGCCGTTTTTAAGTGATTCGCGAACAAAGATTCTGTGACATACCGACACACATACATACATACATACATACATACATACATACATACATACACGAAATTTTTTATTGGTATATTTGGAATCCTTGATGCCTAAAACGAATAATTATGTGCGAAATTTAAAGTTCCGAGCAATGTACAGACAAAAGTCTGATTTTATATATATAGATTAATAATATTGAAAAATAGTAATTAGTTATTAACTATAAACTAATAATAATATTAATTAAAAATAATATTAATAGTAATAATAATAATAATATTAATTAAAAATAATAATAATAATAATAGTAATTAAAAATAATAATTCTAATAATAATTTTACTAATAATATATATGTATATAAAATTTCGTTGCATACAAAAGTATACATTTTCACGTAACAAGCTTTTTCCTAAGAATTAAAATCTATCCGAATAAGCGAAAGGCGAATATGATAATAATTATAAGAATAAGAATAAAATTTTAAATATTGTAGTAATACTTGTTAAAAAAAGAAACTATACAACATTAGAGAATTTTAGAATAGAAATTATTTGAATCTCATTGATTCAAAAATTGGAAGACCAATGGACAATTGTCAATATTTTTTTCTTTTTCATTTACTTTTTCTTTTCCTTTTTCTTATTTCCTTTTTCATTTTTACTTGTCATTTTACTTTTATTTTTATTTTTCCTTTTTCTTTTCTTTTTTCATTTACTTTTCCTTTTACTTTTATTTTTCCTTTTCTTTTCCTTTTTCTTTCCTTTTTCATTCACTTTTCCTTTTTTTTCTTCTTCTTTTCCTGTTTCTTTTATTCATAAACGATAAAGGAAATAAAAAAGGAAAAAATTTGTTTCTTCTTTACTTTACGCCCCTAAAATTCTATACCTATATACGAAAATTTAACATACTTTCCTCTCCAACTCTTATTATTATTATTATTAGTAATAAAAATAATACTAGTTAACAAATTACAAGTACATATTTTTTGAGTCGTCTTTCGAAAAATTAAAAAGCGGAGCCAGTCTTTATTAAATCTAAATTCTATCATCGTATATAATTCGCAGTCTTGATCGATTAACAACTAGAATTCGTTATTTTTTTTTCTCTATCAAAATTTTCCAAAAGTAAACACTAAAAACAAAACAAACAAAAAAAATGAATTATTTATACGAAACATTTATTTTCGAATTTGAGCACGGAATTCATTATATCACAATTTTTGTTATTATTTTCTTATTCGTTTCTTTTATTTATTTATTTTTTTTTTTGAGAATTCCGCTTTTTTTTATCTTAATTCCCAAGAATTCCCAAGGACTCGATCTGAAAGCTTTTTATTTCTACCCTGTAAATTGCTCCTAGTATTAATTAAAATTGTCGTTTTTGTTTTTTTACTTTCTTTATTCAAAAAGCACAATTTTCTCCACTCGTTGTATATTAATTACGTTAATTAGTATAATTTGTTGTTATTTTGTTTCCTTATTTTCTTTTGATAATTTTTCTATTTAATGTCTCGAATTTTAAAATTAGAGCAATTATAACTCAATTATTAATAATTAATTGTTTTTTTGTTTCTAAAATTTTTAACAATTTTTCTTTTCAATGTCTCGAATTTTAAAATTAAAAAAATTGTGACTCAATTATTAATAATTAATTGTATTTTCGTTTACAAATTTTTTGATAATTTTTCTTTTCAAAGTCTCAAAATTTAAAAATTCAAAAAATTGTAAATTTAATTTTTGAATAATTAATTAATAATTTAAGCTTTGAAGACCAAAAAAAAAACTTATTAAAACCAAATTGTTTTAAACTAAAAAAATTTCTTCTATATTTTTACTTTTTGAATTTCAAATCTGAAATAATTGAATTTTTATAAAGAAATTTATCCCATTTTTTGCAAAACAATTAAATTTCTTGAGTAAAATTTAATTAAAAACTTAAGTTAATTTTTACGAGAAATTTTATTAAAATAATATTTAAAGTAATTAAATTCTTATATAAAGAGTTAATTTATCGAAATTTTTGAAAATAATTGAATTTCTCCAAAGAATTTTAAAATTAATATTTTTTTTCTTTTTTGAATAATTCAATTCTTTCGAGAAATTCTATTATATATTTTTTTTTAAATTCAATTTTTTCGAGAAATTTTCTTACAATTTTTGAAAAAAAAATTCAATTTCTTTCGAAAAATATTATTAATTATGAAAATAATTGAAATCTTAATAAGAATTTGATTAAAACTCCATGAAAAATAATTTAATTCATAAAAAAAAAATTTTACCGAAATTATTCAAAATAATTCAATTTCTGAGAAGAATTTTATTATTTAGGAAAAGAATTAAATTTTTTTAAAAGTATTTAATTAAATTGTTTACTTATAAACAATTTCATTGAAATTTTTCAAAATAATTAGATTTTGAGAAGAATTTTTTCCAAATGATTTAAAATAATTGAATTTTTGCGCAGAATTTAATTGAAATTTTCGAAAATAATTAAATTTTTTCGAGGAATTCAACTAAAATTGTATTGAAAATATTTCAATTCTCATAAAGAATTTAGTCAAAAATTTTCACAAAAATAATTGAATTTGTGTGAAGAAATCTATTATTTTTTTTGAAAATAATTCAATTTTAACAAGGAATCAAATTCAGTTTTCAAAATAATTGAATTTCTGCGAAGAATTGAATTATCTTTCGAAAATAATTGAATTCCAGCGAAGAAAATAAATAATTGAAATTCTTGGAAGAATAAAATTTATTTTTGAATACAATAATTGAATTCCTACGAAGAATTTTTTAAAAATAATTGAATTTTTGTAAATGAAATTCTATTAATATTTGAAAATAGTATGAAAAATTAAATTCTTTTTTCTAAATAATTGAATTTCTGTGAAGAATTGACTTTTCTTTTGAAAATAATTAAATTTCTTCAAAGAATAAATTTTTTTTTTTGTTGAAAATAATTGAATTCCTATCAACAATTTTATTAATTTCTCAAAATAATTAAATTTCTTCCAAGATTTTTATTATTTAGAAAAAGAATTAAATTTTTTCAAAATATTTAATTAAATGTTATTTTATTGAAATTCTTCAAAATAATAAAATTTTCCCGAAGAATTTTATTGAAATTCTTCAAAATAATAAAATTTTCCCGAAGAATTTTATTGAAATTCTTCAAAATAATAAAATTTTCTCAAAGAATTTTATTTTGAAATTCTTGTTAAATGATTAAATTCCTGTGAAAATTTTTTTATAAATTATGAAAAGAATTGAATTCCTCGGCAAAATTTAATTGAAATTTTCGAAAATAATTGAATTTTTTCGAGGAATTTAATTAAAATTGTATTGAAAATATTTCAATTTTCATGAAGAATATAATCAAAAATTTGTTTTAAAAAATTATTTAATTGCAAAGGATTTTACCAATTTTTTAAAAATAATTGAATTCTTCAAAGAAGAAATTCTATTAATTTTTGAAAATAATTCGAAGAATTAAATTCATTTTCAAAATAATTGAATTTCTCCGAAGAATTTAATTGAAATTTTCGAAATAAAAATTGAATTTTTTCCTTAAATTTAACTAAAATTGTATTTAAAAAAAAATTGCAGTTCTCATGAAGAATTTAATCAAAATTTTTTCAAAAATAATTGAATTTTTAGGCGAAGAATTAATCGAATTTTTAAGAATAATTAAAATCTTTTGGTGAAATTTAATCGAAATTGTCCCGCGAAGAATTTTATTAAAGTTTTTGAAAATAATAAATAATTATTAATTAATTAGTAAATTAGTTAATTGAATTTTTTGAAAATTTTTTTGAAAATTTTTTCTAAAATTATTTCAAAAAATCTGTATCATTATCAATGAATTTCCCTATAAAAATTTTAACGTTTTGAATAATTTAGAAATTAAGAAAAAATTTCATTTTTTTGGGGAAAATTAAAAAATTATAAAGTAAAACGTAAAAATTAAAATTGATTATAATTGCTTTTTAGTTAAAAGAAAGATAATTGAATTCCCGAGAATAATTTTTAAAAACTTGAAAGATAAAATAAAATTTGAATTTTACTGGAATTTTTCGCGAATATAAAAAATTATACTAATTAATATAAATAATATAATATTATATTAATACTAACGGTGTTTAGTAAAATTCAAAACTGGCCTAAGGGGTAAAAATTAAGTTAAAGTTTAAAAGAAAAATTGTGCTTTAGAGAATTGTGATTGTACATTGCCTACAAATAGGAATAAATATTTTTCTTTTCCCTAACAAATATACGATTTCTCGAAAAAAGAAAACGCAGTGTATTCCTTTTTTTCTTTCTTTTTTTTTGTACAGGCACAGATTGGACGGTTACTGTGATGTTTTTTTTTTAATTCTCCCTTTTTTTCCCCAAATGGCAAAAATTGTCAATTTCTTTTTGTTCTGCCATTTGGCAAGAATTTCGAGAGAGATTCATTTTTAATTATTTTAATTTTGTTAACTATTAATTGTATTTTAATTTCGAGTGTTTTTTTTATGCTTCTTAAATTTGTTTTTTAAAAAATTGCTTTATGTAAAACTTACATAAATTTTGCTTCTTTATCTACCTTTACTTCTCCTTCTTATTATTTCTTACTTCTTCTTCTTCTTCTTATCTTTATACTTCTGCTTTTTATTTTCCTCCTTTTTTTCTTCTCCTTATTTTTCTACTTCTGCTTTTTATTTTCCTCCTTTTTTTCTTCTCCTTATTTTTCTACTTCTACTTTTTATTCTCCTTCTTTTTTTCTACTTCTTCTTTTCCCTCTTTTTCCACTTTTTATTTTTTTGTTCTTTCTTTCCTCTTCCTCTTCTTCTTTTTTTTCTTAACTATTTTTATTATTACGACTGCGTAAAATGGAAGAAGCGTCCGATAGTGAATACGTTCCGGGCTCGAAAACTGGTGGATATTCAAGGCCAGGATAATCAGGCGGCGGTGAAGTTGGAGGCGGAATATAAGGCAGTGTCGGTGGCGATGTGAAATTCCTCGAATTCGTCGAACGTTTTTGACATCCAGGATGACCCGTTGGACACTAAAAGGATTAACACATTTTTTTTCATTACTCATTTTATTATAAACGAAAAATTTTTTATAAACGAAAATTCTAATTTCCTAACTTTTTAAATCTTAAGGTGAAAGAAGTTAATTTTCTTTTTAAATGTTTTCCATTTGAAAATTAATAAACTGAAAATCCTTGAATTCTTGTTAAGTATTTAAATCAAAGAATTTGAAAATAATTAAATTTTTAATGAAGAATTCAATTTGTTTTCAATAAAATTGTAATAAAATTCTTTAGTCAATTTATTAAAAATAAAAATCTTCGTAAAAAAAATTCAATTATTTTTATATAAATAATAAAATTCTTTTCAGAATTCCACTTATTTTCAATTTTCCCTTTTAATTGATTTCTTCGAAAATTTCAATTATTTTTCAAAATGATAATTGAATTTTTCACAGGAGTTCAATTATTCAAAAAAACCTTTTAATAAAATTCAATTCAAGAATTCAATTATTTTTAAAAATAGATTAAATTTTCGCTGAAATTGAATTATTTAAAAACTTTAAATACAATTTTAATTGAATTCCAGGGAAAATTAAATTTTTCTTTTAACTTTTTTTTTAAATTCATCGAAAGAATTCAATGATCCTATCAATAAATAGAATTTTTTTCGCAAAAATTCAATTACTTGTAGAAATAATATATTTTTTCACATGGATTCAATTATTTAAAAAAGTTTTAATAAAATTCTATTCAAGAATTCAATTATTTTCGCAGAAATAATTAAATTGTCAATTTACTGAAAATAATTGAATTCTTATAAAGTATTTATAAAAAAAATTTGAAAATAATTGAATTAATTTCAAGAATTATATAAATATTTTTTTCAATAATTGAAATCTTTTGAGAAAATTTATGTAAATTGTATTGAAAAAAATTTATTTCTTGGCAAGATTTTTATTAAAATTTTTTACAATAATTAAATTCTTTTGAAGAATTTATTTCAATTTTCTTGAAAATAATGGATTTTTTAAAAGTAATTTTTACTAAAAATTTTGAAAGTATAATTGAATTTTATCAAGAATTTAATTATTTTTAATAATTGTAATACATTTTTATTTTTAAAAAGTCAATTTATTAAAAATAAAAATCTTCGTAAAAAATTCAATTATTTTTATATAAATAATAAAATTCTTATCAGGATTTCACTTATTTTCAATTCCATTTCTTATTGATTTCTTCGAAAATTCCAATTATTTTTAAAAATATCTTTTAAAAATTCTCCGAGAAAATTCAATAGAGGGCTCAGATCGAAGAACCGACGCTTCGCAATGTTCTGTGCGTTTACAAGCGTCGGTTCTTCGATCCGAGCCCTCAATTATTTTAAAGAAATAATTGAATTTTTCACAGGAATTCAATTATTTAAATAACTTTTACTAAAATTCAATTCAAGAATTCAATTATTTTTAAAAATAACGAAATTTTCGTTGGAATTCAATTATTTTTAATACAATTTTAATAAAATTCTTCTCAAAAATTCACTTATTTTTAAAAATTTTGCAAAAATTCAATTATTTGTAGAAATAATAAATTTTTTAGCAGGGATTCAATTATTTAAAAAAGTTTTAATAAAATTCTATTCAAGAATTCAATTATTTTCATAAATATGTAATTAAATTGTCGATTTACTGAAAATCATTTAATTCTTGTAAAGTATTTGTAAAAAAAAATTTGAAAATAATTGAATTCATTTCAAAAATTTTATCAACATTTTTTTTGAAGAATATTGAATTCTTTCGAGAAAATGTAATTAAAAACTTATTAAAAATAATTTAATTCTTGGCATGATTTTAATTAGAATTCTTTAAAATAATTGAATTGTTTTGAAGAATTTATTTCAATTTTCTTGAAAATAATAAAGTTTTCTTTAGTAATTTTTAATGAAAATTTTGAAAGTATAATTGAATTTTATCAAGAATTCCATTATTTTTAATAATTGTAATAAAATTCTTTTCTAAAAGTAAATTTATAAATAATAAAAATCTTCGTAAAAATTAAATTCTTTTTTTTATAAACAATAAAATTCTTATCAGGATTTCACTTATTTTCAATTCCATTTTTAATTGATTTATTCGAAAATTTCAATTAATTTAAAAAATCTTTTAAAAATTCTCCGAGAAAATTCAATTATTTTAAAGAAATAATTAAATTTTTCACAGGAGTTCAATTGAGGGGCTGGATGCTATAATGTGTTACGCGCCATTCACTTAACATGGCGCGTAACACATTATAGCATCCAGCCCCTCAATTATTAAAAAAACTTTTACTAAAATCCAATTCAAGAATTCAATTATTTTTAAAAATAATGAAATTTTCGCTCTAATTCAATTACTTTTAATACAATTTTTATTGAATTCCAGGAAAAATTTCTGTATTTTTAAACACTTTTTTTCAATTCTTCGTATGAATTTAATAATATCAATAAATATTAAATTTTTCACAGGAATTCAAATCTTTTAAATACAATTTTAATAAAATTCTTCTCAAAAATTCACTTATGTATTTTTAAAAATTTTGCAAAAATTCAATTATTTGTAGAAATAATAAATTTTTTCGCAGGAATTCAATTATTTAAAAAAATTTAATAAAATTCTATTCAAGAATTCAATTATTTTCAGAAATAATTAAATTGTCGATATACTGAAAATAATTGAATTCTTGTAAAGTATTTATAAAAAAAATTTGAAGATAATTGAATTCATTTCAAGAATGTTATCAACAATTTTTTTAATAATTGAATTCTTTCGAGAAAATGTAATTAAAATTTTATTGTAAATAATTGAATGGTAAATTTTTAGCAAATTTTTTTTTAAATTCTTTAAAATAAATGAATTGTTTTAAAGAATTTATTTCAATTTTTTTTGAAAATAATAAAGTTTTTTTTCAATAATTCGACGCCTCCCGTTCATATAATGCTTATTGAAAAACAAATGCAAGATCATTCTTATTCAGTTTTTAGTGCAAGACAATTCTTATTCGATTTTCCGTGCAATAAAATGCTTATTCAAAATTCTATGCTAAAAAGTACAATCTGAAATTAGCTTTCACTATGAGTTTTATAAAATTTTCAATTGAATATAATTTTTAATTACAATTGCTTAAACAATATTTCTTAATACGTAAGAGATAATCAAGTATTAAATTTTCTAATAACAATAGAAACGCACTGAAATTCTCAGATATTTAATTGCAATTTAATATTAAAAAGATGATTTAGGGTTACATTTATTGTTCTGTCAGTGGCAATAATTTTGAATAAGCATTTTATTGCACGGAAAATCGAATAAGAATTGTCTTGCACTAAAAACTGAATAAGAATGATCTTGCATTTGTTTTTCAATAAGCATTATATGAACGGGAGGCGTCGAATTATTAATGGAAATTTTGAAAATAATTAAATTTTAAGAAGAATTTATTTTAAATTTTTTAAATAACCGTGTTTTTTCTTTTTTGCGATTAACGATTTTCCTATGAAATTATATTAAAATTATTCATAGAAAATTAAATTCTTTTAAACAATTTTATTAGAGTTTTTGTAAATATTTACATTTTTTTTTTTTTTTGAAAAATTTCATTAAATTTCATAAAAATAATGTATAATTTTTGAAAATAATTTCAATTAAAAATTTCGAAAATAATTAAAATTTACAAAGAATTTTATTAAACAATAAGAATTTATTATTTTGAGAACAATTGAATTGTTTAGAAAAATTTTATTACAATTTTTGAAAATATTCGAATCTTTTAGAGAAATTTTATTAAAATTATCTTGAATATGAATTTTTTTCTAGAAATTCTATTAAAATTGTATCTGAAAATAAGTGAATTTCGCAGAAGAATTTTATTTGTATTTACAAAAAAAAAATTGAATTCTTGCCAAGAATTTTACAAAATTTATAAAAATAATTAAATTGTTTCCAAGAATTTTACAATCAATTTTGTTGCAAAAAATAATTGAATTTTTTATTCAAAATCTTAAAAATAATTAAATTTAAATAATATTTTTAAAAATAATTGTATTCTTTAGAGAGGTTTTATTAAAATTGTATTGAAAATAATTGAATTTCTCCGAAACATTTTATTATTTATGCAAAAATAATTGAATTTCTTTTGTAGAATTTTATTATTTATGAAAATATTTTAATTTTTGTGAAGAATTTTCTTATTTATGCGAAAATAATTGAATTATTTCTGAGTTTTTTGCAATTCATAAAAATAATTGAATTCTTTCGGAGTATTTTACAGTTCATAAAAATAATTGAATTGTTTCGAAGAACTTTATCTGAATTTTTGAAAATAATTGAATTTTTTGGAAGAATTTTATTAAAAATCTTTGAAAATAATGATTTTTTTTAAAAAGAATTTCATCTAAATTGTTGAAAATAATTGAAGTTATATTAAAATTCTTGAAAATAATCGAATTTAATTAATAGTTTTAAAAAATAATTCTATTCTTTCGAGAAATTTTATTCAAATTGTAGCGAAAATAATTGAATTGCTCTAAAGAAAAATTCGAATAAAATTCTAAATAAATTACGAGATTTAAAAAGAATAAGAACTGAATAATTTTCTCCTACCTTTGGTCCATGGGAAGCTGGAGTGTCGGGACTCCAATCGCTAACTGAACTTACGGAACTGTAACTCTGACTTAGAGTTTGTGACTGACTTGCACTTCCGGAACTCAAAGACTGACTTATTCCTGAATCGCCGGGACTTTGACTTCCCGATCGCTTTGTCTTCGGTTGCGTTGATGATTTATCGCGAAACAATGCCCGATGAAGTCGAGGAGATCCTACAGAAAAAAATGAATTTTATTAAATTTTTTTTATGAAAATAATAATTGAGTTCTTTCGGAGGAATTATAAAATTATTTCAAAAATAATTAATTGAATTCTTCCGAAGAATTTTAATAAAATTATTCTGAAAATAATTGAATTCGTGTCAAGAAAATTCTATTTATTTTATTTTATATGCAGAAATAATTGAATTTGGTTGAGAAATCTTTTTTTTTTAAAGTAATTAAAATAATTTAATTTCTACAAACAATTTAATTATTTTTTTATGAAAATTATTGAATTCTTGCGAAGAATTTTAGTGAAATTAATAAATTATCGAAAATAATTGAATTCTTGCGAAGAATTTTAGTGAAATTAATAAATTATCGAAAATAATTGAATTCTTGCGAAGAATTTTAGTAAAATTAATAAATTATCGCAAATAATTGAATTCTTGCGAAGAATTTTAGTAAAATTAATAAATTATCGAAAATAATTGAATTCTTGCGAAGAATTTTAGTAAAATTAATAAATTATCGAAAATAATTGATTTCTTTCGTAGAATACAATAAATATTTTTTTTTACGAATTAAATTATTTTTAAATGAAATATATAAATAAATTTATGAGTTAAATTCGTAAAAGGGAAAAAATAGAATTTAGTTTTAAAAAAACAACGAACCAAGAAGTGTTTTCTGCGTCTCCTTTGGAATTTCCAAGGCACTTGGCTTCTGGGGACTCTTATTACTGAAGAAATTCTTCAATTTATTTTTCTTCTGCACATCCTCGGATTTATCGAGATGCATCTCAAAGGCCGCCCTCATTCCCTCCTGCTCGAAGGGCGTATTAAGAATCGGTGGCGGTTGATATTGACCGACGTGTTTCAATTTATTTTTCTCAAATTTATTCATTTTCTTCTCCTGATGATGATGATGATTCTTGTCGCGTCGACAGTCCGCCAAATTGAAACTTCCATTTCGACTCACAGTTGGTTTTTGCACTTTGAACGTGTCCGTCGAATGTGACGCTAAATCGCCACTCGATCCAGAGTAAACTGTCAAAAACGGAAAAGAAATAGAAAAATTTAGAAGAAAAGAAGAAAAATTGAGAAAATGAAAATTATGCTTCAGCCCTTAGAGGGTTGCCACAAAAATTTAATTTTGTTTTTCCATGACTTTTCCCTGATTTCCTAATAAAGTTTTTCCTTCGAAAACGAATTTTTTCAAAGGAATTCAACTAAAATTTTGTATTGGAAATATTTCAATTCTCATAAAGAATTTAGTCAAAAATTTTCCCCAAAAATAATTTAATTTTAGTGGAAAATTTTATCGAATTTTTATGAAGAATTGAATTTAGTTTTTAAAATAAATGAATTTCTGCGAAGAATTTAATCAAAAATTTTCCCCAAAATAATTGAATTGAAAAATTTTATCGAATCTAAAGAATATTCTGCGATTCACTATAAAAATTAATTAATTAAAAAAAATTATTAAACATTAATTAATACTCAAAAAAAATGTTCTATTACATTTATTTACGAATTTCCTTAATTGAAAACTTATTTAAAAACGCCAAATTCTTCCTAAAATTAATTTTTTTTAATAATTTTTGCAAAAGTTCTTCTTTAAGAATTTTTAAATCTATTTGTGTAAAATTCAATTTTACGTAAAATTTCAATTATTCGGAAATTCTTCAATTAAATATAAATTAGAAAATAAAAACTTGAAATAATTTTTAAAAATTTCGATTAAGCTTTTTGAGAAAAAATTATTTACACAGAATTTTTAATTAAAGGGAGAAAAATTCAGATTTTCAAAGATTTTAATTTGAAACGTTTTACAAAATTCAATTATTTCTAAAAATTGCAATTATTAATAACTTCTACAAAATTCAATTATTATCTGAAACTTTGACTTCAATTTTAAATTTAAATTTAATTCAATTTTAAATCAATTTTTATTAGAAAAACCTACAAGAATTCAATTATTTAAATAGAAATAAAATGCAAATAAATAATTTATTAAATAATTGAATGTTTCTTGAAATTTAATTCTTATACATAATTTTATCAACAAAAATTTTCAAGTAAATTGAATTCTTTCGACGAATTTTAATAAAATTTTGAAAAATATTTACAATTTTTCGAGAAATTCGATTAAAATTGTATTAAAAATAAATAAAATAATTGAAATTCTGCAATGAGTTTTATTATTTATGAAAATAATTGAATTTATTTCGAAGAATTTTATGCAAGAATTTATTTGTTGAAAATAATTTAATTTCAGTAAAGAATTCAAATACTTTTCATAAACAATTGAATTCCTGCGAAGAATTTTATTAATTTTTAAAAATAATTGAATTTCTATGAAGAATTAAATTCAGTTTTCAAAATAAATGAATTTCTGCAAAAAATTGAATTATCTTTTGAAAATAATTGAATTCCACCGAAGAAAATAAATAATTGAAATTTTTCGAAGAATAAAATTTATTTTTGAAAATAATTCAAATTCTCAGCAAAATTTAATTGAAATTTTCGAAAATAATTGAATTTTTTCGAAGAATTCAATTAAAATTGTATTGAAAATATTTCAATTTTCATAAAGAATTTAATCAACAATTTTTCCCAAAAATAATTGAATTTTAGTGGAAAATTTTATCGAATTTTTAAAAATAATTGAATTTCTATGAAGAATTAAATTCAGTTTTTAAAATAAATGAATTTCTGCAAATAATTGAATTATCTTTTGAAAATAATTGAATTCCAGCGAAGAAAATAAATAATTGAAATTTGTCGAAGAATAAAATTTATTTTTAAAAATAATTGAAATTCTCAGCAAAATTTAATTGAAATTTTCGAAAATAATTGAATTTTTTCGAAGAATTCAATTAAAATTGTATTGAAAATATTTCAATTTTCATAAAGAATTTAATCAACAATTTTTCCCAAAAATAATTGAATTTCTATGAAGAATTGAATTCAGTTTTCAAAATAAATGAATTTCTGCGAAGAATTGAATTATCTTTTGAAAATAATTGAATTCCAGCGAAAAAAATAAATAATTAAAATTCTTAGAAGAATAAAATAAATGTTTGAAAATAATTGAATTCCTCATCAAAATTTAATTGAAATTTTCGAAAATAATTGAATTTTTTCGAGGAATTCAACTAAAATTTTACTGAAAATATTTTTATTCTCATAAAGAATTTAGTCAAAAGTTTCCCCAAAATAATTGAATTTTAGTGTAAAATTTTATCGAATTTTAAAAAATAATTGAATTCGTGTGAAGAAATCTATTTTCTTTAGAAAATAATTCAATTCCAACGAGGAATTCAATTTAGTTTTGAAAATAATTGGATTTTTTCGAGAAATTTAATGAGAATTATATTAAAAATATTACAATTTTAAAAAAAAATTCAATTATATTCTAAAGTAATAAAATTCTTCGCAAAAACTCAATTATATTCAAAATTTGTGTAAATTGCAGAAATTCAGTTATTTTCAAAAAATCATTAAAATCCTTAAACAGAATTTCAATTATTTTTAAAATTAGTAAAATTCAATTATTTTTAAAAAAAATTAATAAAATCCTTAAACAGAATTTCAATTATTTTTAAAATTTAGTAAAATTCAATTATTTTCAAATATTACTAAATCCTTAACAGAAATTCAATTATTCTCAAAAGTAATAAAATTTTTCGCAGGTATTCAATTATTTTCAAAAATTAGTAAAATTCTTAACAGAATTCAATTATTTTTAAAAATTAATAGATTTCTTCACAAGAACTCAATTATTTTCACAAATTTTAAATAAAATTCTAATCAAGAATTTAATTACTTTTCAAAATTAGTAAAAATTTTCACAAAAATTCAATTATTTTCAAAAATTTTTTTAAATTATTAGCAGAAATTCAATTATTTTTAAAATAAGTAAAATTCAATTATTTTCAAATATTAATAAAATTCTTCACAGAAATTCAATTATTTTTTAAAATTAATAGATTTCTTCACAGGAATTCAATTATTTTCAAAAATTTTTAATAAAATTCTACTCAAGAATTTAATTACTTTTGAAAATTAGTAAAAATTTATACAGAAATTCAATTATTTTCAAAAATTATTAAAAATCATTAGCAGAAATTCAATTATTTTCGCAAAATTAATAAAATCCTTAACAGAATTTCAATTATTTTTAATGTTAGTAAAATTCAATTATTTTCAAAAACATTAATAAAATCCTTAATAGAAATTTAATTTTACAAAATTATTAAAATTATTAGCAGGAATTCAATTATTTTTAAAAATTAGTAAAATTTTTAATAGAAATTCAATTATTTTTAAAATTAGTAAAATTCAATTATTTTCAAAAATTAATAAAATCCTTAACAGAAATTCAATTATTTTCAAAAGTAATAAAATTCTTGGCAGAAATTCAATTATATTCAAAATTTATTTTTAATATCTCCTCAAAATTTCAATTATGTTTAAAAATATCAAAATTCTTCTGCAAAATTCAATTACTTTTAAACATTTTTAGAAAATATCTGTTCAAAATTTTCAAAATCTTTGTGAATAATAAAATTCTTTTCTAAAATTCAATTATTTGCAAAGAATTTTAATAAAATTCTTGTCAAAATTTCAATTATCTTTAGAAATAATAAAATTCATCCTAGGAATTCAACTATTTTCAAAAGTAATAAAATACTTCTCAGAAATTCAATTGTTTTCAAATTTTTTTTTAAATTTCTCGTCAAAATTTTATTTATCTTGATAAATAATAAAATTCATCCTGGAAATTTAATTATTTTCAAAAGTTCTGATAAAATTCTTTACAAAATTCAATTATCTTCAAAAGTAAGAAAATTCTTCACAGAAATTCAATTATTTTCAAAATTTTTTTTCCAATTCTCCTAAAAATTTCAATTATCTTTGTAAATATCAACATTCTTCTGCAAAATTCAATTACTAATGTTTTATAACAATTTTTGATAAATTGTTTAATTTCAAAATGGTTTGAATTTGAATCTTTTGAAGAATTTTAATTCCTATGAAAAAATAATAATTAAATATTTATTTAAAAAACAAGTTTTTGATGTTTTCGAAAAATTTGAAAGAAATTTGTAAATAAATGCAACAGAATATTTTTTTCACTCAAACTTTTTCCTTTAAATTAAAAAAAAAATTTTAATATTTCATTCGCATTTTACTAAAAAAAATCTTGAAAAAGTCGATTAAAGGCATTTTTTCACAAAAAAATTCGAAAAAAGTCACGTTTCCTTAGAAAAGTCGAAAAAAAGTCGAAAAAGTCGCACAATTCGAGCCCTGAATTTTTTTGATTTTAGAAAGGAAAAATTCATTTTTTGATTTTGATTTGAATTTCTCTTAATTTTGGGCGAAAATTATTTTCTATTTTTGGCAAAAATGCATTTTTCTATTAGAAAAGAAAAAAAATAAGTTTCTATTTTCAATTAATTTAATTTCTCTTCAGGCGATAATTAATTTTTCTTTTTAGAAAAGAAAATAAACTCACCATCATTTTTGGCGATTCTTCGCGAACAAAAATCCATGGAATTATTTCTCTCGACGCGAAATTCATTGCCAATAAATTCGCAACCATAATTTGCGGGATTAATTTGTCCGTGTGCGCCGGTTCTATTTTGCTGTTGCAGTTGCAGTTGTTGTTGTTGTTGTTGTTGCTCCAGTCTACTGTCATAATACGGATCCTCCGGCGATTTTTTCTTCCGCATACAATTTAGTGTTCTTGGCGTTGAATTTTTACTCTCTGAATCGCGCGTCTTTTCACTCGCTCGACGTTCGAATGTGTGACTCGGCGTTTGCATTCCGTACGAACTGCCGCCACTTGTCGACGATGTTTCGTCGTAATTTTTCGGAAAGCCATAGATAACGCCATTGTTATTTGGAATATCGCGAGCGAAGCGCATTCGCGCGCTCTCTAAATTGTCAAATGTTCGATGTTGAACGTGAACGTGATCGCTGGTTAGTGGCGTAAAACGTGGCGATGGTGTGCCACGATTTTGTTGTTGTTGTTGTTGTTGCTGTTGCTGTTGATGATGATGAAGCTGCTGCTGCTGCTGCTGCTGATGATGATGGTGATCGTCATCCTGACGCGAGAGCATAAATTCCTCGAGAGTTATGAAACCCTGAAGTTCATCGTTTCTTCTCGTTCTTGGAAATCTGATAAAAAAAATTTTTATTTTAATTATTTATAATTACTGGCAATAAAATTCTTCAAAGGAATTCAATTATTTTCAATACAATTATTCACAAATTCGATTGTATTCAATAAATTAAAGAAATTTTTCGAATGAATTCAATTATTTTTTAAAATATTATTTAAATTCAATTCATTCAATTCAAGAGTTTTAATAAGAATTCAATTATTTTCAACAATTGAGAAATGTAATTAAATTTTTATAAACAATTCAATTGTTCTCAAAAGTTTTCAATAGAATTTTTTTGAAAATTTCAATTATTTTCAAAATTTTCAATTAAAAATACTTTAAAAATTACATTTTTTACGACATTTAATAAAATTTGAAAAAAAATCCTTCATTTCCAAGAAAATTGAAATAAATTCTTCAAAAGAATTAAATTATTTATAAGAATTGTAATAAATCTAAAATTAAATAATTTTATAAATATGTTTCAAAAATAATCTAATTTTCTCTGGAATTCCATTAAAATTGTATTTAATATAATTGAATTCCAGGGAAAATTTCATTATTTTTATGAAAATTCTTCGGAAGAATTCAATTATTTCAATAGAATTTTAATAAAATTCAATTAAATTATTTTCAAAATTTTTAAAAAAATTCTTTCAAAACATTCAATTATTTTCAAAAATTCCAATAAAATTCTTCGAAATATGTAATTCAATTATTGTCATAATAATATTTTTTGAATGAATTCATTATTTTTATAAATTTTAGTAAAATTTCTCGGAGGAATTTAATTATTTTCAACACTTAATAAAATTTCTAGAAAAAAATTAATACAATTATTTAAAAAAGAAATATTAATTGAATTCGATTCATTTTAACAATTTTGATAAAATTCTTTCAAAAAATTAATTATTTTTAAATGCCTTAACAAAATTATTCAATAAAATTGAATTATTTTTAAAATTTCCGATGAAAATTATTCAAAAAACTACGTTCTTTTCAAAAAAGACTTTATTTAGAAATTCTTCAAAAAAATTTAATTATTTATGAAAACTAATAAAATTGTTCAAAAGAATTTAATTTTATATCAATATGTAATTCAATTTTAATAAAATTTATATATTGCAAAATAAATACAAAAAATGTAAAAGAAATTCTTGATAAAATTGAATTATTTTCAAAATTTTCAATTAAAATTCTTCAAAATTTAATTTAAAAAAAATGTAATTTAAATACTAAAAAATTAAATTACTTTTAACTAAAATTTTATCAAAAATTTATTTTTAATTCAATTTTTTGAAGGTATATTTTTTAAAATAGTAAAAATAATTGAATTTTTAAATAATTTATTAAAAAATTATTATAATTATTTTTTAAAATAAATATTTTAATATTGTTTTAGCAAAAGGAATTTTCATTAATTTCTATTTTCGAATTTTTGATAATTGCATATTTTTCAATAAAATTTTTGAAAATTCAATTATTTTCCTAAATTTTCAATTAAAATTCTTTAAAATTTTAATTAAAAATATTAATAATTATTAATAATAGTAAAATAATGAAAATTTTTATCTGAAGATTTTTCATTAAATTTTTTGAAAATTCATTTATTTAAATTTTTTGAAATATTGATAAGTGAATCGTTAAAAATTATAATAAAAGAAATAATAATTATTTTTTAATAAGTGTTTAATTATAATTTAGTACAAAAAATTACCTGTCTGAAGTGCGTCGATAATCGCCCATATCTTGACTGCTACTTGGAACATCGTTTGCACTTCGAGAAGCGTTTAAACCATAAAAAGTACTTCCGGCAACAGTCACCGGCAATTCCGGCGAATTGGAAATAGAATCTTGTTTTCTAAAATGCAAAAAATGGGAATTATTTCTAAATTTATTACAATTTTTGAGCAATATAACATAAAATTATTATTTATAAAGATAATTGAAATATTGCCATGAATTTTATTAAAATTGCATTTCGGCGAAGAATTTTGCTATTTATAAAAATAATTGAAAAGTTGACGAGAATTTTTTTTAAATTGTTGAAAATAGTTGAATTACGGTAAGAATTTTAATAAATTTTTAAAAATATTTGAATTCCTGCGAAAAATTTTATTAATTTTTGTGAAATAATCTATTAAGATTTGAAAAAAAATGAATTTCACTAATTTTTGCAAATAATTGAATTTCTGTTAAGAATTTTACTAATTTTTGAAAATAATTGAATTTCTGTTAAGAATTGTACTAAATTTTCAAAATTATTGAATTCCTGCGAGAAATTTTATTAATTTTTGAAAATAATTGAATTTTTGTGAAATATTTGAATATAATTGAATTTTACCAAATTTTAAAAATAATTGAATTTCAATTAAGAATTTTACTGTAATTTTTGAAAATAATTGAATTTCTGCTAATAATTTTAATAATTTTTGAAAATAATTGAATTTTTATTAAGGATTTTATTAAAATTCTTTGCAAATAATTGAATTTCAAAGAATTTTAATATTCACAAAGATAAATTGAAATTTTAAACAGATTTTTCTTATAATGTTTAAAAGTAATTGAATTTTGCAGAAGAATTTTGATATTTATAAACATAATTAAAATTTTGAGGAGAATTGAAAAACAATTTTTTGAATATAATTGAATTCCTGCGAAGAATTTTATTACTTTTGAAAATAATTAAAATTTTGACAAGAATTTTATTAAAAATTTTTTTAAATAATTGAATTTCTGTTAAGAATTTTACTAATTTTTGAAAATAATTGAATTTCTGCTAATAATTTTAATAATTTTTGAAAATAATTTAATTTCTTTTAAGAATTTCATTAATTTTTGAAAATAATTGAATTTTACTAATTTTAAAAATAATTAAAATTCAGTTTAAGGATTTTATTAATGTTTTTGAAAATAATTGAATTTGACTAATTTTAAAAATAATTGAAATTCTGTTTAAGGATTTTAATAATTTTTTGAAAATAATTGAATTTCTGCTAATAATTTTTAATAATTTTTGAAAATAATTGAATTTCTGTTAAGAATTTTACTAATTTTTAAAAATAATTGTATTTTACTAAATTTAAAAAATAATTGAAATTCTGTTAAAGATTTTATTAATTTTTCAAAATAATTGAATTTCTGATAATAATTTTTAATAATTTTTGAAAATAATTGTATTCCTGTGAAAATTTTTACTAATTTTGAAAAGTAATTAAATTCTTGAGTAATATTATATTAATATTATTAATATTATTTCTTGAGAATATTATTAAAATTTTTGAAAATAATTGTATTCTGTTAAGAATTTTACTAATTTTTGAAAATATTTGAATTCCTGCGAGAAATTTTTATTAATTTTTGAAAGTAATTGAATGTTTGTCAAGTATTTGAATATAATTGAATTTTACTAATTTTAAAAATAACTGAATTTCTTTGAAGAATTTGACTAATTTTTGAAAATAATTGAATTTCTGTAAAAATTTTTACTAATTTTGAAAAGTAATTAAATTCTTGAGTAGAATTTTATTTAAAATTTTTGAAAATAATTGAATTCCTGTGAAGAAATCTATTAATTTTTGAAAATAATTGAATTCTTTTAAGAATTTTACAAATTTTTTGAAAATATTTGAATTCTTGCTATAAATTTTATTAATTTTTTGAAAGTAATTTGAATTTTTGTGATAAAATTTATTAATATTTAAAAATAATTGAATTTTACTAATTTTAAAAATAATTGAATTTCTGTTAAGAATTTTACTAATTTTTGAAAATAATTGAATTTTTGTGAAATATTTGAATATAATTGAATTTTACTAATTTTGAAAAGTAATTAAATTCTTGAGTAGAATTTTATTTAAAATTTTCCAAAATAATTGAATTCTGTTAAGAATTTTACTAATTTTTGAAAATAATTAAATTTCTGTGAAGAATTTTACAACTTTTGAAAATAATTAAATTTCTGCACATCAATTTCTGCTTCAAAGTTCAAATTTGTTTTAATGTTTTTAACTAAAATTCTTCTATACACCCATTATTTTTAATAAAACTAGTGTAATATATATTAAAATAAAAAATTTAACTAATTTTTGATAAATTTTAGCTTTTAAATTTTTTTTAAATCATTTTTTTAAAGTTCTTTTTATATTTCTAATAAAATTCATTTGAAATTGAAATTTTCCAAAATTTTAAATCAAAATCTTTTGAAGTTCATCTATTTATGAAAATTGTTTTATTTATGAATTTATTTATGAAAATTTTTTTAAAATTGAATTATATTTTGAAATATTTTTGTAAAATTAGATTTTAAGAATAAACTTTAGAAAAGAAAAATTTTCCAGGATTTCGATCAAAATTCCCTGACTTTTCCAGGTTTATAAAATTCCCTTTCAATTCCAGAGTTTTCAGGAATGCGTTGCAATCCAAATGGTAATGTCCCAAGATCTATTTTTACTGTAAAAAAAAGTAAAATCTATTTTAAACCTTTGCTTTTTCAGACAAAAAAAATCTCACCTAGGCGTCGAGCTCGGCAATACACGTCGATAACTCCTAAACTGCGCCGTCGGTACCGGAACATTTTGACTCTTCCCAAGAAATTTCAAATACTTTCTATCCAAACTCGCTCCAGTTGGTAAATTCTGCTCCTTTTTTCCACTCTTTTTCAACGAACCAAACACCTTTCCACTCTCGGAATTCGGTAATTTACTATTTCTGCTACAACTCTCGCCATCGCTCTCGTCAGTCTCACTGAACAAACCACTCGATCTATCGGCGACGTCGGCGCCCACTGTCGTCTTACTGACGGCGTCGAGCCAAGTGAGCAGCGAGTCGTCCGTGTCGGCAGCGAAATAGAACACAGTCCCCGTGTGATAGACCTTGAAGGCGTGCTTCCTCGACTTGACCTCCGACGCTTGCGACGCGGTGAAACCCGCCAGGGCAATGAGACAATCGGCCTTTGGACTTTCCTGGGTCTTGAAGCGGAACAGTGAGGAGCCTTTGAGGACGAACCAGGCTTTTGCCCAGGCGCCACCTGCGCCTCGCGATCTGTAGATTAACCAGCCTTCGAGGTCGTTGGGCGTGAGTTCCTTCGCGGAGATGTTCCTCCTCTTCGCCAGGGCCATGTTTCGCTTTCTTGAGGTTTTCGGTGACGTGAGGGTCTTTGAGGTGTTGAATCCGATGCTTCTTGCCACCATCATCGCTCGGTTCACTACTCCCCGATCTTTTTCGAGGGTTCGCGGTTTTTCCTGCTGACGCGAACATCCCGCACCGTCTGTTGAGTCTAGTAGTGCGTTTTCCATTCGGAGTTGACTCTCGATCGGGGTTCTTAGATTTTGGCTTCTTCCTTCGCTTCTTCCTTCGTTTCTGGAATCGTTTCTCGAATCGGTTCTTCCTTCGTTTCTGGATTCGGTTCTTCCTTCGTTTCTAGATTCGTTCCACGATTCATTCCTTGCTTCGTATCTCGATTCGTTTCTACCATCGAACCTCGATTCGCTTCTACCATCGAACCTCGATTCAGAGAACCTCGCGTCCAGTGTCCTCGAATCCCTCGGAAAATTCCTCGCCTCACCCGAAAATCTCGAATCATAAATCCTCGAGTCCAAAGTTCTCGAATCGAAACGAGAATCAGACAATCGCGATTCATTTGACATTCTCGAGTCCAAAGTTCGCGATTCGCCCAAAATTCTCGACTCCAATTGTCGCGATTCACCCAAAATTCTCAAATCCCTGGAATCCCTGGAATCGAAATTCCTCGATGACGATTCATTCGACAGTCTCGATGACGATTCATCGGACGTTCGCGAGTCCAAAGTCCTCGAAGCTGACTCATCGGATATTCGCGAATCAAAAATTCGCGAAGCCGAATCATTCGATGTTCTCGAGTCCAAAGTCGATATTCTTGAATCGTTAAAGCGCTCGGTGGTGCTCGTCATCTTCTCCTCTTGCGAATCGTAAATCTGCGAATAACCATAAGCGTCGAGGGTGGAATTTTTAAAATCGAAATTCACCGGCAATTCGTCGATGAATTCAAAGGATTTTTCGCCGAGATTTAACGCAGTCTGCTCGATGAATTCCGTCGAGTCTCCTGGCATTGAGTTGCAGATCGAGTTTGGATTTTTCAAACTTTTGTCACTTCTCGACGAGTTTTTCGAGTTGTCGATCGAAATTCTTGAGTTTTCGAATGAATTTGACGAATTTCCACTTGAATTCATCGAACCAGCGGTGGAATTTAACGATTTTAGGGATTTCTCCTCGAAATCGGTAGATTTATTGGGGAAATCGGTCGATTTATTGGAGAAATCGGTCAATTTATTGGAGAAATCGGTCGATTTATTGGAGAAATCGGTAAATGTTTCGGAAAACTTTGCGTCCTCTGTGTGTAGATCCTTTCGCGGTCTTTCGGGAACTTTCGGCTTTGAAAAATATTTTCTAGGCGGCGGTTCCGGTGGACAGAGTCTCGGCTTTACTTCCGGTCGTTTTCTGTCTCTCTCGACGTCTAGTTTCGTTTTTTCCCTTCTCTCCGTTTTCTCTTCGTTTTTCTCCATTTTCTCCCTTCTTTCTCTATTTTTCTCCAATTTTTCTTCATTTCTCTCCGAATTCGCTTCGTTTTTCGAGAATTTCTCTTCACTTTTCGCTCTTCTTTCTTCACTTCTCTCGAAATTTGGTTCGTTTCTGGGGAATTTTTCTTCCTTCGCTCTTCTTTCTTCAGTTCTCTCGAAATTTGCTTCGTTTCTAGGGAATTTTTCTTCCTTCGCTCTGTTTTCTTCGATTTTTTCGAAATTTGATTCGTTTCTGGGGAATTTTTCTTCCTTCGCTCTTTTTTCTTCGATTTTTTCGAAATTTGGTTCGTTTCTAGGGAATTTTTCTTCCTTCGCTCTTCTTTCTTCACTTCTCTCGAAATTTACTTCGTTTCTCAAGAATTTTTCTTCCTTCGCTCTTCTTTCTTCACTTCTCTCGAAATTTACTTCATTTCTAGGGAATTTTTCTTCCTTCGCTCTTCTTTCTTCACTTCTCTCGAAATTTGTTTCGTTTCTAGGGAATTTTTCTTCCTTCGCTCTTTTTTCTTCGATTTTTTCGAAACTTGGTTCGTTTCTCGAGAATTTTTCCTCTTTCGCTCTTCTTTCTTCATTTCTCTCAAAATTTAGTTCGTTTCTCAAGAATTTCTCTTCTTTCGCTCTTCTTTCTTCATTTTTCGAGAATTTCTCTTCTTTCGCACCGTTTTTCTCAGCGTTGGAGAATTTTCCCTCTTTCGCTCTTTTTTCTTCGATTTTTTCGAATTTTGGTTCGTTTCTGGGGAATTTTTCTTCCTTCGCTCTTCTTTCTTCACTTCTCTCGAAATTTGGTTCGTTTCTAGGGAATTTTTCTTCTTTCGCTCTTCTTTCTTCACTTCTCTCGAAATTTGCTTCATTTCTAGGGAATTTTTCTTCCTTCGCTCTTCTTTCTTCACTTTTTTCGAAATTTGATTCGTTTCTGGAGAATTTTTCTTCTTTCGTTCGTCTTTCTTCGTTTCTCTCAATTTTATCTTCTTTCACTCTTCTTTCTTCACTTTTAGCCACTTTTTCTTCTTTCACTCTTTTTTCCTCATTTTTAACCACTTTTCCTTCACTTTTCACCATTTTTTCTTCGTTCACTCGTTTTTCTTCGCTTTTAGCCACTTTTTCGTCAATTTTCATCACTTTTTCTTCACTTTTCACTCTTTTTTCTTCACTTTTCACCATTTTTTCTTCATTCACTCTTTCTTCTTCGTTGTTCGCCCATTTTTCTCTCCTTTTCTCTAGTTTCTCGTCTTTTTTCTCCATTTTTCCGATTCGTTTCTCTTGTTCGTAATTTCTGCTAATTCTTCCCCCTCTTTTCTCTTCTTCTTCACTTTTCTCCATTATTCCTCTTCTTTTCCTCCAATTTTCTTCATTTCTCTCTATTTCTTCGTCTTTCGCTCTTCTTTCTTCATTTCTCCCCCAATTTTCCTCTTCGTCTCTTCTTTCTTCGCTTTTTCCCAGTTTTTCTTCACTTATCCTTCTTTCTTCACTTATCTGTCTTTCTTCACCTTTCCTTCTTTCTTCACCTTTCTCCAGTTTTTCCTCATTTTGCTCCATTTTTCCCATTCTTTTCACTTGTTTTTCTTCAAAATTCTCAATTTTTCCTTCTTTTTCCTGTTTTTCTTCGCTTTTCCCCCATTTTTCTTCTTTTACTCTCTTTTCTTCATTCTTCCCCCTTTTTTCTTCGTTCTTCCCCCAGTTTTCTTCTTTTACTCTTTCTTCTTCGTTTTTCGCCCATTTTTCCTCGTTCCTCGCCCATTTTTCTTCTTTCGCTCTTTTTTCCTCGTTCCTCGACCATTTTTCTTCTGTCGCTCTTTTTTCCTCGTTCCTCGCCCATTTCTCCCCTTTTATTCTCTTTTCTTCGTTCGTTCCCCATTTTTCTTCGTTCCTCTCCCAATTTTCCTCGTATTTCTCGTATTTCTCCAATTTTTCCCCCTCCTTTCTCTTTCTTCGCTCCTTTCTCTCTCTATTCTCCTTCTCCTCGCTCTTCTCTCGTTTCTCCTCATTTTTCTCTCTTTTCTCCCTTTTTTCCCTCTCCTGCCTTCTTTCCCTCTCGTCGCCTTCGATTATTTTTCCCCCCTCGTCACAAAACACTCTCTCGCTCAATAAACCGCGAGGCGACTTTTTCGCCGGAACTTTAGGCGGTGAATATTTTTCCTCTATCGAAAGGATTTTTTCCCTTTTTTCGCTCCTCTCGCTCCTCTCGCTTTTTTCGCCTCTCTCGCAATAAATCTTCTCGTTCGATCGAATCAAATGCTTCTCGAAATTATTAATTTTCTGCACAACACTGCCAATGACAATTTTCACCTCCGACGAATCGGGAAATTGTAAATTCTTCTTGTTCTCAATTAAAAAATCATAAGCTGGCGTACTGTGACATTTTTCCAATTCGCCACGACTTGATTTCTTCTCTAAAGGCACTTTACTATCACAATCTGCAACAATTGTCGTCTCCCTGTCGTTGGGAATTTTTTCCTCGTCGTTCGAGAATACGGAAGAATTTCTACTTTTCAAAGTTCGCTGCTGTTCGATTCCGAGACAAGTTTGTGGTCTCGATTGTACTTGATTCAAACCGTGAGCGCAAGATGCGGCCTTGTCCCTAAGTTGAAAAGTCGAATTGTGCTCCTGCTTCAATTCTCGCCAGAAACGCTCGATGTCGATGCTGTGCTTTGTCGTTGGACTCGCGCCCGTTATTGTCGCGCGTCTCTGAACTGTGTTGCGAGGCTTGGCCAAATAGAGACGAACCGATGAGGGGGATTCGATTTCGGAATCGGAATCGTTGCTGCTGTCGGTTGTTATTGTGTCGAGCATCATGTCGACGGTGTCGATCATTGTGGGCACATCTTGATGATGATGAAGGGAATTTTCTTTGGGAGTGTGCTTTGGAAGGGGCATTTGAAAATCGGGGATTGTTAATAATTCGGGACGTGGCGATGGAAGATTGTGATGCCAACGTGATGCGTAGGGAGTTTTTTTATTGCTTGGTAGACGATATGGTTTTATGTAAATTTGACCGTAGACTTTTGTGTGACGAGGTCGACGTTTTAAGGTGAGGAGAACTTCCGCTGGACTCTCGCGAAATAATTCCAGTACGTTTTTACGCTCCCAACCTACGACCGTTTGATAATTGACCTGAAATAAAGAAATTTTTGATAATTTATTTTAAATTAATAAATTTTTTCTATTTTTGGCAGAAAATTAATTTTCTGACAAAAAATTAATTTTTAACAATCAATTAATTTTCTGACAAAATATTAATTTTCTGACAAAATATTAATTTTCTGACAAAAAATTAATTTTTAACAATCAATTAATTTTTGCCAAAAAATTAATTGTTGACAAAAAATTAATTTTTATCAGAAAATTAATTTTTTCTAGAAAATTAATTTTTGCCAAAAAAATTAATTTTTGAGAGAAAATTAATTTTTGGCAGAAAACTAATTTTTTTCAGAAAATTAAATTCCAGGGCTCGGATCGTCTTTAAGACTCAAAAAAAAGTCGCTTTAGTCGCATAAATTTACAATAAAAGTCACGAAAAGTCACAAAAAATTTCACGAAAAAGTCGGAAAAAAGTCGCATGAAATTTTAGAGAAAAAAACGACAAAAAGAAACACGAAATTGTCAAAATTGTAAAAAAATCACATTTCTCGACAACAGATACATTAATATCAAACAATCCGGAATAAAATTTTTAGAAATTTAATAAAATTCATAGCAAAATTTTAATTAGGTATTTTTAACATTTTTTTTTCTAAAATTCTCTATAAAATGTCAATTATTTTTATAAATAATAAAATTCTTCTTCGAAATTCAATTATTTAACAAAAATTTTAATAAAATTCTTGTCAAAATTTCAATTATCTTCATAAATAATAAAATTCATCCTGGAAATTTAATTATCTTCAAAAGTTCTAAGAAAATTCTTTGCAAAATTCAATTATCTTGAAAAGTAAGAAAATTCTTCACAAAAACTAAATTATTTTCAAAATTTTTTTTTAAAATTCTCCTCAAAATTTCAATTATCTTTGTAAATATCAACATTCTTCTGCAAAATTCAATTACTTACGAATGATTTATAAATTTCTTCCGAATAATTCAATTATTTGCATAAAAAATAATTGAAAGATTTTTTTTTCTAAAGTCTTATAATATAAAAAAATGATTTTATCACTCGGTCATCTTTAATAATTATAAAACATGAAGACATCGATTGCTCCGAGTCGAAGACTCGGAGTGATCGATTTCTTCATGTTTTATAACAATTTTTTATAAGTTGTTTAATTTCAAAAAGATTTGAATTTGAATCGTTTGAAGAATTTTAATTCCTATGGAAAAATAATAATTAAATATTTATTTAAAAAACAAGTTATTGATGTTTTCGAAAAATTTGAAAGAAATTTGTAAATAAATGTAACAGAACATTTTTTTGACTCAAACTTTTTCATTTAAATTTAAAAAAAGTTTTTCAATTTCATTCGCATTTTACTAAAACAAATCTTGAAAAGTCGATTAAAGGCATTTTTTCACAAAATAGTCTAAAAAAGTCACGTTTCCTTAGAAAAGTCGAAAAAATTCGAAAAAGTCGCACAATCCGAGCCCTGAATTTTTTGTTTTTAGAAAAGAAAAATTCATTTTTTATTTCAATTATTCATTTTATAATTTCTCTTAACTTTTGACGAAAATTATTTCCTATTTTCCCTATTATTTTCTATTTTTGGCAAAAATGAATTTTTTTATTAGAAAAGAAAAAAAAAGGTTTTATATTTCAATTAATTTAATTTCTCTTCAGGAGAAAATTAATTTTTCTTTTTAGAAAAGAAAAATGAATTTGTTTTTAGAAAAGAAATTATGAATTTTTTAGAAAAGAAAAATGAATTTTTGACGAAAATGAATTTGTTTTTAGAAAAGAAACAATGAATTTTTTGCAAAAATAAATTTTTGTTTTCTTGAAAAGAAAAACTTATTTTAGAAAAAAATTTATTTTTAATACTATTTTCGTTTATTAATTTAATTAATTTTTATTGGCAGGTTTAAGTAATTATTTTTAATTCACCTGAACAATTTCGTCGCCCTCTTCCATTTTTCCACATTGATGAGCAGCCGATCCGAATTTAATCTCGGCAATTTGATGAGCTCCATGAAATGACGGGAGAATACAAAAACCCTGTGAAGAGAAAGTTTAAATGTAACTGAACAAAGAAATAAAGCGCCGCGACTGAAGTTTCTTTCTTTTTTTTATCAAAAACGGAAATTGCAATCACGCGACGCAAACTTCCATATTGTCAGAGTTTTTCGAAAATAAAAGTTTTAAAATTATTAATCTCAAATTTTATTCATTAATCATTATTATTACTTATTTCTTAATTTTATTTATTATTACTCATTATTTAATTTTAATTATTATTATTAATTATTAATCAAGTTTTTTTGAAAATTTAAATAACAATTAAAATTTAAAAACATTTTAATATAAAACTTTTAAAAATTAAGATTATTTATAAATTTTAAAAAAATGTTCTTGGAAAGAATTCAATTATTTTTAATTCTTTTTTAAATTTAAATTAAATTCTTCAAACAATATCAGATATTTTAATTCAAATAATTTAAATTATTTTAAAAAAAAATACAATTTAAAAAAAATTTTAATATTTTCAAAAGTTGTAATAAAAATTTTCTCAAGAATTCAATTCTATTCGTAAATAAAAAAATTTTTCTAATCATTTAAATAAAATTCTTCAAAAGAATTCAATTCTTTTTTGAAATTCCAATGAAAAATCATTTAAAAAATTCAATTATTTTGAAATCAACTTCTTTTAAATTATTCAAAGAATTTAATTATATACGAAAATATTGAATATTGAAAAAATATTGAACTAATTTCAAAATTCAATTATATCCAAATTAATTGAAAAATTATTGAAATAATTTTTAAAATTTAATTAATTTCAAAAAATAATTAAAAATAATTGAATTCTTGCCAAGAATTTAAAAGAAATTTTTAAAAATAATTGAATTCCTTCGAATAATTTGATTATTTGTGAAAATAATTCAATTCTTTTTGCAGAATTTTATTATTTCATGTAAATAATTGAATTCCTGGCCAAGAACTTTAAATAAATTTTTAAAAATAATTGTATTCCTTCGAAAAATTTGATTATTTATAAAAATAATTAAATTCTTGACAAGAAATGAAAATAATTGAATTCTTGCCAAGAAATTTTTTAAAATAATTGAATTCTTTCAAAAAATTTGATAATTTATAAAAATAATTGAATTCCTTCGAAAAATTTGATTATTTTTAAAAAGAATTGAATTCTTGCCAAAAACTTTTAAAGATATTTTTAAAAATAATTGAATTCCTTCGAAAAATTTGGTTATTTATGAAAATAATTGAATTCTTGGCAACGATTTTGTAGAAATTTTTTTAAAAAATTGTATTTTTTCGAAAAATTCGATTATTTTTGAAAATAATTGAAATCCTTCGAAAAATTCGATTATTTATGGAAATAATTGAATTCCTTCGAATAATTTTATTATTTATGAAAATAATTGAATTCTTGCCAAGAACTTTGTAGAAATTTTTAAAAAATAATCAAATTTCTTCGACAAATTTGATTATTTTTTGAAAAGAATTGAATTCTTGACAAGAACTTTTTAGCATTTTTTTTAAAATAATAAAATTCCTTCGAAAAATTTGATTATTTTTTAAAATAATTCAATTCTTTTTGCAGAATTTTATTATTTCATGAAAATAATTCAATTCTTTTTGCAGAATTTTATTATTTCATGAAAATAATTCAATTCTTGTCAAGAACTTTAAAGAAAATAAAATAAAATAAAAAAAAAATATATAAAAAATAAAAAAATTTTATAAATATTAAATTTTTTAAAATAATTGAATTCCTTCGAAAAATTTGATTATTTATGAAAATAATTGATTTCTTGACAATAAATTAAAATAATTGAATTCTTGCCAAGAAATTTTTTAAAATAATTGAATTCCTTCGAAAAATTTGATAATTTATAAAAATAATTGAATTCCTTCGAAAAATTTGATTATTTTTAAAAAGAATTGAATTCCTGCCAAAAACATTTAAAGATATTTTCAAAAATAATTGAATTCCTTCGAAAAATTTGGTTATTTATGAAAATAATTTAATTCTTGGCAAGGATTTTATAGAAATTTTTTTAAATAATTGCATTTCTTCGAAAAATTCGATTATTTTTGAAAATAATTGAAATCCTTCGAAAAATTTGATTATTTATTAAAATAAATGAATTCCTTCGAATAATTTGATTATTTATGAAAATAATTGAATTCTTGCCAAGAACTTTGTAGAAATTTTTAAGAAATAATCCAATTCCTTCAACAAATTTGATTATTTTTTGAAAAGAATTGAATTCTTGACAAGAACTTTATAGCATTTTTTTTAAATAATTAAATTCCTTCGAAAAATTTGATTATTTTTCAAAATAATTGAATTGTTGACAAGAATTATATAGAAATTCTTAAAAATAATTGAATTTCTTCGAATAATTTTATTATTTATGAAAATAATTGAATTCTTGCCAAGAAATTTTTAAAAATAATTGAATTCCTTCGAATAATTTGATTATTTTATGAAAATCATCGAATTCTTGCCAAGAATTTTATATTAATTTATGAAAATAATTGAGTTCCTTCGAATAATTTGATTATTTGTGTAAATAATTGAATACTTGTCAATTTTATAGAAATTTTTTAAAATCATTGAATTCCTTCGAAAAATTTGAATATTTATGAAAATAATTGAATTTTTTCTACAAATTTTTTTAAAAAATTAAAAATATTTGAAAATAATTGATTTTCTGCAACGAATTAAAATTTTTTTTATGAAAATATTTGAATTTTTTCAACGGATTTTTTTTGTTTTATTGAATAATTGAATTTTTCTTAAAATTGAATTCTTTTGAATTGTATCAATAAAAAATTTTTTAATAATTTTTATGAAAATAGTAAATATTGAAAATTATTGAATTGCAAAAAACTATTGAAACTAATTGAAATTTTGCAAAGAATTCAATTAAAAAAATTTTTTTATATAATTGAATTTTTGGCGAAAGATTATGTTATTTATAAAGATAATTGAATTCTTGATGAGATATTCGTTGAAATTTTTGAAAATAATTGAATTTTATTACTTTTGAAAATAATTGAATTCTTGTGATGAATATTGTTATTTTTGAAAATAATTGAATTTTGAAAGATTTTTTTTTTTTTTAAAGATATTGATTAAAATTCTTAAAAATAATTGAATTTCTGTGAAGAATTTTGTTATTTATCAAGATAATTAAAAACTTTTGAAATAATTGAACAATATTTAAAAATCCATTTTGTGGTCAGAAATAGAAAAATTTATTAAATATTTTATTTATTTTAATCTTTCTTTTTTTGTAAAGAGTAAGTAGTTTTTAAAAATATTCACGCAGAAAAAACTTTCGTTCATTAAAATGTTTCATAAACGTTTGAAAAATGAGGAAAATTAGGAAAAAATAGAAAAAGAGAAAAAAAATACCCACCAAATCGTCGCCAGGTCGTTTTTTCAACGTCGCCAAATCCAAACTCGCCGGTTGCAATATCATTGGATCGGCAATATCTTGTACAATATAATCGGCCAATTTAGCCATTTGTCCACACGTCGTGCGTATTTCTTCAATTGGCTTCTCAGCGAAACGATCCCTTTGAGCGCACGTCGCCATTTCCAATGAGAGTTTGAGCAATTCCGTTTTTTTATCATTGTACTCGAGCTGTCCACTGAATGGCGGACGATCCAGCCAGCAGACAAGTGGCTTCACCGCAGTGATAATTGTCGCCACATCGGCCAGTGTTTGCGTCGACACCGGCTGCAAATCCGTTTGTCTCGATAATTCATTGAATAAACTGTGCGTGAGACACGACAATCGCAACGAGAGTAATTGCAAATTTTCCCGATCCAATTCATAGTGAAAATTTCTCAAGTACTCAACGGCCTCGAGAATTGTCTCTTGATGACCAAGTTTCAATACGCCGAGATGATCCAAATCCTCGGGTCTTAAATTGAGCAATTGCTGGCCATTTACATTGTGATTGGAAAAACTGTGCACGTACGGTAGGACAGAATTATCCAGACCTGCGGGGAAAAAACAATTTTTTCTCAAAATTATTCAAAAGTCACCAATAAATTAATTTTTAAATATAAATATTTTTTAAAGTAATTCAATACAATTTTAATTAAATATTTAATATAATTTCAAAATTTTATTCTGATTTTCCCCGACTTTTCCTGATTTCCAAACGAAATTTTCCCTTTTTTCTAAATCTAAAAAATATTCGGCTATTTACTCTGACAATTATTAGATACTAAAAAAAATATTCCAGTACATTTATAATTACGAATTTCCTTAAATGGAAAATTATTCAAAGTCACCAATAAATTAATTTTTAAATAAATATTTTTTAAAGCAATTCAATACAATTTTAATTAAATTTCCCGAAAGAATACAATTATTTTTAAAAAATATTAATTAAGTATTTTCCGTTAGCAAATTATCTCTATTCATTTGTTTTTTTTTTGAAAATTAATTTTTGTGGGTTATTGTCATTTTTTTAATGTCAAAAAGAAACAAAAAAAAACTCGTTTTATTCACTTCACAAAATTGACAAAAATTCCATTCCATATTTTTTATTTTCCTGACTTTTTCCTAATTTTCATCAAAAATATTTACTTTTTTCTTATCCTGCTAATAAATTGAATTTATGCTACGAATTTTATTATTCATGAAAGAATTTTAAATAATTTAATTCTTACGAAGAATTTAAAAAAATATTTGAAAATAATTGAATTTTCAATGAAAAATGTTATCATTTATAAAAATAATTGAATTTTTCAGAAGAATTTTATTATTTACAAAAATAATTGATTTCTTTAGGCAAATTTTCTTTATTTATGAAAATAATTGAATTTTCTTGAAATATTTTATTATTTATTAAAATAATTGAATTCTTGCGAAGAATTTTTAAAAATTTTTTGAAAATAATTGAAATTTTCTGAAGAATTTTATAAATTTTAGGAAAAATTGACTTTTTTTTTGAAGAATTTCATAATTTAAGAAAACAGTTAAATTTTTTTGGAATATTTTTCTAATTTTATAAAAATAATTGAATTCTTGCGAAGAATTTTTTTTTTAAATTTGGAAAATAATTGAATTTTTGGGAAGAATTTTTAAAACAATTTGAAAAGTCAATTTTAGGAAAAATTGACTTTCTTTTGAAGAATTTCATAATTTATGAAAATAGTTAAATTTTTTTGGAATATTTTTCTATTTTTATAAAAATAATTGAATTCTTGCGAAGAATTTTTTTTAAAATTTGGAAAATAATTGAATTCTTGGGAAGAATTTTAAAAAAAATTTGGAAAATAATTGAATTTTTCTGAAAAATTTTATAAATGTTGAGAAAAATTGAATTTTTTGAAGAATTACATTTTTTCTAAGGATTTTGTAATTTATGAAAATAATTGAATTCTTTCGAGAAATTTTATTAATAATTGTTGAAAACATAATTTAATTACTTTCGAAGAATTTTATTATTTATAAAAATAATTTAATTCTTTCAAAGAATTTTATTAATTAGGTAAATGATTAAATTCTTGCGGCGAATTTTATTAAAATTGATGAAAATAATTGAATTTTTTCATAGAATTTTATTATAAATTTTTTTGAATAATTGAATTCTGTTTGGTAATTTTATAAAAATAGTAGATATTGAAAATCATTGAATTGTGAAAAGTTTTTAAAGATAATTAAATTTTACAAAGAATTCTATTAAACAATTTAATTATTTTTATAAATTGTAAAATCCTCGGCAAGAATTTAATTATTTTCATAAATAAGAAAATTCTTTGCAAGAATTAATATATTTCCATAAATAATAAAATTTTTCGAAGCAATTCAATTATTTTTGTGAAATTCTTGGCAAGAATTCAATTATTTTTGTAAATAACAAAATTCTCCTAAAAATTCAATTATTTTCAATGCAATTTTTAAAAAAATTTCTCGAAAGAATAAAATTATATTTAAAAATATTAATTAAATTTTATTATTTTCAAGAATTTTAATAAGTATTCAATTATTTTCAACAATTTTGATAAAAAATTTTTTTAAATAATTATTATTTTCTAAATATTTTGTCAAATTTCTTTAAAAAATTAAACTATTTTCAATAATTCAGATAAAATTCTTTGAAACAATTCAATTATTTTTGTGAATTGTAAAATTTTCGGCAAGAATTTAATTATTTTCGCATAAATAAGAAAATTCTTCACAAGAATTAAGATATTTTCGAAAATAAAAAAATTCTTTGCAAGAATTAAAATATTTTCGTAAATAATAAAATTCTACAAAAAAATTCAATTATTTTCAAAACAATTTTTAAAAAAATTCCTTAAAAGAATACAATTATATTTAAAAATATTATTTAAATTCAATTATTTTCAACAATTCTGATGAAAAATTCTTGGAATCAAATAATTATTTTTGTAAATTGTAAAATTCTTGTCAAGAATTCAATTATTTTTGTAAATAAATAAAAATCTTTTTATAAATACAATTATTTTCAGACATAATTTTAATTTTTTATAAATAATAAAATTCTTCTTCAATTATTGTTAAAAATTGTAATAAAATTTTTCTAAACAATTCAATTGTTCTCAAAAGTTTTTAATAAAATTCTTCGTAAATTTCAATTATTTTCAAAATTTCCAATTAACATTATTTTTACGAAATTTAGTAAAATTCAGATAAAAAGAATTTTACTAACATTTTTGAGAATAATTGAATTTCTGTGAAAAATTGAATTAATTATGAAAATAATTCAATTCTCATAGTTAATTTTATCAAAATTTTTGATAATAATTAAACTTCTGCGAAGAGTTTTAACAAATTTTTAAAAATAATTGTATTCTTTTGAGGAATTCAATTAAAATTTTTCAAAATAATTGAATTCTTTTAATAAATTTAATTCGAATTTTATTGAATTGAAGATAATTGAATTTCTTGCGAAATTTTTTTGTATTTATAAAAATAATTGAATTCTTGATAGTAACTTTTTATTATTTTCGAAAATAATTGAATTTTTTATGAAAATTTTTGTATTTATGAAAATAATTGAATTCATGAGTGAGTAAATTTTAATATTTTCGAAAATAATTAAAAACAATTGAATTGCTGTGAATAAAATTAGTAATATTACTTTTAAAATAATATAATTAATATAATTGAAAAATTTCTAAACACTTGTAATTTAGTAAAATAAAATTAAAAATAATTGAAATGTTTAAAAAATATTGGAAAATTATCAAGTTTTTGAAGAATTTCGAATAAAAAAAAATTTTTATTAATTGAATTTCCAAACAATGATTTACAATGCAAATTTTCGAAAATAATTGAATTGCAGAAAATAATTTTTCGCCAATTTTGAAATTTATTCGACTTTATCCAAAATCTGCATTTTTTAAAATCAATTTTGAGGTTAGAATTTAAATAATTAATATAGAATATTTAATATAATAACGAAAATGTTCAATGTAATTATTCAACAATAAAAAAATTCATTCGAATAAACTTATAAAAAAGTTAGAATTTATTTACAGAATAATTTTCAATAGAAGAAAAATAGAATAGAATAAAAAATGACTATATTATTCTATTGAAGAATCCACCACGAAATCGCAACTAAAATATTTCAAGTATTCAGAATATTTAGTTTATCATAATATAGCTCTTTATTAGCAAAAGGCAAAAAGAAACCTCAAGGCCATTTGGGAAAATTAGGTTATGTTTATACTTGAAAAAATAAAAAAAAAACTTTCACTCCTCATTATTGTAATTGTAAATAGTACGAAACAAACGAAATAATAATGAATAATATCAATTTGAGAACAACAAAAAAATTTGGTTAAAATCTCCAAAATAGGGGAATTTGACATTTCCGTATATTATTATAATATACATATATACAAAGTGTTGGAGATAAAAAAGAAACACAAGAACAATTTTTATGAATGATTTCAAATTTATGAATCACACACATCAACATCACTTGAAATTGATCTATGCGTAGAGTAATATATATGTATGACGAATAAAACGGGTGGGGGCGTATTACACAGGAAATGAATTTTCCCACGGAGAAAAACACACACTTATAAGTTATTTTGAGAATGTTTGTGATGGGTATATTAATAATTGAGATGGGTGAAGAGGAAGAGGGGGGAGAAAGTATTAAACTTGCACTACACACTCTCGATTCATTGGGAAAAAAACGGTTAAAATCACTTCGAAATAAATATATTGTATAAGAAAAAAAGGTGTAATTTTTTTCCAAACCTTTCAACCATTCACAAACTTGATCTGTTTTCCATTCGGCCACATTAACATACGCCATGACCCGCGTTCAAGTCATGACTCCGCACTGTATTACTCTCGTTGTCTGTGAGCTGCAAGTGCAGAAAATATACATGAATAGAGGGAGGAGAGAGATGATCCTTTTGTGTATGATCTTTCTTGCGCTATTATCATCATCGCTCGGTCGATAAAGTAGAGACTCACCTTCGCTTGGTTCCAAGCGGCTGTGTTGGAGAAATCTTCCTTATCGACATATTTTTGATATTAAACTAAGGAACAATTGAAAAATAAACAGATATTTATTATTTATTTAACTTATTTAGATTCTACATTTTTTCTATTTATTTATCTTATTTAGTTATTTTACAAAAATATGTGATAATAATGAGGATGAGATGAGGAAATTTTTCTATTAAAACTTTAACTTTATTACAATTTTTTAACAACAATTTTAGAAATCGGGCGAGGATTTTCTAAGGAATGTTTGTTAATTTACGTATCTAGGAAAATACTTTTTATTATTTTTCTTTTTTCACAATCGAACGAGATGAAAATTTGTTTAAAAAAGTACGTGAATTTTCATGAAAGGGTTAAATTGATAATAATTGGTAAAACCGGTAAAATATCGTAAAAACGTAAAATCCGTAAAGCTGTCACGTAATAACTGTCAAAAACATAACCTATAATTTTTAAATAAAATTTACAATGTTTACATGATTTACATTTTATTTTTGCTTTTTATTTATACTTATTAAAATATTTATGCAACATTTAAGTTCTCAAAAAAAACATAAATAATAATTTAAATATTCATTTAATTTCAAAGTAGGAAAAAAATTATTTAAAACGTTATTAATAATTATAACGAAATATTAGTAAAATAAATATCAATAATATACAAAGTAGAAGTGAAAAAGGTAACAATAAAACTTAATTTTTGAATAATTTCTTAATAAAAATGTTTAAAATTCAATTATTAAGTACATAATTAATTATAATTGTTTATATTTTCAAAAAAATTTAATATAATTCTTAGCAAGAATTCAATAATTTTCCCCAAAAGAATAACATATTCTTTGGAAAAAATTCAATTATTTTTATGAATAGTAAAATTTTTTGCAATGAATTTCAATTATTTTCTAAAATTTTAATAAATCCCTTCGAAATAAACAAATTATTTTTATACTAAAATTTTTTTGGAAAAAATCAATTATTTTTAAAAGAATTTTAATAAATTTTCTGTAATAAATTTCAATTTTTGTAATTTAAAAAAAATTTTTTTTTTCGAAAAAAATTAAATTCTTTTTTGAATATTTTAAATAAATCCTAAAAAACAATTCAATTTTTGAAATACAATAAAATAAAATAAAATAAAATAAATAATAATAATAATAATAATAATAATAATAATAATAATAATAATATAAAATTTCATGAATGAATTCAATTTGTTTCCTAAAATTCAGATAAAATCCTTCGAAACAAGCCAATTATTTTTATAAATTATAAAATTCTTTAGCAAAAATTTAATTATTTTAAGAGCAATTTTAATAAAAGTTTCTGTAAAGAATTTTTTTTTTTTTTTGAATTTTGAATATTCTTCATACAAATGTATAAGTATCGGTCCGCTGAACAGGCTTTTCACCATATTATCTTAAATGACAATGTGTATAGTTGACGTCTGCTACGACATTGACAATTTTTAATTATTATCCACTGATCATGGATAATAGTTCCCAACTCCAATTCTTTGGGGAAATTAATAACATTATTATTATAACGTTGTTATAATTTTTTAATGTTTAATAAAAATTAAAAATATTAAATATAAATTTGTTGCTAATAATAAATTATTAATTTTATATAATAAACAATTTCCATATATAAGATTACATCAAGTTTGCGGCAACCTTTAGTGCAATATTGCAGCAAGCTTGTAGTGCAAACTTGGGCAAGGTGGGACATTTTAACATTATGACAACCTTGCAGTAATGTTATACGGCAATATTGCCAATATTTCTGCAAGGTTACGTGCTCTCTGGGAAGGAATTTCTGTTAATTTTATTTTATAAATTTGATTTTTCTTCATTTTTTTTTATATAAATATCTAAAAATTAGTTATGTTACAGAATAAAAGAAACTAAACTTAGTACAAATTCAACTAAAAATATTTTAATAATAGAAAAAAAAAATAACTTCGAAAAATCATCTACGGACTAACTTGGTACATTACTATTATACCTATTACCAGGCTCTAGCAATAATTTGACAATCTCTTCATGACCCTTTTTAGCTGCAATAGACAAGGCGGTTTCTTGAATACAATTTACTTCATTTATATCAGCTCCTTTAATTAAAAGCATTTTAAATATTTCAGTATTTCCCTTTCTAGCAGAAACATAAAGTGGTGTGTTGCCATTATCATTTTTACAATTAATTTCGGCTCCAAATTTCGGCTCTAGTAATAATTCGACAATCTCTTTATGACCATTTTCAACTGCAATGTGCAATGCGTACTTTTCTTCATTAATATCAGGACGATACTTTAAAATTTCCTCAACAATCAATAAATTTCCTGCATTAACAGCGTGATATAAAATGGTTTTTCCATCCCTATCTTGATCATTAATGTTAATTTCTTTTTGTAAAAGCTCCTTTACAGTTTCTGCATTCCCCTCATTGATGGCACAACGAAGTTGAAGCATATTGTTTTGAATTATCTGCAACAATACAAATACAAAAGAAATTAATAAATTCAAGCTACTTTTTATGCGTTAAGTAGATAAATTTCCAATTTTTTTTAAGGGGAATGAGAAGTGTGCAAATTATGTCAAAATTCAACATTTATTTTCTCGCTTATTTTATTATAAAATTTAAAAAGCCTTTTTGCTTGATGAAAAGTATAATTTGAAGTATTAAAAACAATAAACAAAATTTTTAAATTGTTACATTATGTTAAGCTGTAGAGGGCGTCAAAAACGATGCTTTTATTTTGAGGCGAACTCTTAAAGTTGGGGTAAGTTAAGTTAAGTTAAGTTGGGTAGTTGGGATATTTAATTTCCAAATTTTTTCAAAGTTTCTGAATTTAATTATTCGAAAATTTCTACATTATGAAAAACTTTAGTAATTTATCAATTATGCATTTTAAAATAATGACAGAATACAGCTGTTTATTACACTGAAAGAATTTTGTTACGAAATTCAGCAGAATAATATTTGTATTTGATATAATTAGTTACGATTTAGGGAAATTGAGAATTCTATGAACTATCGTTTACCGTTTTTAAGAATGACTAAAATTAAAATAATAATAGATTTAATACTGCAGTAGAACAGGAACTAAAATTATCGTTTGAAAAATTGAAAATCTATTATGAAAACATCAAATGGTAAATAGTATTAGATTACGAATTTTATAGGTATTATTACGAATTGTTCCTTGTTCGTTACTCGGTAGTTGGAATTATATTCACTGTTTAAATAATTTTAAACATTAGTGAAAGTAATTATTGAATCATTGTGAAGAATTGTATAAAAATTTTGTTAAATAATTGATTTTTCTTTAAATGCTATACTCTAAATAAATTAAGTCCCTGTGGAAATTTTATTCCTTTTTTTCTGAAAATATTAGTCTAGTTTTAGAAAAATTTCTTCTTACCTCGGAATTCATTTTGAATTGTATAGTTTTTGTTGAAAATTTGTCGTGGAAGTATTTCTTTTCACAATTATCGCAAACCAAAATTAAAACAATCTAGAACAAATGTTTGCATATGTAAATTAGTTACAATTTAAATTTTATAATTTATATGAATAAACGCGTAGATGAAAATAAATGAAATGAATAAACGGAGTAAATATAAAAATATATAAAATTACTTACGCAATTAGTAAAACTGGAATTAACAAATTCCGCAAAGATAATTTTTCTTTAAATAATTATGTGAAATTCACTTTGAAGGTAGACATTCGCTTACTTCGAATTTCAATTTAACATTGTAACGCAGATAACACAATTGATAGCATTTATAATAATCTCAATAGTTTATTATAATCTCAATGACAGTTACATGTATTGTTTGTCAATATTGATAATTGATAAAATTGTTATCTCGATCTTTAATAATAATAATAATAATAATAATAATAATAACTTCCGGTGGGTGTGGGACTTTCCACAATGCATCGTAAGTTATTTAATTTTCCATTAATAATAATTTTAATAAAATTCAATAATAATAATTTCAATTATTAAGAAACATGATTATTTTAAAAACATGAATAAAAATTGTTCGTAAAAATTCAATTATACTTTCAAAATTTACAATTAAAATTATTAAAGAAATTCCATTATTTAAAAAAAAATCAAAGAAATTCTTCAAAAGAATTTAATTAGGATTTTCATAAATTTTTATAAAATTCTTCGCAAGAATTCAATTATTTTCATTAGGGGTCATTCAAATATTACGTAAGCATATTTTTCAGGTTTTTAGACCCCCCCCCTCCCCCATGTAAGATTTTTTATGTGCATTAGCGACATTTTTTCTAATGGAAATAAGCAATAGCTAGACCCCTCCCTCCCCCTTCAATGCTTACTTAATACTTGAATGGTCCCTTAGTAATAAAAATTCTTCGAATTCGATTCTTCGATCATTTCAAGAATGATATCAACATTTTTTTCAATAATTGAATTCATTTAAGAAAAAAAATTAACATTGTATTGAAATTAAATTCTTCGAAAGAATTCAATAATTGCATTAAAAATAATTAAATTCTTATTAAGATTTTTATTAAAATTCATTAAAATAATTTAATTGTTTTGAAGAATTTATTTCAATTTTCTTGAAAATAATAAAGTTTTCATAAATAATTTTTACTGAAAATTTCTCGAAAAAATTTGAAAATAATTGAATTCATCTCAAGAATTTTATCAACATTTTTTTTAAATAATTGAATTCTTTCGAGAAAATGTAATTAAATATTTTTTTAAAAAAATGCAATTATTTTCTAAAATTTTAATAAATCCATCGAAACAATCAAATTATTTTTATAGTAAAATTCTTTGCAAAAACTCAATTATTTTAGAAAGAATTTTTTTTCCAAAGAAATTTAATAAACTTTGTTGTAAATAATTTAATTCTTTCTTTTTTAATTTTGAATATTATTAAAAAAAAATGCAAATATTTTGTAAAATTTTAATAAATCAATCAAAACAATTCAATTATTATTTTAAATAGTAAAATCTTTGTAAAAATTAAATTATTTTCAATACAATATTTTAATAAAATTTTATGAAGGAATATTTTTTGAAAAAGTTCAATTATTATTTTCTAAATTTCTTTATAAATATCCTTCGAAACAATTCAATTTTTACATTCTCATCACACGAGAAAGTATTGGTTTTGGTAGAAAATTGATTTTTGCTAATTTTTATGAAATCTTCACGTTTTTTGGTGCCCTGAACCCCAAAAAAAACATGATTATGATAACTTTTAAAAAAAATTATCGAATCGTTTTCAAATTTAACACACTTAAAGCTGGTGTAAAAATGAAGACTAATTTCGTTAGCCAGACATTTTTGTCAAAAACTACAATACTTTCAAAATTTTGCGAATTCAATTTTTCCAAATTTTCGTTCGCATATTATTATAGCTTAGAAAATACAAACAACTTTTCTTTAGAACATTTTTTTCATAGGAAATCTACTTTCGAAGTTATACTCTTCTTTTAAAAAAACTCAAAAATACCAAAATAACGCTAAAAATCAAAATTTTTTTCCAAGAAAAAGTACAATTTATCTGTTTACTAAATAAATTATTATTATTATTATTATTATTATTTGTATTTTTTTATTAATTTTTTTATTTTATCAGGAAAGATATAAAAAGACTGTACTTCATTAATTTGTAAAATAGTCATTTTATTTCCAATTAGAATTCTTTACTTACTATTCATTTTTATGTAAATATAAAAATACTTAACTTAAGTATAGAAAAAACAAATTTCCTATTCTATAGGAATAAGGAATTCCCATTAACTTTATTTTATAAATTTAATTTTTCTTCACTTTCTCTATATATCTAAAAATTAGTTAATTAACATTAATTTTACAGAAAAAAAATTATGGTACAATACCAACTGAAAACATTCTAATAATAGAGAAGAAATAACTTCGAAAATTCATCTGCGTACGTAGATCCAATTTTAGAAAAAAGAAAATCTGTCTATCTGACAGTTCTACAGCGAAATTAAAATTTATCAAAAAATGATTATTTGAAAACTAAATTGTTTACAAATTTAGGTTTACAAGAGGCTGACAAGCTTTAATTAAAATGCTTAAGTCCTCGTCATTTAGAAAACTAAGTATTTTTTCATGATAACATTGTGGTGACTCGGTGAAGTTGTTATAAAAAAGAGGAAAAAATTGATAACATTGGTCTAGTAATCCTCTTCTTTTCATACACTTTATGAAATTACAGTTTATCATGTTGCCGTAAAATGGAAATTTTGCTTCATAATCCAATGATTTTAGAGTCTGTACAATGTTCTCATTTTTCATGTACTTGAATAATGAACAATAGTTAATCAATATGTCAAAGAACGAAATATTTGTATCATTAATCTTTTCATTCTTCAAATACAATATTTCTTTCTCACATTCTTTTTGAAACTTTTCTTCCAGGTAAGTTTCACTCGAAAATAGTGAATATCTTTCAAGTACAAATAAATTTGCTATTGCTCTTTTAATAAAGTGGAAGTGAAAAGCACTTTGCCCACAAAATAATAAATATTTGAAAAAATCAAAGTCGGCACCAAACTCTAGCAATAATACAGCATTCCTTTCATTGTAACTAAGTTTAACTGCAATGTGTAAAGCAGTTTCGTTTTTCAAATTTACTGCATTTACATCAGCTCCTTTAATTAATAGCATTTTAATTATTTCTTTATTTCCTTGTCGGGCAGAGAAATGAAGTGGTGTGGCTCCATTTTTATTTTTACAATTAATTTCGGCTCCAAATTCAAGCAAAAATTTAACAGTCTCAACATGACCATTTTTAACTGCCATGTGCAAGGCGGTTTCTTTTTTACGTGTTAGTGCATTTACATCAGCTCCTTTAATTAAAAGCATTTTACAGATTTCTTTCTTGCCCCTATCAGCAGCAAAATGAAGTGGTGTATCACCATAAACATTTTTACAATCAATTTTGGCACCAAACTCTAGAAGTAATTTAACAGTCTCTTCACGACCTTTTTGAGCCGCAAAGTGCAAGGCTGTTTCTTCATGTTCATTTACTGCATTTACATCAGCTCCTTTAATTAAAAGCATTTTACAGATTTCTTCATGTCCTCTTTCAGCAGAAACATGAAGTGGTGTGACGCCAATTTTATTTTTACCATTAATTTCGGCACCAAATTCTAGCAATATTTTTATCAACTTTTCAAAATCTTTTTCCTCTTTCATTAAATGTCCTGCATTGACAGCGTGATATAAAATGGTTTCTCCATTCCCGTTTTGATCATTAATGTTAATTCCTTTTTGTAGAAGCTCCTTTACAGTTTCTACATTTCCCTCATTGATGGCACAACGAAGTTGACGCATATTGTTTCGAATTGTCTGCAACATTATAAATACAGATAATAATTACTATAAAACATTAAGAAATCCATTACTCGAAGTCATTGATTTCTTCATGTTCTATAATAATGAATAATTATTAATAAAAATAATTTATAATAATTAAAATCATTATCAATTCAATTATTATTTTTAAGAATTTTTATCTAAAATTCTTCTTTATATATTGATCATTTTTAATAATTTTCGAAAAAGTTCTTTGGAAATTTCCAAATTCATTTCTTTACAATATTCAATTTTACGAAATTTCAATTATTCGTAAATTCATTAATTAAATAAATATTAGAAAATAGAAACTAAAAATAATATTTAGAAAACTCAATTAAACTTTTTCAAAAAAATTAATTACAAAATTCAATTATTTTTTTAAATTCACGCTACATTGCATTTAATATTCTATTATCTAAAAGTTGAACTGAAATTCATTTTTTATGAAAATCAATTTTTATTAGAAAATTCTACTAGAATTGAATTATTTAAATAGAAATTTAAATGCAAAAACGCAAAGAAATAATTTATTGAATAATTGAACGTTTCTTAAAATTCAATTCCCATAAAAAATCGTTATCAACAAATTTTCAAATAATTGAATTCTATCAACGAATTTTAATAAAATTTTTAAGAATAATTACATTTTTCGACAAAATTCGATTAAAATTGTATTAAAAATGTTAAAAATAAATAAAATAATTGCGAAATTCTGCATTGAATTTAATTATTTATGAAAATAATTGAATTCTTGCCAAGAATTTTATTAAAATTTTTAAAAATAATTAAATTCTTGTAAAAAATTAACAGGAATTCAATTATTTAAAAAAAATTTAATAAAATTCTTGGCATAAATTAAAAATAACAAAATTCTTAGCAGATCTTCAATTACTTTAAGAAATTTTAATAAAATTTTCGCAAGAATTTAAATATTTTCGTAAAATAATAAAAATCTTTGCAGAGTTTCAATTATTTTCAAAAGTCTTAATAAAATTCTCTTTGCAAGAAATTAATTATTTTCAAAAATATCAGAATTTTAGCAGAAATTCAAACATTTTAAAGAGTTTTGATAAAACTTTTTTTTGGTAGAAACTTAATTATTTTTAATACAATTTAAAAAAAAATGCGTCTCGATAAAATTCAATTATTTTAAAAATTTTAATGAAATTCTTGGAAAGAATTCAATTTTTATAATCTAAGATTTTAACTGAAATCTATTTTTAAATCAATGTTTATGAGAAAATTCTACCAGAATTCAATTATTTAAATACAAATAAATAATTTATTGAATAATTGAATGTGTCTTGAAATTCAATTCCTATTAAAAATTTTATCAACAAATTTTTAAATAAATAAATTCTTTGGACGAATTTTAATAAAATTTTTAAGAATTTTTTCGAGGAATTCGATTAAAATTCTATTGATAATAATTGAATTCTCCTAAAAAGAATTTTATTACTTTTGAAAATAATTGAAATTTTGCAATGGATTTTATTAAAATTTTTGAAAATAATTGATTTCTTACCAACAATTTTATTAAAATATTTAAAAATAATTGAATTCCTGAAAAGAATTTTATTCTTTATGAAAATAATTGAATTTTTGAAAAGAAATTTTTTAATATTTACGAAAACAATGGAATTGTCGGCGAAGAATGTCATGATTTATAAAAATAAATGAACTTTTAGCGAAAAATTGAATCATTTTTTAAAATAAGTGAATTTTAGCGAAGTGTTTTATTAATTTTATTTATATTTCTGTTTTAACAAAAATTTCCAAAAAAATAATTGACTCTTACAAAAAATTTCATTATTTACGAAAATAATTGAATTTTTGTCAAATCATTTTAATATTAATGAAAATAATTGATTTTTCGTAAAAATTCTCTAAAAATTATGAATTCTGGCGAAGAATAAATTTCACTAATTGAATTCTTGACAAAAATTTTATTATTTATGACAATATTTGAATTTTGGATGAATTTTATCAATTTTTTTAAATTAAATAATTGAATTCTTTGACCTGAACATTAAAAAAGTCTTGGAACTGGATATTATTACGTCCATGTTCTACTTCATTTTTTTTTTTTTTGAAAATATTAGTATTTATAATTTGAAATAAAATTCTTCTTACCCGGGAATTCATTTTGAATTGTAGTTTTTGTTGGAAATTTGTCGTGAAAGAATATCTTTTCACATTTGTCGCAAACCAAAATATAATAAATCTAGAACAAAAGTTTGCATATATGTAAATTAGTTACAATTCAAATTTCATAATTTATATGAATAAACGCGTAAAAGAAAATAAATGAAATGAGTAAACATAGAAAGTGAGGTTATGTTCGCACTTTCATGGAAAAATAATTGAGAATTACTTACGCGCTTACGCAATTAGTAAAACTGGAATTCACCAATTCCACAAAGATATTTTTTCTTTAAATAATTGTGAAATTCACTTTGAAAGTAGAAAATCGCTTATAAACTTAGAATTTCAATTTAACATTGTAATGACATATTTTATGTCTTGTTAGAACAGGAAAACTAATAAACAGTTGTTTTAAACACTATAGTGATTAATAATTCCGATAATTCCTGACAACTACATGTCCTGTTTGTCAATCTTGTTAATTGCGATAGAATATATTGTTAAAAATCTTATAGAACTTTTCATATTTCATCGTTTCATCTCGATTTCGAATAATAATAATAATAACTTCTGCTGCGCGACGCGCGTGGGAGGTGGGACTTCCCAGAATGCAACATAAGGCCGCACTCACACCGTCGTTTGCTGCCAGCCTGCAGGTTGTCATGGTAACCTCTTAAGACTATGAGAGTAAGAGAGTCAGACAATTCAAATTATGTTTTCTCTCCCTTACTCTAATTGTTCCACAAAAGCTGTGAGTGCGCTTATTTTGTTCGCTTAGGCCAAAGTCCCATGGCAACGTTTTGCGTTGCGTTGTAATGAGAGAGAATGCAGCAAACGTATATTTGCGTCTTTTTCTCTCCCATTACGACGCAACGCAAAACGCTGTCATGGGACTCCACCCTTATTCATAAATAAAGAATTGAAATTAGTATATGTTTAAATTTACAAAAACGCCTCTGTCACTGTCGGTTACTTTAGAAATTCTCCAATATGGCCGCCGACAGAGAGAAAATTGACGTATTTAGTACATGAAAATGCTATATTTATTACAACTACAAAATTTTAAAGTGTTTGTGAAAGTGAATTATAATTTTATAATAGCAAGGAATTATTTATTTTGTGAATAAGCAATGGAATTTGAACCCAAATTCTGAAAGTCTCCTAATAATGGAAATTATAATTATTATACGGTAGCTTTATAGTGAATGAAAATAAACTGTTTAAGCTTCAAGCTAACATACTTAGAATCGAAACAACACTATAGTCCTTTATTTTTAACCTATAAACTATAAAAATATATATTTAAATTAAATAATGTCAGTTATTAATCATTCAAATGAATATTCTCATAAATTTTCTTTTCCTCGATAATTTACCACAATTTTCTTTCTCACCTGCTCCGATTTCAATTTTACCAAGAATTTTTAAACACTAGTGTTTGCAATTAATTGTTATATTTAGAAATAAACAATAATTAAACAATTTTATAATTATTATTAATTAATAAATCAATTTATCAAATATTTATCTACCATTTAAAAAGAAAATTAAAATATTAATGTCCCTTTTTTCTTCAATTCTCCAGAAAATTACAGAAAACAATAAAATTTTGATTTTTTAACTAAAAAAAAGGAGATCAGTTTACTAAGAATTAGAATTATTTGCAGGAAAGAAATTTGTAAAAAGTATATTCCAATAAACATAATAATTTTTTATTCCAAAATACAATACTTACTTTTAATTCTAATTAATATATAAGTATAAAAATACCAAACTTAAACATTATTTCCTATTCTTCAGGAATAAAGAACTTCCATTAACTTTATTATCAATTTTTTAATTGACTTTTTTTTATTTATTTTATATTATATTTTTAAATTTGTTAAATTTAACATTAATTCCATAAAAAAAATCGTATAAAATTTTTAAAGAACAGAAAAATTCATATAAATGGAGAAAAAAAATAATTTCGAAGGAGCGTTGTAATTTTCTTTATTACAAAAAAAAATCCGTCTATCTGAAATACTTTCCAACGAAGTTTACTTGTTAATCGGCAGACAAGCTTTAATTAAAATACTTAAGTCCTTGTCATTTAGAAAACTAAGTGTTTTTTCGTGATAACATTGTGGTGACTCGGTGAAGTTGTTATAAAAAAGAGGAAAAAATTGATAACATTGCTCTAGTAATTCTCTTCTTCTCATACCCTTTAAGAAATTACAGTTTATCATGTTGCCGTAAATTGGAAACCTTGTTTCATAATCCAATGATTTTAGAGTCTGTACAATGTTCTCATTTTTCATGTACTTCACTAATAAACAATGGTTAATCAATACGTCAAAGAATGAAATTTTAATATTACTAATCTTTTCATGCTTCAAGTACAATATTTCTTTCTCACATTCTTTTTGAAAATCATTGTCCATGTCCCTGGAACTCAAATATAGAAGATTTTTTTGGCTTACAAATAAATTTGCTGTTTTTCTTTTAATTAAGTAGCAATCAATAACTTTACGAGATTTACTAGATATTCGATAAATTAAATTAATTTCGGCACCAAACTTTAGTAATAATTCAATAATCTGTTCATGTTCAAATTCAGCTGCAAAGTCCAAGGCTGTTTGTCTAATAATATTTCGTGCATTTACATCAGCTCCTTTAATTAGAAGCATTTTACAAATTTCTTCATGTCCTCTTTTAGCAGAAACATGAAGTGGTGTGACGCCAATATTATTTTGACAATTAATTTCGGCACGAAATTCTAGCAATAATGCAACAATCGCTTCATCACCTCTTCGAGTTGCCATGTGCAAGGCGGTGTCTCCATTCCTATCCTGATCATTAATGTTAATTTCTTTTTGTAAAAGCTCCTTTACAGTTTCTACATTTCCCTCATTGATGGCACAACGAAGTTGACGCATATTGTATCGAATTGTCTGCAACATTATGAATACAGGTAATAACTATAAAACATGAAGAAATCCATTACTCGAAGTAATCCATTTCTTCATGTTGTATAATAATTAATAATTATTAATAAAAATAATTTATAATAATTATAATCATTATCAATTCAATTATTATTTTTAAGAATCTGAAACTAGAATTCTTCGATTATTTTTTTAAATTTTCGAAGAAGTTCTTTGACAATTTCCAAATTCATTTCTTTACAATATTCAATTTTACGAAATTTCAATTAATTCTTCAAAAGAATTTAAAAAAATCAATTTTTATAAACACATACATTTTTTCCAGGAATTAAAAAATAAACTTTTAAGAATAATTATTACATTTTTCGAGCAATTCCTGTGAAATTGAATGAAAAATAATATTGAAATACCAGAAATACTGCGATGAATTTTATTAAAATTTTTAAATATAATTGAATTCCTAAAATGAATTTTATTCTTTATTAAAATAATTGAATTTTTGCGAAGAAATGTTTTAATATTTACGAAAACAATGGAATTGTCGGCGAAGAATATCATGACTTATAAAAATAAATGAACTTTTGGCGAAAAATTGAATCATTTTTTAAAATAAGTGAATTTTAGCGAAGAGTTTTATTAATTTTATTTATATTTCTGTTTTAACAAAAATTTCCAAAAAAATAATTGACTCTTACAAAAAATTTCATTATTTACGAAAATAATTGAATTTTTGTCAAATCATTTTAATATTAACGAAAATAATTGATTTTTTGTAAAAATTCTCCAGAAATTATGAATTCTAGCGAAGAATAAATTTTACTAATTATCAAAATAATTTAATTTTTATGAAGAAAAAATATTTACGAAAAAAATTATATTATCGGAGAAGAATTTCATTATTTTTGAAAAAAATTTGAATTTTTGGAGGAGAAATTTAATATTTATGAAATTAATTGAATTTTTGCAGAAGAATTTTATCATTTATTAAATTAATTGAATTCCTAGCGACGAATTTTAATGTTTATGTGAAAAATATTTGAATTCTTGACAAAAATTTTATTATTTATGACAATATTTGAATTTTGGATGAATTTTATCAATTTTTTTAAATTAAATAATTGAATTCTTTGACCTGAACATTAAAAAAGTCTTGGAACTGGATATTATTACGTCCATGTTTTACTTCTTTTTTTTTGAAAATATTAGTATTTATAATTTTAAAGAAAATTCTTCTTACCCGGGAATTCATTTTGAATTGTAGTTTTTGTTGAAAATTTGACGTGGAAGAATTTCTTTTCACATTTGTCGCAAACCAAAATATAATAAATCTAGAACAAATGTTTGCATATGTAAATTAGTTACAATTCAAATTTCATAATTTATATGAATAAACGCGTAAATAAAAATAAATGAAATGAATAAACCGAATAAACACAAAAAGTGAGGTTATGTTTGCACTTTCATGGAAAAATAATTGAAAATTACTTACGCGCTTTCGCAATTAGTAAAACTGAAATTCACTAATTCTTCAAAGATATTTTTTCTTTAAATAACTGTGAAATTCAGTTTGAAAGTAGAAAATCGCTTATAAACTTCGAATTTCAATTTAACATTGTAATGACATATTTTATGTCTTAGAGCAGGAAAACTAATAAACAGTTGTTTTAAACACTATAGTGATTAATAATTCCGATAATTCCTGACAATTACATGTACTGTTTGTCAATCCTGTTAATTGCGATAGAATATATTGTTAAAAATCATGTAAACTTTTCATCTCGATCTCGAGGAATAATAATAATAACTTCTGCTGCGCGTGGGACTTCCCAGAATGCTTCATAATGCCGCACTCACACCGTCAGTTGCTGCCTGCCTGCAGGTTGTCATGGTAACCATACATAAGACTATAAGAGTAAGAGAGTCAGACAATTCAAATTATGTTTTCTCGCCCTTACTCTAATTGCTCCACAAAAGCTGTGAGTGCGCCTTAAGTTATTCAAATTTTTTTTTCTTCTATTGGGAACATTGGGAATTGATTTAAATCGGATGCCAACTGGTGGCGGAAAATCAAACTATTTAAATACCCCGATTCTATCAAAGTTAACAGTGGGTGTTTTCGACGTTGACACTCTGAGCGCTCTGAAAGTACGAAACGTGGTTGGTTGGGCTAGGGGAATTCTGAATGTTGATTGGCTGAACTTCAAAATTCATAGTTTTATGCTCTGGTTTCCACACTCTGTATCGCTCGGTATCAAAGGTCCGAGCGATACAGAGTGTGGAAACCAGAGCATAAAACTATGAATTTTGAAGTTCAGCCAATCAACATTCAGAATTCCCCTAGCCCAACCAACCACGTTTCGTACTTTCAGAGCGCTCAGAGTGTCAACGTCGAAAACACCCAGTGTCAAATGTAAATAATATTTAATTTTCGAAAAATATAATAATCTCAATATAGCTTATTATAACACTTATAACAGATTTTATGTCTTAAAAGAGTAAAACACTATAGTTTTAAACAAGTGATTAATAATTCCTGACAAATACATGTACTGTTTGTCAATCCTGCGTCAATCTTGATAATTGATAGAATTGTTATCTCGATCTCAAATAATAATAATAACTTCTGGTGGGTGTGGGACTTCCTACAGCTACAATGCATCGTAATGTTATTCAAATTTTTTTCTATTTCTAAAAATAAAATTACTTACGTGTGGAAAATTTAATTGAAAATAAATAATTTTTTAAAGTATTTTTATTATAATTTTGATTATTTATTTATTTATTTTTTATTGCTTTTAAAGAATTTTAATTGAAAATTATGGAAATAATTGAATTCTCAAAAATTTTAATGAGTTTCAAGTGTAAATCGAATAAAAATGAAAATAATAATAATAATAATAAGTTCAATTATTAAGAAACACGATTATTTTAAATAAACATGAAAGAAATTGTTCGTAAAATTCAATTAAATTTTCAATTAAAATTATTAAAAAAAGTTTTATTATTTTAAAAAAATTCAAAAAAAATTTTCAAACAAATTTAATTAGGATTTTTATTAATTTTTATAAAATTCTTCACAAGAATTCAATTATTTTCATTAGTAATAAAAATTCTTCGAATTCGATTCTTCGATCATTTGAAGAATTATATCAACATTCTTTTCAATAATTTAATTAATTTAAGAAAAAAAATTATAACATTGTATTAAAATTAAATTCTTCGAAAGAATTCAATTCTTCTAAATACACTTTTAATAAAATTCTTCTCAAAAATTCAATTATTTTTATAGAAATATAATAAATTTTTTCGCAGGGATTCAATTATTTCAAAAAGTCCTAATAAAGTTATATTATTTAATAAAATGCAATTATTTTCTAAAATTTGAATAAATCTTTCAAAGCATTTCAATTATTTTTATAAATATAGTAAAATTCTTTCCAAAAACTCAATTTTTTTAAAAAGAATTTTCATAAAATTTCTTGAAAGAATTAATTCTTTTTTTAATATTCAATATTTTTAAAAAAAAATCAATTATTTTCAAAAATTTTATTAAATTCCTCAATACAATTTAATTTTTTTTTTCTTTTTTTTTTTTTTTTATTATTATTTATTTTTATAGTAAAATTATTTGCAAAAATTTAATATGATTTTAAAAACAATTTTCATAAAATTTCTTGACAAAATTCAATATTTTTCAAAAAAAAAGATTGAATTGTTTTCTAAAATTTTAATAAATCCATCAAAATAATTCAATTACATTTTTATAATAAAATTCTTTGTGAAAATTCAATTTTATTTTTAAAAGAATTTTAATAAATTTTCTGTAAAGAATTAAATTCTTTTAAAAAGAATTTTAATAAATTTTCTGTAACATATTATTACAGCTTAGAAAATACAAACAACTTTTCTTTAGAACATTTTTTTATAGGAAGTCAACTATCGAAGTTAAACTCTTTATTTAAAAAAACTCAAAAATACCAAAATAACGCTAAAAATAAAAAAAATTTTCAAAGAAAAAGTACACTTTACTAAAGAAATTATTGGTAGGAATAAAATAAGTAAACTGTAGGTACTTCATTAATTTGTAAAATAGTAATTTAATTTCCAATTACAATTACTTTACTTACTATTCATTTTTACATCTAGAAAAATTTATGTTATTCTTATAAAAGTCAACCTATTAATTTGCGGTAAAGTTCTTTCTATTCTGAATGATCGCTGCTACAATTAAAAGAAATAGGAAATTAGTAGTACGATTATAATTATTATAAACAAATGGGTAAAACATTTTAAAGAAAATAGCAAAATCTAATTTTTCAAAATTTCCCCAAATTTCCTTGAAACTTCTTATTCAAGGCTTTTTTGGGGTTGCTAAATACGAATCTAATGTCAGATTTTCAAAATTCAAAATATAGTGGACATTTTTTTTCAAATCTGTTCAAATTCGCTTGAAACATGTTATTCGGGGATTTTTGAGGTCACCATTATGAATTTTTTTAAATCTGACTTCAGATTCGTAATCAGCGACCCCGATTCCCCCCGAGTAGCAAGTTTTCTGTATAAAACATTGGATTTTGATTGTTATTGAATCGGTTTTGATTTTGATTTGAAAAATTTTATCGTGGCCCTGAATAAAAAGAGTTTTCTCGTCTTGGTTCTTTCAATTTATTAAGTTGAAAACAATTTATTGCAAAGCGACCAATTTTATCAAAAAACTAAACAAGTTTTTATATTATCTTGAGCGATATTAATTTTTGTTGTTTTAGCAAATTAATTATTATTTTTAGGAATGAGAATATTATACTCAGTATTATGTTCACTTTTTCTTAGTTCACGGTGTGATAACAATTTTCTTTCTATTTCACTTAAAATTGCATTTGTTTATAAAAGAAAATTATTAAAAAATAGAAAAAAAAGTTTTAAATTTAATGTAGATTTCATATTTTTGTATAAAAATGCCTAATATTACATTGATATATATTTTACAACATTGCATGATTATTTGTTGAAAACTAATCTTTTAACCTTCAGATTATTTGAAAGTCGTCGAATAATTAAATTTTCAACTTTTTGCTACTAGAAAACGATTGTCATAATATTTTAAAACAGGTGTGCAAATAAATATGATTATCGATTTTTAACATGCAATAAAATTTTGACTAACAAAAGATATAAAAACGAATTTATTACCGCAACAATAAACTACTTACATCGTCGTCTTCGAACACAAAAAAATTTATAATTAATTTTTCAGAATAAAATGAAATAAATATAATAATTGCCATTCTAGTATATTAATTTACTTTTCCAACAGTTTTTATCTTTTAACATCCGCTTTTTTTAATTCTTTTAAAATTTTTTAACTTTCATAAAAATGAAAGTATGGCTAAAAGATTTAAAAGTATGGAAAATTAATATATAATAAAATTAAGATATTAATAATAATAATTATAAATAAAATTACAAATGTGTATCATATTAACAAAATTTATCGATTTGTAACATAATTTATTTCTGTGCTTGCGAATGGTCAGTAAACCACTTGAAAAAATTCGTAGAATCATGAACATTGTGAACTTTACCGTTAAGCATTAGAAATTTTTATAAAATAATCCTTTTTTTAGTAGAAACTTAATTATTTTTAAGACATTTTTAAAAAAATGTCTCGATAAAATTCAATTATTTTTAAAATTTTGATGAAATTTTTCGAAAGAATTGATATTTTATAATCTAAGATTTTAACTGAAATCTATTTTTAAATCAATGTTTATTATGAGAAAATTCTACCAGAATTCAATTATTTAAATACAAATAAAATGCAAATAAAACATTTATTGAATAATTGAATGTTTCTTGTAATTCAATTCCTATTAAAAATTTTATCAACAATTTTTTAAATAATTAAATTCTTTGGACGAATGTTAATAAAATTTTTAAGAATTTTTTCGAGGAATTCGATTAAAATTCTATTGAAAATAATTGAATTCTCCTAAAAAGAATTTTATTACTTTTGAAAATAATTGAAATTTAGCAATGGATTTTATTAAAATATTTGAAAATAATTGAATTTTGTCGAAGAATTTTACTATTTATTTATAAAGATAATTGAAATGTTTACAATGTTTTTTAGATTTTCTGAAAATAATTGAATTTCAGAGAAGAATTTATGCAATGAATGCTTGTAAAATTCTTGACAATAAGTGAATGTCTATGTGGTATTTTATTAAATTTTTTTTTTAAATAATCGAATTCCTAAAAAGCATTTTATTATTTATGGAAATAGTTGAATTCTTGCGAAAGATTTTATTAAAATTTTTCACAATAATTGAATGTCTAAGAAAAAATTAATTATCTTTTAAATATAATTGAATTCTTTTGAAGAATATTGTTATTTATGAAAATAATCGAATTTTTTTTCAAAATGCCTCAAAATAATTGAATATTTGAGAATAATTTTGTTATTTATCTTTAATAATTGAATTCTTTCGAAGAATTATTTATACGTAAATAATTAAATTATTGTGAACACGTGAACAGTGAACACGTGTTGTATAATACATGGTAATCGTTACAATTTTTTTATGAATTTTGTAAAATATCTCTCAATAAACATAATTTTATTTCCCTAATAATAAAAAAAAGTATTATAAGAAAAACATTTTTATTTCAAAATTTTAATTTTTGCTTTTTCGTGAGATACTTTTATTATTTTTTATCTTTGTAAAAAAATTTAATTAAATTTATATTTTTTTTATGTCTATATGTTATGTGTGACAGATATGAGAGTAATACTTTAAATAGAGGCGAATAGAGGGAATTTTTTCTCTATTGCAACCAGGTGCGTTGAAATCTGCACAACAACGGAAATTGGTAAGAGAAATGTATAATTTTACTATATTTCAAAATATCAGTATTTTTTTAATAATTAGTTTTTTTAAATACTATAAGCAAAAATTTAATTTACTCGTTCATGCTCACATGCAAAACTTTATAATTATTAATTTACATTTATATTTAAATTCAAATATTTGAATGTAAACTTATAATTATTGTATATAAGAATTTAAATAATTTTATAAGGATAATTTCTAGTCTCACTTATATAGAAAAATTTATGTTATTCTTATAAAAGTCAACCTATTAATTTGCGGTAAAGTTCTTTCTATTCTGAATGATCGCTGCTACAGTTAAAAAAAATAGGAATAAATTAGTAGTACGATTATAATTATTATAAACAAATAGGTAAAACATTTAAAAGAAAATAGCAAAATCTAATTTTTCAAAGTTTCCCCAAATTTCCTTGAAACTTCTTATTCAAGGCTTTTTTGGGGTTGCTAAATACGAATCTAATGTCAGATTTTCAAAATTCAAAATATAGTGGACATTTTTTTCAAATCTGTTCAAATTCGCTTAAAACATGTTATTCGGGAATTTTTGGGGTCACCATTAGGAATTTTTTTTAAATCTGACTTCAGATTCGTAATCAGCGACCCCGATTCCCCCCGAGTAGCAAGTTTTCTGTATAAATTTGAGCAATTCTGAAAAAAATGTCCGCCATATTGGATCCGCCATTTTGAATTTTCAAGATTTTGAAAATTTGACTTCAGATTGATAATCAGCGACACCAAAAGCCCCTGCACAACCCAGTCATATAAAAATGATTTTATATTTCACGAAACAAAGTTTTACAAGATGGGAATCGAGCACTGCATCTTGTGCCCTAAAATGTTTTTCCATTTATTGTTTAGCTATATATACATTTTAAAAAATATGAAGAAACAAAAATTTTTTTTTAATTTAATGCCACGGAAATGCCCTATTTCATTATTATTCTTATTAATTTTGGAAAGTTAGAAATTTTGGAGAAAGTTTTTTTTTTATTTTTTGAAAAATAATTTGGGGGGGGACTTGGGATTGAACGCGGGTTTGACGAAAGGAAACAAAAACAATACCAACCTAACCAACTGAGCTAAACGATCAACTACTGAAACAAAAAAAAAAAACTTTCTCTTAAGTAAAAATATGATTTCTCGTAAAAATGACTTTTCACAAAATTGTCAATTCGTAAATATGTTGATTCGGAAAAGTGACATTTTGTTATAATAACAGTTCATACCTCATCTCCGAGTTTAAGATTTTGTGGATTGCAATTTTTTGGCATAATAAATTTTTGACTTTTCTTTTGCTAAAATCAAATTTTCTCTAGCGAATATTTCTATCATTTCATAAAGTCTTGTTATTGAATCTGTTAAATATTGATCGTAACAAGATTCAAATTTTTCGTGCCACACTTGGTACTTTCATGAATGCAAACATAGCTAATTCTAATCAATCATCCCATTCTTCATTTTTATTGATAAATTGTTTTAAATATTCTTCTAAAACATGGTAAGATCTTTCGATTGATCCCTTAGACTGAGGATGAAAAGCGGTTGTTTTAAACTGTCGTATTTTAAATCTTTTTGTTACTCTACTCATTAAATTGCTTAAAAAGTTTGTTCCCTGCTCTATTAACACTCCTTCAGGTGATCCAAAAATACAAATAAATCTTTTAATAAATGCATCAGCTAATATTGTACTTGCTTGATGATTTGGAAGTGCGATTGCTAATGAATATTTAGTTAAATTGTCTTGTATTGTTAATAAATATTAACTTCCGTTTTTAGTTTTCGGTAATGAACCAACAATGTTGATTGGTGTTCACTGGTGTGTCTGTAATAACCATTAGATCTTTTGTTTTGACTCTAACAAATTTTTTCTTAATTGACATTGAAGGCAACTTTGAATATATTTTTGAATATTATTTTTTATATTTTCTCAATAATAATTTTGACGTATTCAACCATAAGTTTTAGTTACCCCTTTATGTTCTCCAACTGAGCTTGAACGAACTTCTTCAATTAACTGTATATAATCTTCTTTCGTGGGATATTTTGTATATCCATTGCATATAACAACTTTTGCAAATGAATTTTTAAAAATTGATTTTATCATTGATAAGATTTCGTTCCAATGTACGTTATTTATTTGGACTGTCTTTGCAATACTTATGCCTTTCAATTTTAGTTCTTCGAATAAATTTTTCATTTAAATAATTAGTAGATTTAATTCTTCTTACTGTATCAGATAAATTTTCTTTTATTTCATTTTCTACTAGCGACATACACCTCGCTCGGTTGTCATCTTATTTATTTCTCCTTACATATATATTTATTACTACACATTATTATTATAATATTTGAAATTTTATTATTTATTGAATAGCATCTATATTGTTAATATATACATATAAGTAGCATATGTACATAATAATATTAAGGGTTCATACCACTTTGTCATCTTCAAAAAAGCAAAAATTTTTTTAATTAAGCATTTCGAAAGTAAAATATGTCAAAAATGTGGTGTAAAATTTTTAGAAAGATCCCAGCACTCAAAATATATTTTTTTCAATGCTATTTGAGCGCGTACACGGCTATTTAAGTATAGAACACAAACTAAACGCGTTTTTCTCAAAACCACATTTTTCCATGCTGCGGGATGTTTTTCTCAGAAACTACTGGACCGATTCTCAAAAATTTTTTACGAAAATCTTCGTCACATGGGTGGGTATCGCCGGAACTAGAATTATTTAAAAATATTAATTTTTACTATTTTTTTAAACCGAAAAACTGCCAAAAAAAACTTTAATTTTCGAAAAAAAAATTTAAATTGCCGCCATTTTGTTATTTTTGCATAAAAATTAAAAATTCTAGTTCGGGCGATAGGCACAGTCCTAGTGAAGATATATTAATTTGAATTTTGTTTTTTAGATTTTTCTAATCTGAGAAATCAATCCCGCAGCTGGCATCGGTATTTTTAGCAGATCTAAAATTATTGTTAAATTTTAAATAAACAAATAATATTTTTTAAATAAAATAAGGTTTTTTATAAAGTTAAAGAGTGTATTTATTGAACTAAAAAAAATGCAGATTAATATAATCCATAGGAATCGTAAAAAAAATGCTAGAAAATAGCTTCATTTTCAAGCGTGTAAAGTGGTATGAACCCTTAATTTTGTATATAATTGCATATTATTAAATTAATAATTGAGTTCTTTTGATGAATTTTAATCTAATTTTTAAGAATAATTTCAATAGTTTCCAAATGGCGTTGAAAATGCTGTCTTATAAGAATCTCTAGGATCCATTTTGATTTTATGAATACTTTGACGCCAAGTCAAAAACTGAAAAATATTGAGCATTTCCGAGTTGGTCAAGTAGGTCCATAATATTAAGGAGTGGGTCAAATTGACCTACTGTGCGTTCATTTAGCTTCCTGAAGTCTAAAACTAATCTCCATTTTTTATTCCCTTGTGAGTCACTTTTCTTTTTGGTACCATCCATATTGGGTGTATTGTACGGTGAGTCTGAATGTTTAATCATTTTTTACTTTAACCTTTACTCGTTAAATTTGTGGTATTGTTTCTTCTTGGTTTTTGAGAAAAATTTCGTTGTTGATTTTGGAAAAAATTTTGTTGATGATTTTGATTTTGGTATGAAGTTCGAAATTGATTTTGTGGTATGTTTCTAAACTAATTTTGTGATGTGTTTCTAAATTGATTTTAAAACTGCCCAGGCGCGAAAGACCAATGCTGACGATGGATTGAAGCTTGATTCAGTCTTGAACGCCCAGCGTGGGTAACCCAGTGTTGAAGCAGTAGATTTTGTTCGATCAGGATTTTCGTAAAAATTTTGACTTTGAAATCTAATATTAAACATTAGATTTTGATTGTTATTGAATCAGTTTTGATTTTGATTTGAAAAATTTTGTCGTGGCCCTGAATAAAAAGAGTTTTCTCATCTTGGTTCTTTCAATTTATTAAGTTGAAAACAATTTATTGCAAAGTGACCAATTTTTTCGATAAACTAAACAAGTTATTATATTATCTTGAGCGATATTAATTTTTGTTGTTTTAGCAAATTAATTATTATTTTTAGGAATGAGAATATTATACTCAGTATTATGTTCACTTTTTCTTAGTTCACGGTGTGATAACAATTTTCTTTCTATTTCACTTAAAATTGCATTTGTTTATAAAAAAAAATTATTAAAAAATAGAAAAAAAAGTTTTAAATTTAATGCAGATTTCATATTTTTGTATAAAAATGCCTAATATTACATTGATATATATATTTTACAACATTGCATGATTATTTGTTGAAAAATAATCTTTTAACCTTCAGATTATTTGAAAGTCGTCGAATAATTAAATTTTCAACTTTTTGCTACTAGAAAACGATTGTCATAATATTTTAAAACAGGTGTGCAAATAAATATGATTATCGATTTTTAACATGCAATAAAATTTTGACTAACAAAAGATATAAAAACGAATTTATTACCGCAACAATAAACTACTTACATCGTCGTCTTCGAACACAAAAAAATTTATAATTAATTTTTCAGAATAAAATTAAATTAACTATAATAATCTTCGTATTCTTCCGGAATTCCAGATCTCTGTCCACACCTACTGAAGTTAGACTTTTGTGGATTCTTTTGTTTTATTTCTAGGTTTGACATTTTTTTGTATACATTTTGTACAATATATTTTCAAGGTTATTGGAAATAAAAATTTATCGCAAGAATTCAAATACTTTGAAAAGTAATAAAATACTTTGCAAAAATTAAATTATTTACAAATTTTTTAAAAAAATTTCTACAATTAAATTATCTTTATAAATAGATAACAAAATTCTTCTAAAGTATTCAATTATTCTAAAAAATTTTAATAAAATTATTGAACAATTTATTTATTTTTGTAATTAAATAATTGAATTCTCGTAAAATTTTCTAATAAAAATTTATTTAAAAATAAATTTCGTTTAAAATTTTAGATAATAATAATTTAAGTAATATAAATTTATAGAAATAATTGAATTTTGAAAATGTTAGTAAATTAAAATCTTTGAAAATTGAAATTTTTTGTACTTTTAACTAATAATTAATTTAAAGAAGAACTTTAGTTAAACATTCTTGAAAATAATTCTAGAAAATAATAATGGAATTTAAATGATAAAAATAATTTAGAAAAAATTAGAGTAACAATATCGTTATATAAAATGATAATTTTATCACTAGGTTATCTTTAATTCTTAAAAAAAAATAAATTGATCACTCCGAATCAAAGACTTCTCTATATTTAAAAAAATATTCTTATAAGTTTTTAAATTTTAAAATTTTTTTAAAAATCTTAATTCCTACAGAAAAATGATAATAAGTAAATATTTATTTTTAAAAATGAAGTTATTTGTATTTTTGAATAATTTTTCAATTAAGAAAATTCGTAAATAATAGTATAGAAATTTTTTTGTGTGTATCTATCTTATAATTTTTAGAGTGAATCAGAATATTCTTTATAATCAAGAAAAAAGTCAAAATTCTTTCTAGAAATCAGAGCAAAACAAAATTAAATATTTGTGGTATTAAAAAATTTAAAATTATTTAAAAATGAAAAATCTTTTATTTTTATTCTCAAAAATTTTGAAATTTTATTAAGTAGAAATTTGTTTATATATATAATGCAACCAAAATAATATACCTCTTAAGGTAGTATTCATACCGCGCGTAAAAATGAAAGTATGGCTAAAAGATTTAAAAGTATGAAAAATTAATATATAATAAAATTAAGATATTAATAATAATAATTATAAATAAAATTACAAATGTGTATCATTAACAAAATTTATCGATTCGTAACATAATTTATTTCTGTGCTTGCGAATGGTCAGTAAACCACTTGTAAAAGAGTCATTCGTAGAATCATGAACATTGTGAACTTCACCGTTAAGCATTAGAAATTTGTATAAAATAATTAAAACTAATAAAATAATCCTTTTGTCAAATACTGATGAAATAAATTTACGACTTATTTTGAGGTATAACCACGTTCGTTCTGTCAAGAATTATTATTTTAACGATAATACTAACAATCGTTAATAAAACATGTCAACTTACGGACAACTGTGTATTTGGATTGCGATTTTAACCATTCTGTCAACATGTTTTGATGATGGAGTTAATGCCTCTCCATTTAAAAATCATGGAGGTATGTTTAAATAAAATTTATCGTTTACAAAAGATTTAAAAGTTAATCTGTTAATTCTTTTTTATGATACTAATGCTTTTGCAGATACTTCTAATTCTTTTTTTATATCCCACATGTAGAAAAATGGCGCTTTTAGATAGCTGACGACAGGGAGTAAAGTCACTCATTTATTCGACCATATGAAAATGGCGTCCATTTTCTCCCATGTGCAAACATAACCGCTGATCCCATGCGTTATTTTTGCCCAAGGGAGAAAACGGCCGCCATTTTCATATGGTCGAACAAATGAGTGACTTTACTCCCTGTCGTCAGCTATCTGAAATCGCCACTTTTGTGCATTAGGAATAAAAAATATCGTAAGTAACACGGGAATAAAGGCAGCCAATTTGTTTACGATGATTTTTGTGACACTCGTTACGGTCTCGGGGCGCCTACGGCGCCCTTGACCTCCAAAAATCACAAAAATCACCGTAAACAAATGGCCGCCTTTATTACACCCTTGTTGCTTAATATACTATTCTTCATCTCCCAGTAAAAAAAAGTATTCAGAATAGAGAAAAAGTATTGGTGGAGACGTTCGGTGAATGCGTTTTCGCGACAAAACCGTATTGGTGGGTTACGGTGAATCCATTTTGCTTACCGTGAATACTTTTTTTTTAAACTTTCGATTTAAAGATTCCTAAGCAAAGTTGAGAATATTTATAAAGAGCGTAAGTGACCTGAAGTATAAAAATGACGACTGCGAGAAGGAAATAAGAAATTTTGAGAAAAAACGAAAACTTAAATGTGACAAATATGACATCACCTACAACATATGATGATGAAAAGGAACATTGACGATACCGACAGAAACTTGAGAAATCCAAGTAAATGTATGTGAAACAGTAAGTTCCGCCGGTAATGTCAAAGTTGCTTTTAACCCTTTCACAGTGTTTGACGTCTATAGAGGCAAAAATAATTCGTGCCCCCAGTGTGTATGACCGCTATAGCGGCATCGAAAAAAAAGATATATAAAAGTTAACGAATCTTGCTAAAAATGCCTACTCGGGGGTTTTCGGGGTCGCTGATTACGAATCTGACATCAGTTTTTCGAAATTCAAAATGGCGGATCCAAGATGGCGGAATTTTTTCAAAATTCGTCGAATTTGCTTGAAACTTGTTACTCGGGGGTTTTAAGGGTCGCTGATTACGAATCTAAAATTAGTTTTCCAAAATTCAAAATGGCGGATCCAATATGGCGGACAACGAAATAAAAAATTGATCAGATTGGCTTGAAACTGAATACTTGGGGATTTTCAGGGTCGCTGATTACGAATCTGTCATTATTTTTTCAGGATATTTATCGAAATTTGATTTCACCAAAAATTATCATACTGATGTCAGATTAACCAGTTTCAAACAAATTCAATAAATTTTTAAAAAATTTCCGCCATATTGAACCAGATATTTTGAATTTTGAAAAACTGATTTCATATTCGTAATTAGCGACCCCAAAAACCCCCGAGTATTCAGTTTCAAGCCAATCTGGTCAATTTTTTATTTCGTTGTCCGCCATATTGGATCCGCCATTTTGAATTTTGGAAAACTAATGTTAGATTCGTAATCAGCGACCCTTAAAACCCCCGAATAACAAGTTTCAAGCAAATTCGACGAATTTAAAAAAAAATTCCTCCATCTTGGATCCGCCATTTTGAATTTCGAAAAACTGATGTCAGATTCGTAATCAGCGACCCTAAAAACCTTAGGGTACCAAGTTTCATAAAAATCCATTAAAAAATTTTTCAACACACTTTTGGCCCAAACAGTGGAAATCTCGTTGACAGCCAAGGGGTTCAATAGTTTGTGTAAATATATATATATAAATATAAAAATATAATATATGTAAAATATATTATACATATATAAAAATATAAACCCCAAAAGAATCAAATATCTATTTATAACCACATTCGTAAACTTTTAAATTTTTAGTTGACATCTTGAAGTCGCCATTTCGAATTATAAAATTTTAACCAAATATTCTAATTCAGTATCTTCAAAAATCCCCATATGCGCATTTTTAGCCAAATCCGAAAACTTTAAAATGTTTTCGGTCGCCATTTTGAAGCCGCCATTTTGAATTTTAAAATTTTAACCAGATATTCGAAATCAGCGACCCCAAAAACCCCCAAGTGAGTATTTTTAGTCAAATACGGAAACTTTTAAATTTTTAAGCCGCCATTTTGAATTTTTAAATTTTGATAAAATATTCGGATTCAGCGACCCCGAAAACATAAAATATAATAATATCAAGTAATTACAAAAAACAATTTTTTTGCACATTTGTGTCACGAAAAGCTTATTTTGACTATACTGCTAAGGGGTTAATCATCATACGCTGTAGGCACAGAAAAGCATATGGTAATTGATCAACATTTGACAATCTGTTTGTCTCATTTAATTTTTCGTTTTTTCTCAAAATATCTTATTTCCTTCTCGCAGTCGTCATTTTTATACTTCAGGTCACTTACGCTCTTTATAAATATTCTCAACTTTGCTTAGGAATCTTTAAATCGAAAGTTTTTAAAAAAAAAGTATTCACGGTAAGCAAAATGTATTCACCGTAACCCACCAATACGGTTTTGTCGCGAAAGCGCATTCACCGAACGTCTCCACCAATACTTTTTCTCTATTCTGAATACTTTTTTTTTACTGGGCTTCTAATGAAAGGGGTTTGTTTAAGTTAATTTAATTAATACTTTTGTTTATCTAAAAAAATTTTTGCGACATATCGAAAAATCCCTACATGGTCTCTACTAGATTATAAATTAAAGATACTCTGAAAAATTAAAAGCTGATAAAAATTTGTATCCGCTAGCGCAAGTTTATGTATATACATGAATTTTAAACCTGGTATATAATTATAATTTTTCAGACAGAAGCTCTTATGAAAATAGTATGTATAAACTTAAGTATTTCTATAAAAACTGTTAATTAATTACTTCTTTTTCGTTGTATATATGAATATAATATTCAACATTAATTTAACGGTGTTCGATGGTCTCTGCAATCTACGCGTATAGAAATACATTTATATCTATATACCAAATTTTAGCTCTCTAGGTCAAAATATAGTTTATACAACTCAGGCGTATTATGGTCACTTTATCTACCTGTACAGGCGCGTACTAAGTTCTCCCTTATAACCCAGCAGTCAATAATGGTTACTTTATTGACCAGCTGGGTTATATGGGAGAACTTAGCATGCACCGGTACAGGTAGCATAGAGTAACCATAATACGCCTTTGTTGTATAAAGCAAAGTATGGGACAAGGGAGGTAACCTCGTTTATGACCTCGCACAATATTGAAAAACTCTTCTTCGCACTCGCTTCTCTCGTGCTACGACTCGTTTTTCAATATTGTGCTCGGTACATAAACTCGGACGTACCTCCCTTGTTACATAATGTACTATTAACCACCAGGGGGGGGGGACATTACAATCGATGCACTTTTCGTAAAAATATTATTCCTTAATTAATGGACACTTCAACATCGAACACCCTTAAAATGAAATGAACAGTGTAATAAAAAATCTTAATTATCTTTTTGTCATACACTTGATGAAGAAATTGTTGGACCTCACGCTCCACAGCACCGAAACTTTCCTAAAAATTTATTAAATATTTACTTGCAATATTCGTCATATTTAACTGAAAAGTTTAGTGAAAATTGTGTAAAGATTTAAATGTCCCGATTAAATAAATGTTTAGCGCGAAGCTTTCCTGAACATTTCCTGAACTTGAAATTAGATCTTCGCATAATTATAATTATGCGAAGATTTTATTGAAATGTTCAGGAAAGCTTCGCGCTAAACATTTATTTAATCGGGACATTTAAATCTGTACACAACACTTTCAATAAACATTGCAATTAAATATTCCGAAATTGCAAGTAAATATTTAATAAATTTTTAGAAAAGTTTCGGTGCTGTGGGGGCGGTTTTTCTCATTTAAGTAAGTTTAATTAAGTTTATAATAAATTTATGTACACTACCGTCCACGAGTATCAGGACGATTACATTCCACTCTATGAAAAAACATGCCATCACTTTTTCAATCATATCTCGGAATTAAAAGGAGATACAAAATAAACTTTAATACAGTTAGAAAGCTGATTAAATTTTGCGTAAAATAAGCTGTCTTTGAAGTCATTTCGTTAACTATTTGAGAGAGAAAACAAGGACGAATTTATGCTGGAGAATAATGAATAATGATGTTTCACGAGTAATATAAAGAAACTCAAAAGTTCATCGTTCCCCCGCATGAATTTATCCCTGTTTTCTCTCTTATTTTCTGCCGCGCGAATCCATAATCGAGTCGTCACAGTTGAATTTCAATGCACTAATCGGTCGAATCACGGCTTTACATTTTTAATGATATATCGAAGACGGATTAACCTTTTTTAATTTTCGAAGGCATATTTTAAAGCTGAAATTCTAACGAAGATTTCTGCGTTTTTAGATTAATGTTATCTAAATTTTTCTAGATTTTTGAAAAAGTTGAAGTCAAGAGACAAAAATGAGAAAATTTTATCATTTTTTTTATTTCTTTCTCACTCTACAACTCGACAAATAGTTAACAAAATCACTTCAAAGACGGCTTATTTTACGCAAAATTTAATCAGCTTTCTAACCGTATTAAAGTTTATTTTGTATCTCCTTTTATTTCCGAGATATGATTGAAAAAGTGATGGCATGTTTTTTCATAGAGTCGAATGTAATTGTGATTTCTAGATTGATTTTGACACCCACTGTGGTGGAGGAGAAATATAGTATGCAAAATAGCGTGACATGGTTTATGAATGGTCCCCCTAAACAAAATATTGAAGATAATCTGGTAAAATTCTTTTTTATAACATTAATTATTTTGCAGGTGCTTATAATAATGGACCTTCATCTTCTCAAGGAAGAGGTACGATTAACTGATTTTTTTTATTCTTTATGCTTATTTCTTATTTCGATAATTTTCTAGTTCGACTTTTTTCAATTCGACCTTTTTATGCTGTTTTTTTAGAAAGGATTACTTAATTAATAAGAGTAATATAATATTAAAATTGTAATTATTTTTCTTTTAACAAATGCTCTGCAGCAACTTACAGTAATTATAACAGAGTTAAGTTTAATAAAAGCTTCTATAGATCGAACCGTTGCTATTTGATGACTCATAATAATTTGACTGTCAGATTGTGATCTTTTATTTGTCTTTGATGTTTTCTTTAATATTACTCCCTCTGAATTTATTTGTTTTTAAAACATAAAAATGAAGACCTCCACGGACCCCAGTAGCAAAATGTATATTAAAGCTGCAACAGTCGGTCTAACCATGGCCCAGAGTTCGGCCGACCAAGAAAGTTTAAGTCATTTAAACTGCATTTGACAAAGTTTTGCCAACCGTTGGGCCAACCGTGGCCCAGAGTTCGGCCAACCAAGAAAAATCAAGTCAATTAAACTGCGTTTCACAGAGTTTTGCCAACCGTTGGGCCAACCGTGGCCCAGAGTTCGGCCAACCAAGAAAGTTTAAGTCATTTAAACTGCATTTGACATAGTTTTGCCATCCGTCGGGCCAACCGTGGCCCAGAGTTCGGCCGACCAAGAAAGTTTAAGTCATTTAAACTGCATTTGACATAGTTTTGCCATCCGTCGGGCCAACCGTGGCCCAGAGTTCGGCCGACCAAGAAAGTTTAAGTCATTTAAACTGCATTTGACATAGTTTTGCCAACCGTCGGGCCAACCGTGGCCCAGAGTTTGGCCAACCGAAACTGAAAGTCTTTTAAACTACGTTTGGATGAGTTGTGCCAACCTTGGCCCCCAAGTTGGCCCGACGGTTGGTTAAACTCTGCATTTAATGGTTGGCTTGCAAAGTCGGGCCAACTGTGGGCACTAGTACTTGCCAAAGTTGGGCAATCTCTGGCAACCAAAACTTCGCTTGCCAAAGTTAGGCCAACCTTGGGCCAACCTTCAAACTCTGGCGGCCAACCTAAATTCGCACCTGGGTTTCTGAAATATGACATTTCGTAGATTTAAAGGTTATGTCTCATGAGAATTCGAGTAAACGCGTTTTATGTCACTTGATAATTTGAGTAATGAAAATTATGACAAATAAAATTTCGATAAATGAAATTTCTTAAATATGACATTTCGAAGATTTGAAGGTTATGTCACATGAGAATTCAAGCAAATGCGCTTTATGTCACTTGATGATTCGAGTAAATGAACATTATGACAAATAAAATTTCGATAAATGAAAGTTATGTAATATAATATTTCGAAGGTTTGAAAATTATGTCAAATGGCAATTCGGAGGATTAATAATTATGACAAATAGTCATTCGGAAAAACAAATGGTATGTCAAAAAATTTTTAGACATATTAAAAATTATATTAAAAAACAATTCGACTATTTAAATAATAGGATAAAGAATAAATCGATAAATTAAAAATTATGTTGAATAAAATTTCGAAAACTGAAAATTATGCGAAATGATGTTTCGATGATAAGAATTTCGATGTTTTGAACATTAGGAAATTGAAATTTGAGGAATAATCATGCGCCCCATTTTTATTGCAATCAATTTTTTAATTATAGACTGTTGCTATTTGGTGACTCTTGTAACAAACACGACTTTATCTCAAAATTAAATTTAACAAATTAAAAGCGATTCGAAATATTAAATAAAAAATGTTCAGAAAATTCAAGGATTAGTATATTAAATTTGAAATATGATTGTAAAAATGAAATTATATAAACAAAAATCGAAATACACGTCAATGACAAAAGAATTAACCTTTAAAGTGCTAAGTGTTGGAAAATCACGCTCAGTGCTAACCCCGGTCTGTCAGACCGCTATTCCCTTTTGACAGTTTTTTAGTCATTTATAATTTTTAAAAGACTACTATTATAAATATTTTTTACTTTTTAACAAAAAAAGTCATTTCTGTATTATGCATTTATTTATTTGATTTATTTTGTAAATGCAGTATATGAGAACTGTCAGTAAAACTAGCTGCGCGTCAAGTTGCGCAGACGTTACTCATGGGAATATACTGGAATATACTTTCACTTAAAGCTAACCCCGGTCTCACAGACCGCTATACTTCAAATATTTATTTATATTAAAAAATTTAACGAATAAAATTTTTTGAAAAAGTTGTCTCCTAACAGATTTTTATAAAATATGAAGCTTCTAAAAAGTTCAAGTTCTTATTATACTTTGAAAAAAAGTTACAAGCAAAGAAAATTTTAATAGCGGTCTGCCAGACCGGCATAGCACTTTAAAGGTTAAATTTATTTATGATCAATCAATAACTTGTTTAATCAATTTAGAGATGTCAAAGCGTACACACGCATATCACAATTATTTTTAAAGATTTGCAAAATTAAACAGGGGCTCGAGCCACGACGCAAAATTAAAATGCAAGAATATAACATAAAATACAATAATACATAAAATACAAAATTAAAACACATACAAAACCATTGGACTTAGCCAAGTTCAATATTTAAATAATGGTAACACTCAAAAGAGTGCACCTTGGTGTCAATTTTCAATGAAATATTAATCAAAATAAAATAGACTTATCGATCGTCGCCTTCGTAATCACAATGGAAACGTTGACACTGGGTTGACGGAGTTTGGGAAGCAATCCAAATTTCAGACAAATTTATGCATAAATGATTTAAATGGTCGAGATCATCCCTCGAGTTAAATTTCATTCGTCCACGACATCCAGGTATAGGCTTGGCCAGTTTGACGCCAAGAAGACCCAAGTAGCACGTAATATTGGGAACATTCCAGCAATATGCCACAACATTGAGGCAATATTGGTAATGTTAAGGCAATGTTCCCAATATCGCTGTAATATTACGTGCTACTGGGGGATATTCTCTGGAATCACCCGTAGAATGCCACGATTCCTCGACCTCCTCAATCCCGTCAGTCACACGCAATTTGACTTCGGCCGAATATTAATTAAAAATGCCACAATAAATAATTATATTTAAAAAAATCAATATAAAAATATTTTAGATAAATAATGAATTTTTACTCCCACTAAACAATTTTACCTCTAGGTCGTCGGCGACACACGTAGATGTATGGCGCGTAGTCTTATAATTTTGATAGCGAACGAACGATAAAATGAGGTCGAAGAATCGTGAAAAATCTCTTTTATTACGTGAATCAAAAAACCCCCCCCAGAATTCACCCCCATCAGGATTGCTTCCCTCACCTCGAACCTTTTGGCGGGCATTCTTGGACAAGACGCGGCGCTAATCAAACCCTCTCACGGGTTTTCTAAGAAACATTAACCGGAAAAATTAAATGCAAATCTTACACACATCTAACCCTTTCACTCTTATAATAATTTGACTGTCAGATTGTGATCTTTTAAAATAATAAAAATTAATAATAAAATAATAAAACTTTTTCTAATTTGATGAGAAAATTACTGGTTTGGAATAAAATTTTTGGCTTATTCCCGGTTTTTCCCGGTCAATACATATATATGTATGTAGGGGAGACTGGGGCGAAAAGTTAAATTTTGCATAAATGATTTTTTTTGGCAATATAAGCCGCTTAGATGCAAATATTTGTATATCAATATTGTAGGGCAACTTGTCCTCTACAACTTTCAATAAAAAAGTTCCTGATATTTTCGCAAAAAATACATGTTTTGTCCTTTTTTGAAAATTTTGTTTTTTTTTAACTTTTCGCCCCATGCTGGGGCGAAAAGTTAAATTCTATTTTTAGCCTACTAAAACTATTTTCTGATAGATGATAAGTAGTAGATAAGTTAAAGTATACGTAAACTAGTAATTTAGTAAATAAAAGTTTTTTGTTTATTTCATAAAAACTTTAGAATATTTGTAAAGTTAAAAAATTGAAATTTCAAAAAAAAAAAAAAATTTTTTGGTTTATTTCACGTGAACGGTCTTATTTTTTGACAGAGTACTTGCCCAATGTCAAATAAATCATGTTTAAACAAATAAACACAAAAAAATAAAAAAAAAATTTTAACAACATGTAAAAATACATTTAACTTTTCGCCCCACCCATTATTTAACTTTTCGCCCCAGGGTGCGTTTTTGGCTTTAACAACAAATATAAAAAATCTGACTAAAATATTTAGCAAATACTTTTAGGTATCTCTTCAGGGGACCCAAATAAGGATCTAAAAAAATCGCGATGAGAATAAATTCAAAAAATATACTTAAAAGTTGATATTTTCTTTTTCGAAAAAATTTTCAAAAGTAGGTTGAAAAAAAACTTTCAATATCGACACCACAAAAATAAACAGAATTGCACACAACTCCGGACATTTATTTAGAGTGATAACACCCTTCTATAATTAAAATTCCAATGCTCTAACTATTTTCGTTCAAAAGATAATGAATTTTAACGGTTTTGGCAGTTTAACTTTTCGCCCCAGTCTCCCCTATACTACTTTTTTTGCCACCGAGGCTACTATTTCCTACTTTTTTTGGCATCGAGGCTACTTTTTCCTACTTTTTTAAAACTCATAATTAAGTGCGAAGCCTGAATGCCCTTAACGAATTTAAAAAAATTCTGACCCTTAGAGGACGCACCAATATTAAAATTGTAATTATTTTTCTTTTAAAAAATGCTCTGCAGGAAGTTACAGTAATTATAACAGAGGTAAGTTTAATAAAAGCTTTTATAAATCGAACCGTTGCTATTTGATGACTCATAATAATTTGACTGTCAGATTGTGATCTTTTATTTGTCTTTGATGTTTTCTTTAATATTACTTCCTCTGAATTTTTTTTGTTTTTAAAACATAAAAATGAAGACCTTCACGGAACAACGATCTATATGGCACATTTAAAAATGCTTATGCAATTTTCAACTTTGAATTGCCATAAATCGTTACTCCAACTATAATATCTAATGAAAATAAGTACATTTCATTCTCTATTTATTTAATTACACTATTTCATTCATTTAGGCTAAAAATTTAATAATACGTGCTCATATTTTCACTACAATTGCATTTATGTAAAAATTGTGCCATAGATCGTTATTCCGTGGAGGTCTTCAAATAATCAATTTTAACGAATTTAAAAAAAATTCTGAGCTAAAGAGGACGCACTAATATTAAAATTGTAATTATTTTTCTTTTAATAAAGAAACTGATGTTCACACATATAATAATAAACGTAAGTTAAAAAAATTTTCTGATTGAAAATATATGAAAGCCATATATTATATATAATATCAATATGAAAATTGTAATTATTAATTTTTTTATTCTATTAAATTTTAAAGAAGGTGGATTTAATGGCGGTTTTAGTAAGTTTAATTAAAGTATTTATTAATATAATAAATCTTAATGTGAATTAACGGGAAGGTGTTACTTTAAATATATTTAAGTTGTGCAGTATAAAAAATTTGTACACCAATTTGAAAATTATAACAAAAATTTGTTTTCAGTCTATCCTGCTAAGGACTCCAATCGAGGTGGTACGTATTATATTATGAATATTAATAAGTAGGTAACTATTCCTTTTTGTTAAATTATAATCCAAGACGTGTCCTCTTTTAAATCGCTAAGTCAAGCAAATTTTAATTGCAATTTTCTTCAGATTGTATATATAGAGATTTATAAATCAGTAGATTAAGTATAGCGTCTAATATTATGTTATTTAGAAAAATCTCATAATTTGTTGACATTTGTAAAAAATTAATTTTTGAGAATTTAAAAAAAAATTTATTGCTAATTATTTTTAAATGTAGATAGAAGTTCACAATACGACTCAGGACGTATGTCAGTAGGTATGTCTTTAACACTTTTTTTTACTTTATAATGCGTATAATTATTAATTATAGTGAATTTACTGGTTAAAATTAATTTTAGATTATGAAGTCCTCTTTTAAATCGCTAAGTCAAGCAAATTTTTATTGCAATTTTCTTCAGATTGTATATATAGAGATTTATAAATCAGTAGATTAAGTATAGCGTCTAATATTATGTTATTTAGAAAAATCTCATAATTTGTTGAAATGGTGTTTAATATTTGTAAAAAATTAATTTTTGAGAATTTAAAAAAAAATTTATTGCTAATTATTTTTAAATGTAGATAGTTCACGATACGGCTCAGGACGTATGTCAGTAGGTATGTCTTTAGCACTTTTTTTTACTTTATAATGCGTATAATTATTAATTATAGTTGTTGGAAATTTGAATTCTATTAGTGCTCTCGATAATCGATCTTATTATCCGATATATATGGCGCCTTCTGTGCCTAAGTTCAGTTCGATTACATCGTCTCTAACACGCGGTTTGTGCGTCTCATCAGCTCTTATACTTTTGTACTTTAATTAATTAATAAATGTGTTTTTAATGACCTGGAATCTTCTCACTTGTGGTTATAACCCAATGAAGTGTATTTCCATCTAACAGGTTATGGGCCCAGGTCGCCAATAATAAGTATAAAGAGTGAAATTCGGTTTTGTTAAAACGACGCAACGCGAAAATGGCTAGCGCGCTAGGGTTTACGAATATTGAAAAACTAAACGAACAAAATTATGACCTGTGGAAAGTTCAAATGAAAAGCGTGTTAATAATTAACGAATTGTGGTCATACGTTGACGGTACCGAGCTGAGGCCAGCGGCAAACGCTGAAGATTGGATTAAAAAGGACAGTAAAGCACTAGCAATGATAACTTTAAGTGTCACCCATGGTCAGCTCAATCACGTAAAAAGAGCTACATTGTCGAAGGAAGCATGGGACGCTTTAAAGTTAGTGTACGAATCCCGAGGCCCTGTAAGAAAGGCTGTTTTATACAAACAGTTGTTACGCCTAGAAAAAAGGACAAATGATAGCATCACGCAATATGTTACCGATTTTACCCACAAAGCAGAGCAACTCGAAGAAGCAGGAATTAAAATTCCTGAAGACCTACTGTCGATAATGTTGTTAGGTTCTTTACCTAACGAATTCGAAAACTTCTGTATCGCAATTGAATCTCGTGATAACATTCCGACACTCGAAAATCTGAAAGTGAAACTTATTGAAGAGGAAGCGAGACAACATGATAAAAGTGCGAAAACAAACGATGACAAGGATAAATGTGACGCGTTATTAACAAAACGATACAATAGTGAACAGGGTAAACAATCAAATTCTAATTCAAAACAAAACAACGTGGAAATAAATACGCGGAGGTTCAATTTTAAGTGCTTCAATTGTGGTAAGATTGGGCATAAAAGTCGATTTTGTCGGAGTAAATCGAAACGTGTTGAAACAAATATGAGTGATGCAATGATCGCAATCGCGTACAATACCGAGTGCAAAGCAAAATCAGAAGTGTGGTTCCTCGATAGTGGCGCGACGAGACACATGTGTAATGACGATCAGAAATTTTCTTTTCTCAACAAAAGTGACAAATCAAAAGTGTACACAGCTTCAAAACACGTTGTAGAATCCCCTGGTGCCGGTGAAGTGAATTTAAATACTAAACTAAATTCCCACTCAGTGAACCCTGTGAAATTGAAAGATACATTATACGTTCCCGAACTTCGAAACAATTTACTATCCGTCTCGAGTGTTACTGAAAACGGATATACGGTCACATTTGACAAAAATCGAGCTTTTATAAATCGGAAAGACGGTTCTACAGCAGTCACGGCAACGAAACGAAATCAACTATATGTCATCGATGAAAAAGAAGAACCAGTGTCATTTTTAAGTGAAAACGAAACCAGTGAATTACAAAAATGGCATCAGCGTTACGGACACGTAAACATCAACGATTTAAAAAAAATGAAACTTGAGGAAATGGTATCCGGTATGAAATTTACATCAAAATCGTGTGAAATAAAGTGTGAAATATGTGCAAAGTGTAAAATTAATGTCCAACCATTCAAATCATCAGAAAATCGCGAAAAAGTGTTACTAGGCTTGGTTCATTCTGACATTTGTGGGCCGATAGACTGTGAATCACTCGGCGGCGCCAAGTACTTTGTGACACTTATTGATGATTGTTCCAGATACACAGAGACAGCTATGCTACGAAAACGATCTGAAGTTCTACAGATATTCAAGGATTATAAACGTCGAGTCAAAAACAAACCGGTCAAAAAATCAAAAAGTTACGCACAGACAATGGAAAAGAATATTTATCAAACGAGTTTAAAAATTTTTTGAGAGAGGAAGGAATTGTTCACCAGTTAAGTGTCGAATACACACCCCAACAAAACGGTGTGGCCGAGCGTGCCAATCGAACGCTCGTAGAGATGGCACGATGTCTAATGCTGCAAGGAAAATTCCCAAATTCATTGTGGGCCGAAATGATAAATACAGCAACGTATCTCCGAAATAGAAGTGCCACAAAATGTCTCAACGGTATCACTCCTCTGGAAGCGTGGACTAATCAAAAACCATACGTCGGATATTTTAAAACGATAGGAAGCAAAGCAATTGTCCTAAACAAAGGTCAAAGAAGAGGAAAATTTCAACCGAAAGGCGACGAATATTTATTAGTAGGTTACTCAAGTGAATCTAAAGCCTATCGCCTTTGGAAGCCAACGACAAGAAAAGTGATTAAATCCCGAGACGTAAAATTCATCGAAACAATAGACGCACCCGAGACTTTAATAAACGAAACTCTTAATATACCAATGTTTACTGTCGAAAACTTTATCGAAGAAAAAATTCAAAGCGAAGATGACGAGAACTCTCAAGCAGAAACTTCGGACGAAAACGAAGAAAATTCTCAAGAGGAATTCGTGGACGCAAACGAAACAAACATCGAGCAACAAGATATTGAAAATTGTGAAGCAGAAATAAGTGAATCAAAACGAGGAGTAGGGCGTCCCACATTCGAAAGGACAGGAAAACGTGGCAGACCGAGAAAGATCTACCAAACGAAACACCATGAACCCAGAACTCCACGTGAAGCCTTGGAACGAGATGACAAAGAATCATGACTAACCGCCATGGGAAGTGAATTCGATTCTTTAAAAGAAAACAACACCTGGACTCTTGTTGACCGACCTGAAAATAAAAAAGTTCTGTCAAGTAAATGGGTATTTAAAACGAAAACTAATCAAAACAACGAAATCGAAAAATATAAAGCAAGGTTAGTTGCATGTGGTTATTCGCAAGAATTAGGTGTGAACTACAACGAAGTTTTCTCACCTGTAGCAAGATACGAAACCATCCGTACGTTGCTTGCAGCAGCCGTAGGTGAGGAAATGTACATTCACCAAATGGATGTAATCTCTGCTTATCTGCAAGGTCATCTACAAGACGAAGTATACATGGAACAACCCAATATGTTCATTCAAATTGGACAAGAAGAAAAAGTGTGCAAGTTACTTAAATCTATATACGGTTTAAAACAGTCGGGTCGAGAGTGGTATAGTGAACTGGACAGTTTTCTTCTACAAATTGGTGGCAAGCGTACTCCAGCGGAGCCATGCGTTTATGTTTTCGACAAGGGCGAAGACAGAGTTATCATTGTTGTATATGTCGATGACTTAATATTAGCTTCGAAAAAGATCGAAAAATTAAACGCGATTAAAACAAAATTAATGTCGAAATTTAAAATGAAAGACTTAGGTGAAATCAACACCATTCTTGGAATTACAGTAAAACGAGAAGGATCAACCGGAAAAATACACCTGTCACAAAAGAAATATGTTGAAGAATTAATCGAAAAATTCAACATGGAACAGGCGAAAGAAGCTCCAACACCGATCGATCCATCTACAAAAATTTCCAAGGATATGAGTCCAAAAACAGAAGATGAGAGGAACGACATGCGTCAGAAACCTTATAGAGAATTGATTGGAGGTCTCATATATTTAGCAAATGCAACGAGGCCAGACATCGCATTTGCAGCCAGCGCCTTGAGTCGTTTTTGTTCGGATCCTGGAATAGAGCATTGGATTATTGCTAAGCGGGTTTTAAGGTATCTGAAAGCAACTTCTCATTTCGGCATCAGTTATATTAAAAATCAGGAAAATCTTCAAGCTTACACAGACTCAGATTGGGCAGGAGACATCGACGATCGGAAATCATGTTCTGGAAATGTACTAATTTTATCAGGTGGACCTATAAGTTGGAAGTCGAAAAAGCAGGCATCAGTCGCATTATCTACCATGGAAGCGGAGTATTTAGCACTGTCGGAAATTTCTCGCGAAGTGATTTATGTCAAAAGACTCTTAAGTGATATGGGTTTTGTTCAGCGTGCTAAATCTCCAATCAAAGTGTTCTGTGATAATCAAAGTGCAATTGAATTGTCGAAAAATTGTGTTTTTCACAAAAGAAGTAAACATATAGACATTAGGTTTCATTTTACACGCGAATTAGTAGAAAATAAAGAAATAAAAATAAGTTACATCAGAACAGATATGATGCTTGCCGATGTACTCACGAAACCATTAACGAAATGTAAACACTATCGAAACGTCGAAATGCTATGTCTAAATTAAATAAATATTTTTGTTTACATTACTATGTCAATTTTAAAGAGCACAAATCGATAGAGGGAGTGTTGGAAATTTGAATTCTATTAGTGCTCTCGATAATCGATCTTATTATCCGATATATATGGCGCCTTCTGTGCCTAAGTTCAGTTCGATTACATCGTCTCTAAAACGCGGTTTGTGCGTCTCATCAGCTCTTATACTTTTGTACTTTAATTAATTAATAAATGTGTTTTTAATGACCTGGAATCTTCTCACTTGTGGTTATAACCCAATGAAGTGTATTTCCATCTAACAATAGTGAATTTACTGGTTAAAATTAATTTTAGATTATGAAGTCCTCTTTTAAATCGCTAAGTCAAGCAAATTTTTATTGCAATTTTCTTCAGATTGTATATATAGAGATTTATAAATCAGTAGATTAAGTATAGCGTCTAATATTATGTTATTTAGAAAAATCTCATAATTTGTTGAAATGGTGTTTAATATTTGTAAAAAATTAATTTTTGAGAATTTAAAAAAAAATTTATTGCTAATTATTTTTAAATGTAGATAGTTCACGATACGGCTCAGGACGTATGTCAGTAGGTATGTCTTTAGCACTTTTTTTTACTTTATAATGCGTATAATTATTAATTATAGTGAATTTACTGGTTAAAATTAATTTTAGATTATGAAGTCCTCTTTTAAGGTATTTGTCGCGTAAATTCGTTTTCGACAGTTTTTTTTTAAATTTCACATAATTATTCTTTGGATATTTATCTACAAAATAAGGCCTATTAAAATAAAATTGACCGTCTGTAAGTCTCAAAAAATGAAATCAAAGTTTCGATTTTTAACATGTACGGTATAGGAAAACCATATGAAAACCACAGATTTTTAATTTTTGCACTTATACTAATCGACAGATTTTTTAGAAAAACTAAAGTTTTATTTATTGAACCAAAATTAACTTTTATAAAAAAAATGAAAATTTTTCACCGTCTTGTTTAAAAGATATTTAACATCAAACTTGAAAATTTATTTTAACATTTATTGTAAATGACAGGTGAATTCGTAAACGTGGCAATAGCGCTTGTTAAATACTACAGCTCGTCTGCTACTTTTGGCGCGAAATTTTAAAGACGGCCATACGCCAAACTTGCGACGTTGCCACGATCGTTTTTCATGCGAGAGGTTATGAATATACATTGAGAACATCTGTGTGTCAAACTGTACGTCCGCAAAAGTTTTTCGGAAACTCGCATTCATAATCGTTTCATAAGTACAGTCAACAGATACAAACTTTTGAGAGTGACCAGTCGCGCGACAAATACCTTAAATCGCTAAGTCAAGCAAATTTTTATTGCAATTTTCTTTAGATTGTATATGTAGAGATTTATAAATCAGTAGATTAAGTATAGCGTCTAATATTATGTTATTTAGAAAAATCTCATAATTTGTTGAAATGGTGTTTAATATTTGTAAAAAATTAATTTTTGAGAATTTAAAAAAAAATTTATTGCTAATTATTTTTAAATGTAGATAGTTCACAATACGGCTCAGGACGTATGTCAGTAGGTATGTCTTTAGCACTTTTTTTACTTTATAATGCGTATAATTATTAATTATAGTGAATTTACTGGTTAAAATTAATTTTAGATTATGAAGTCCTCTTTTAAATCGCTAAGTCAAGCAAATTTTTATTGCAATTTTCTTTAGATTGTATATGTAGAGATTTATAAATCAGTAGATTAAGTATAGCGTCTAATATTATGTTATTTAGAAAAATCTCATAATTTGTTGAAATGGTGTTTAATATTTGTAAAAAATTAATTTTTGAGAATTTAAAAAAAAATTTATTGCTAATTATTTTTAAATGTAGATAGTTCACGATACGGCTCAGGACGTATGTCAGTAGGTATGTCTTTAGCACTTTTTTTTACTTTATAATGCGTATAATTATTAATTATAGTGAATTTACTGGTTAAAATTAATTTTAGATTATGAAGTCCTCTTTTAAATCGCTAAGTCAAGCAAATTTTTATTGCAATTTTCTTCAGATTGTATATATAGAGATTTATAAATCAGTAGATTAAGTATAGCGTCTAATATTATGTTATTTAGAAAAATCTCATAATTTGTTGAAATGGTGTTTAATATTTGTAAAAAATTAATTTTTGAGAATTTAAAAAAAAATTTATTGCTAATTATTTTTAAATGTAGATAGTTCACAATCCGGCTCAGGACGTATGTCAGTAGGTATGTCTTTAGCACTTTTTTTTACTTTATAATGCGTATAATTATTAATTATAGTGAATTTACTGGTTAAAATTAATTTTAGATTCTTCCAACTCACGCCAATGGGGCTAAGTACGTTTTCTGGAAGAAAATTTTTTACAGTTTCGCACATTTTGTTACTTAAAATGTTTAAATAAATATTTTAAATAAATATTGTCTGAAATTAACAATATAATTTAAGAGTTGATAAAAATTTTTTTAAAATCATTTTTCGATTTTTCAGTATGATTTTGTACATCGAGGAATCGTATTGTATTTCTGAAGGAAAATAAAAGCTTCACTATATTCAAATATTTGTTTTACTTCATTGATTAAAAATTTTCCCTTTATATATTTTGATATAGGGTAGAGTGGGGGTGATCTTTACTATTTATGAAGAATTTCAATTTTTTTTTTAAATAATGAAGTTTTTTTAAAATAATTTTTAATGAAAATTTTAAAAATAATTGAATTTTTATTCAAACTTTTGAAAATAATTGAATTCTTGCGGAGGATTTTACAATTCATAAAAAGAATGAAAAAAATTTGAAAATAATGATTTTTTCAAAAGAATTTCATTAAAATTGTTGAAAATAATTGAATTTAAGGAGGCTATAGGGATTGACTGAACTAGTCAAAAGAAAAACCATTATTTTAAGATTTGACTTGCTCAGTACTTTGAAACGTCTGGCAACAGCGCACTTCGTCAGTCGTGTTGCAAATGGTTGCTATGAATTGTGATGCATTGTTTACATGCAGTTTTAAGCATTAATTGTTGCCATGGGAAAAGTAACTGGAGAGTTAAATGGGAAATTCTTTTTTAAGGGAAAAAGAGTTAGTGAAAGAATTTATAAAAAAAGATTCAAGCAACAAGAGCTTGGCAAAAATGTTAGGAACAATTTTCTTTCAAAGACGGTTTCTAACCTGAAAAATGTAACGAAGAAATCTCCTAAAATTGAAGGTCGACGAATAATTCACGTTGAAACACTTGCAAAGCAATTGTTTTGTCGAAATTGCCAATCAGTTCTTTCTCTTACGAATATTAGAAATGAAAACCGAATCGGATTGGCTTCGAAATTCTATGTCTAGTGTCTTTCGTGTCAAATAATTAATGAAGTTTGTACTGACAAACAACATGATGTGACTAATCAAAGGAAACATTTCGATACAAACACAAAAGCTGTAATGGGTAAGTATATGTACCTGTTATAATATTCAGTAAAAAAGTTACTTAATTTTAAATAACAATACTGTAAATTAAAATGTCGATTTGTTGACTCAATTACAAATTTTAAGGTTAACATTAAAGAGTAAAAGAATGATATAGTTTTCTCGATAATTGATTTCTTTATCAAACATTTTTTAGAATAAAAAGTTGATATATTGATACAAATATTACATTCAAGTGATATTTCTTAACAATAATGTGTCAAAATGTCTAATAATTTCAATTTATTTTTATCAACTTATTTTTACCTGCATTTTTATTTGTTTTTCAAAGGAGAATATTAATAATTATATTCTTATAGGTGCTATCAACGGTGGCTTGGGTAATACCCATGTAAATCATGTTCTAACTGCATTAAACATCCCATTTTTCAATTCGAATACATTTCAAACTCACGAGAAGGAAATTGGAAGAGGCATGGAAGAAATGGCTGTAGAAAGCTGTAAAGCATTAGCACTTGAAGAGCGAAGGCTAACAATTGAAAATGTCGAAGAAGTAACAAAGTTGTTGTGAGTAAATACTCATACTTTAGACTTTATATTAAAAAAATTGTACATTTTTTACAACGAATCCTATAATCAATTTTTAAATTAAATAATCAATTAATTTTATACTGATCAAATTGAATATTTAAATAATTTATTATTATTGTGCTTTGAATTATTCAATTTCAGCAAATTTATATTTTAATTTTTGACATCTTCTATTATGAGTATAAACAATTGATTCTAATTAAAACTGATTTTTATGAATTAATGCTAATCATATCATTTACACTTTATTTTCAAAAATTAATTAAATGGAAGATTTAATTCAATGAAGTATTATTCAACTATTCGGTGGGATGAAATTGAAAAAAAAGAATCAATTGCAAATAAAGTAACCATCGCTATGAAGGAATTGAGTCCATTGAGTCAGTGTGTGTCATATGCCATGAGGAAAAAAATTGCCACTGCCGATGTATCATATGATATGATTACAACAGCTTTTCGAAAAAGTGGAGTGAAAGGTTTATCAGATATTTTGGGGAAAGATGAGAATGATAATGTTCGAATCACGAAATGCCGTACTGTTATAAAAAAAATTTATGATTTTTTAAAATCAACAGAAGGTTAAGTGTAATGCAAATACTGAATTTTTGATTATTTGCTTATCAGAGTTAATTATAATTAAGATTTTAATTTTATTATCATTATTTATAATTTTATATTTAAATAACTACATATATTTTATTTTATTGCACATACCAAAGGCACAATGTGTTGAGAAATATAGTATAATACATTACTTTGTTGACAAAAATATTGAAATTTCTTTTAATGACTGTTTTAACACTTGTTAGCGTGGATTTTTTTATACATGTGACATGTATATAAAAAATTAAAAAGAAAAATGTAATTTTTTATTTACGTCGTATTTTAATGAAAATTTAATAAGTATGGTAATTAACATTACTATGTAATTAATGTTGTTTTTAAATTTTTCACAAAGAATTAAAAAAAAATTTTAATTTGTTTTTTCAATTGATTATTAATATTCAATTTAATATTTAATTATTCTTATTTACATTGTCTTTGATTATAATTTCCCTTCATCATTTTTTAAAGAAACAAAAATTTATTATCATTGCAATTTTCTATATCCATCCTGTATTAATATTATTATCATTTTCTAAGAAAATAAAAATTTTACCATTACAAGATAAATATAAAAAAATTTAATTGTATCCTGTCATTTTATATTTACGTTTATTTCAATAAAATTATTATCCCTTTATTTTAATAATTTAATTTTAAAATAGATGTAATCAAACAATTTTACTGATTAACTTTATTTTCTTTTTAAATATGACATATTTTTATGTGCTATCATATTCAATATTTTAAAATATAGCGCGCAAAAATTAACGTATAACGCGCATGATCAAGGCTAGAAAGTAGGATGACGTGTGCAACGTTGCCAGACGTTCTGACAGCTGTTCAATTTACTGACTAAAACGTGAAATATTGTTACAAATTAATTTATTGCAACTCTCACAAGAACCTATGGACTGTTTTTTCAACAGATATTTAATCATTATATATCTGTTTTATATTAAAAAAAGTTTCATCAATTTCTTATCATCAGTTACTTTGTGGTAAATAAATATGTATGAAAAAGTACTAAATTCCCATAAGACTCAATGTTAAATGGTGGTAAAATGTTACAAAACAAAAACGCTTATAACTTTTTTCACAAGAACGTACAGGTCTCAAAAATTTAACTACATTTTTTTCAAACCTTTATCTAATAGTGGACCAAGTTTCATTAAATTGGTATCTTCAAATCTGTTACCTCTATAACCTCCTTAATTAATATTTTTAAAAATAATTGTATTCTTTCGAAGAATTCGGTATTAAAAATAATAAACATTAATTTTAAAATTGAAAATAATTAAAGATAAAAATTATTAAACTAATAATTATTTATATCATTGTCACCGTAATAATAATAAAAAAAATAAAACTATTCTATTAGATTAAAATTATTATTATAATTATTATCATTATTATTAAACTACAGGAAAATAAAAATTATTTCCAATGTTATTATAATTAAACTCTACTTGTATGGATATTTGTCGAATATGTAAATATTTACGAAAATTGATTGAATTGTATAATATTTATATCAAATAAAATTATATAAATACCAAGAATGTTTCTCTTGATACTCAGTCAAATTTTATCTCCCGTCTATCGTGATATTTTATTATTTATATGTATTTATTATTTATATTACCAACAATTGGAATTTTTTACGGAAATACTTTAAGAATGAAATTCAATAATAATTTTTTATAGAAAATAACGGGAAAAAAAACGAAATTAAAATTTTTTTCTTAAATGGATGCATTTTTGAATGATGCTTTAGGACAAATTGCTGGCATTGCTTTGGAAAAATTACGAAATTCACCACGTCAATTTATTGAAAGTAAATCGGCTGATCGTGCGAAATCAGGTGAGCAAAAAGAAACAATTTTTTTTCCCCAAAGAAACTTTAAAATTTTGTAAAAAAAAAGATGGAACATAATTTTTTTGCAAATTTCTGCTAAGAATTTTGGGAAAAATTCAATTTTGAAGAAATTAAATTTGCAAAATTCGAAAAAATGTATTACAAATAATTGATTTTTGAAGAATTTTAATTGAAAATTTTGAAAATATTTCAATTTTAAAGAAATTTAATTAAAAATTAAAAAAAAATATAATTGAAGATTTTCCAACCAATTCATTTTTTAACAATTTTAATTTAAAATTTTTAAAATTATTCAATTTTGTAGAAATCTAATAAATAGAAGATTTTGAAAATATTTCAATTTTAAAGAAATTTAATTCAAAATTTACAAAATAATTCAATTTCGAAGAAATTAAATTGCAAATTTTGAAAATATTTCATTTTTTCAGAATTTTAATTACAAATTTTCAAAATTATTCAATTGTGTAGAAATTTAATAAATTGCAAATTTGGAAAATAATTCATAGCAAATTTTCAAAATTATTTAATTTTGCAGAAATTTAATAAATTGCGGAAAATAACTCATTTTTAAAAAATTCTCTAATTGCAACTTTTGAAAATATTGAAATTTTGAAGAACATTATTTGGAAATTTTAAAAATAATTCAATTTTGAAAAAATTTATACTAAAGAAATTTAATTGAAAATTTTGAAAATATTCTAATTTTAAAGAAATTTATTAGCAAATTTTGAAAATAATTCAATTTTGAATAATTTTAATTGAAAATTTTGAAAATATTTCAATTTTAAAGAAATTGGCAAATTTTGAAAATAATTCAATTTTGAAAAAATTTATTGCAAATAATTCATTTTAGAAGAATTTTAATTGAAAATTTTGAAAATATTTCAATTTTAAAGAAATTTAATTCAAAATTTTCCAAATAATTCAATTTCGAATAAATTAAATTGCAAATTTTGAAAATAATTCATTTTTTAAGAATTTTAATTACAAATTTTCAAAATTATTCCATTTTATTACAAATTTAATAAATTGCAAATTTGGAAAAAAATTTATTGCAAATTTTCAAAATTGTTCAATTTTGTAGAAATTTAATAAATTACAAATTTAGAAAATAATTCATTTTTGAAAAATTTTATAATTGCAACTTTAGAAAATATTTCAATTTTGAAGAAATGTAATGGCAATTTTTGAAAATATTTCAATTTTGAAGAATTTTAGAATTAGAATTATAATTTCTTTATTTGTTCAAGGAAACCATGAGAACAATTTTTACAGAGCAGCATTCAACAATCATAATAAAAAAAGAATGATAGATAATACAATAATAAATAGAATAATCTTGTACATACAAATACTGAATAAAGCAAAATTTATACAGCAGAAATTATAAATTACCAAATGACTAAGCGGTCAATGATCACATATATAATATAATAAGAAATTCAATTAAACATTCATACTGTCACACTGTTTATATTTAAACATTTTTGTATACATATTATGAACACATCATAAGCAACATAAATAGCATATATATGAATTTAAATACACATATTCATACATATTTACACGTGCACCACAAGATAAAAATAAATAAAATCCATAAAAAAAGAACATAATTATGTATCAAGAAGCAATAAATATGTAAAAAGTTTTTTTCTAAAAACGAAAAGACTCTGTGAACTTGTTATAGAGCAGGGAAGAGAGTTCCATAGTGACGCAGCAACAACAATAAAAGAATTTTGATATTGACTAGTTCTACACCGAGGAATTCTTAGAACATTAGGGCTTCTAATATAATTTTAATTGAAAATTTTGAAAATATTCTATTTTCGAAAACATTTATTTGCAAATTTTGAAAATAAGTCCATATTGAAAAATATAAATTGCAAATTTTGAAAATGATTCAGTTTTTAAGAAATTTAACGGTGTTGGAGGTCGAGAACTGTCCAGTGTTGCCAACCCACTTTTTTACACTTTCCTGAATTCTTTTACTTTGAGAATTTTTTGTAAAAAAACTAAGCACTTAATCAAAAAAGTGGGCCTTTACTTGGAAGCGAAATTAAATGAAGAATTTAGTAGAATTTATTTTGTCTCGATACGATGTTTGTACGAGCCACATTCTTATTTCCGCCACGAGAATTTACAGCTGTAGGTGACTTGACATAGGGAAAAAATGGCCGCACAACAGAAAGGTGGAGTAAAGCGGATTGCCTATGTAGAGGCATAACAGTCTGATAAAGCATTGCAGTAACTTTTAATTTGTTAAAAATTGTAAAACTATTATTTTGCAATAACAAAAATTAAACCAAAAGACATAAATAATGAGATTTTTGTTTATAATTATGCACATAATATAAAATATGTAAAATTAAAAATAAAAACATGAAATTTTTTTTTTTAATTTTGATATTTTATTAACATAATTTTTTACAAAGAATAAAAATATGAATTACTAATTAGTACTTATAGAGGTACAATTTATTAAATTGTAAACAATAAAAATATTACAAATGATAAATATATAGAATTTTGAAAAATTAAATTATATCTAAAATTTATTAAATGTTTTTTTATTGTTTGGGAAAATTAGTTAATAACTAATTGGAACATTATAAAAAATTAAAAATAATTTATAATTTACAATAACTTAAAAAAAATAATCAATTTTTGTCTTATATATTGGTTTAATTATCTTTAATCGTGTTTTTTAATCTATAAAAATTTATTTACTTTATGAAAATAATAAATTAAATAGGTTATTTTGTTTCTCTTGTTTATAAATCTGAAAATATTAAATAAATATATTGTAGGAGACACACTGTACCAAAACATAATAATTATAAATTACTTTTAATTTCAAATTTTTATTAATTAAAAATGTTTTAATAAAATATTTATTGTGACATACAATAGAGTAAGATTATTGCTTTTACATTTTGTTTAAGAATATCTTAAAAACGATAAGCAATATTATTTATTATACTAAATTTTCGACCCAGTTGTATTTGTTAAATATTCTGCCACCAGAATGCGTTTCGCAGTATTTTAGATCACAAAATTTTGTCTCGAAGCGGAATCTTCGACGATGAGAGATCTCCGTTGAAAATGTAGTTCTCATCAAATAACATTGCACGTCATTAAAATATGACGGAAAAAGCCACAAAAATATAGAAAACTAAGAATATTCAAAATAATTAGAAAAAATTACTTCTCAACCCCTCGTGCTGTAAGTTGTAAACTTTTCAACCCCAAAAAAATTGTAAAAAAAAAAGAAAAAATATTCCAAAGACAAGAAATTTTCTGGATACCCAAAATTTTATTACAGCTTTTCAAAGATTATGATCCAGAAAGACAAGAAAAAAATACCAGCCCCATAGCGATAGGGGAACAAGAGTTTTTCATCCCTCAAAATACAAAAAGAAGAAGAAAAAATCGAAAAAATTCTAAATTTTCTACTTTTTCTCGATATCCAAAATTTTATTGTATATTTTGGAAGATTATCATCCAGAAAGACGAGAAAAAAAATATTAGCCCTTTCGAGATAGGGGAACACGATATTTCAACCCTTAAAATGACAATAAACATATGTTTAAAAACATGTTTATAAACATATGTTTATTGTCATTTTAAGGGTTAACATATGTTTATTGTCATTTTAAGGGTTGAAATATCGTGTTCCCCTATCTCGAAAGGGCTAATATTTTTTTTCTCGTCTTTCTGGATGATAATCTTCCAAAATATACAATAAATAAATAAATAAATAAATTTCTAGACATTCTTGGAACATTTATAAGCGTACGTTTCACTTAATCTCTAAATTTGAATTTCATAGTAAAAATGTTTACTAATTTGAATTAGTGACTATTGCGTCTTATTTTGCTTTTGAATTAGTAAATTTTTTTATATATTTATTTTTTTTTTAAATAATTATTTTTTCCTTACATTTATATATATATATATATTTCAGCACCAGGCTCATCCCCTAACAATCGTATGTTTTATTTAATTACTTTAATTAATAAGAGTAATATTAAAATTGTAATTATTTTTCTTTTAACAAATGTTCTAGCTGCAGTTTATAATAATTACGACAGTAGTAAGTTTAATAAAAGCATTTATTAATCGATTATTTTACTCGGATGACCGATTGCTATTTGGTGACTCTTCCAGTCAGCGTTTGTGATTTTTTATTTGTTTTTGGTGTTTTCTTTATAATATTACTTACTTCCTCTGAATTTTTTGTTGAAATTTAAATTTAAATTAATTTAAAAAAAAAAATTCCGAGCTAAAGAGGACGCACTAATATTAAAGTTGTAATTATTTTTCTTTTAATAAAGGAACAAATGTTCACACATATGTAAATAAAAGTAACTTTAATAAAATTTTCTGATTAGAAATATATGAATATATTTTCATATATCAATGTGAAAATTGTAATTCTTAATTTTTTTA